TCGCTAATTTTTGTAAAATTATTTTTATAAAAATTTTATATTATAAACATCTCCTAATGATTATTGCAATATCGGCTTTCATTGGTTTACTATTGCCAATAATGTGGTTTTATTTAATATAATATATTAGTCCTTAGAAAAAAATAAACTCATCTATTGTCGTATCTCATCCAGAACATATTCAAGGCACGATTTCTTAGAAAAATTTCTCCCACAAGTGAAAACTTTGTCTTACGCTTAGCTGCGGTCATTCCGGCTATGAGAAGTTTGTTCGTCTAGAAGCGACGATTAATTAACTGAGCTGACCTGGAAACATGATAATGATTCAGTATGTTCTTCTATTATACTCACAGAAATCGATATAGTTCATTTAAGCAACACTAAGCACGCAGTTTTATGTGTTGTAATCTTCTTTTCATCCATCGCCAAAACAACGTGTTATACGAATAACTTGGCACTGATGGCTTTTGGCGGACAAACAATGCAGTCTTGATTTACGCACACGAGATCAATAGTGAGATTAGTAGTCCGAAGCCTACATTTCAGTCAATTATGTGAAAGCTTGGTATAATGAGCCCATACGACACTAAAAGTGTCTCTCAATTGCGTAATTATATTTGAAAACATTAATGTTTCCACAAGTTATTGTTCATAAAGGGATTATATAAATAAAATAAATAAAAACTATCTATTATGCGAGTGCTTGTCGAATGTTTTCAATCCGTAATAAAATCGATTTTTAATTTATATAGTGCCATCATGTGAAAAATACTAACGTTTTCAAAAACTACGGGTACCTACTCTACATTTTACTATATAAATAGCCTTCCTCAAATGCATTTAGTTACACACGTTACCTTTTACTTTTGATCTCTCTTGCTATTATCCAGTGTATTTTATATAAGTGGTAAAAATATTACTGGACCTAAGTAGCCTCATGTAAAACGCTATTTTAAATTCCTCGCCGAAGTTGTGTTAATCTCCGGTTAGGGCGAATGCGGTTGTTTAATAATTCAGAGTACTAAATATAGCTATAATATGAAAGTCCATCTGTCCGTTCGTATGAAGGATGAACCTCAGTGCTGGGATCCTTCTGAATATTTAATGGTACTCTAATAGAGACATTCTCATAGAAGGCGTTAAAAGGGCTCATATCTTTGCTATATAACTTCACATTTACAGTTACGTTTATAATTTAAGTTTAATTTCTACTTTACAATTTGTTAACAACTGAACAGAACAGAACCCTTGAAATGGCGGACATAAATCAGAATCAAATGGTATTTATCGGCCATTAAGCGTTGTCGGGATGTTTTATACGTTAGCTTATTTCGTTTGCTGAAGGAAAAGCTAAATATATGAGTAACATTAAATTGTCTCTATTAGTTTGAACTTTTTACGTACAGCAATGTCGAGCATGAGGGTACTCGTAAAAGTTTTATTATTTTCGTTGATTTCGTTTGTTTACAAAGCCTTTGTGATAAGGTTACCATTGTTCAACTGATTGCGCGTCTCTAAGCTTTTTATCGCGGTTCTTATCTAGTGAATGTGTAATCATTTGTTTCCCGCATTTAAACTTTCCACTTTTCGGATTTTTATAACGCTAAATAATGAGGGCAATATCAAGGATATTTATTCTATATCCCGCTGAAATTATCAAAGCTATTTCCTTTAATTAAAAGCCCCAATCATAATTCATCAATATTTAAAGAACATACAGAGTTTACTTTACGAACTTTCTCTGCTCTGACGAAGCATGTGAGAGTATACTTTGTCAGAGCATAATAATAATATTATTAGTTTCACCGCACAAGTTATACACACAAATATTCTTTCATTTTCACTTTGCAAAATAAAATATTTTTGCATTTCGAATTCCTTATACTTCGTCCCCAGTTTGTTTGCTCTACTTATCAAAGAAAACAATACCGAGAAATGTAAATAAAGTAAACCGTAACTACCTTTACCTTACGAAAACGGCGACTAACTTTATCAAACAATAAAAGTTTGACTTTACGAGAAATATTTCCCGGCTCTCTGGAAGCAAGCAACAATATCCAGTTGCACAGTTTCACCGCAGCGTGCTCTTTTTTGCACGATTCTAGTTCTAGCTAGAAGTTATAATGGACTTGTCAAGTGCAAGTGTTGACGAGGCAGCCGGTTGCCGCACAAGTTTGAAGTACGGCCGTTTTGTAAAGAGTCTAACTCGTTAGCAACTTATTTCATTAGAAGAGATGACATAAATGCCCATATATCATTGATTTTGCGAATTTTCTTTTTTGTATATTTTATTATGAAAAATGTTTTCTCACTGCGGCGTTTTGTTCTTGTTGGCAGACACATCTGTACTATACTTGACCGAAATAGTATAATAATTCTTACCCCGCAATTCGAAGCCTATACCTCTCGTGCTCCTTAACGCTTTGTTACTCAACACATTTTGTGATTTAAGATACGATGCGATACGAAAACCCATGTTTTTTAACACGAAATATCTTACAGTAGCTTTCACATTCCGTTTAATCTACGTAATGTCTCGTTAGTCGAAGTGTTCACGCCAAAATCGCTTTTCGTTGGAGCCTCTGTTTACACATACATATCTAACCTTCCTCCTGCCTAACCTTTTATATTGAACACGAATTTTATGAATGTTTTTGGCCTATCTTTTTCAGCGTTTTTGATGATATTAAAACTAAAAACTTTGTAGAGATGTAGTTGCTACATTGATATTTTTTTGCACTAAAGGAACATATAAATAACAACACATATTAACAACAACTATTGATGTTAAAGTAGTAATATCGAGAATTGTCACATGTTTTACATGTAGTCGAGAAAAACATATACACGATAACATTAATGCACATTTGAAAACATTAATATTTTTCACATGTTATTGCATATGAAGGCACTATATAATTTAAAAATCGAAAATAAATGAAAAAAATTTCGACTCGGGCAGGACTTGAACCGGCATCGTCAGGTTTCCGTGCTGTTGCTCTACCAATTGAGCTACCGAGTCCCACACCTCATCGTCGAAATTTTCAACTTATTGATACATGCACCTCTCGCGCAGTGTAATTTTAACCTTAACACTTGCGTACTAAGGTGTTAAGGTTGAAATTACATTGATTTTTAAATTATTAATGCACATACCAAGAACTAAAAGCCATATGAAATCCCAATTTCAAAATGTCTATATGAGTCTGAAACTGGTTTATGTTTGTAAAGCGGCATGGGTAGCATACCTGTTAGCAAACCGAAAGATGCAAGTTAAACTTTTACCAGGTAGGAAGCAGGATCTATGTGTAAAATTTAATTGGTTTCAAAGTAAAACACAACCAACGAAATTAAATCAACGTCGATAAAATGAAATATAATTAAAATTTAAAATATGGCAGTGGCATAAACATTTAACTACTTTATTTTATTATTAATGAACTTGACCGTTCATTATTATTATCCATGTTGAATAAACATTTTAGTATCGTGTTTGTTAGCAAACAATGTTGTTTTTTACTAGTAAAGTAGTATTTTCCTAATAATGTCAAGTTACACTCGACATCGACAAACGACGCAAATTGCCTAAGCCCTTAAGTGGAGGGCGCTATTATCGCCACTCGAGCCACTCGGAGACAATTTACTTGATAGCTAACCCATCGTGGATAGGCGAGTCGCATCCCTAGCAAGGAATGAATGACCAGCTTATGTACTTTACCTATTCTTATTATTTTTTATTCGAAAGGTATAACTATTATTACAAGTATAAATAACTGTGTTTCGTTAAGAGTATACACATATATACTAATGCTCTGTGCATACACAGAACATTCAAGGGCGCCGCTACATACTAATAATAAAGATCTTTGGCTGCTTTTTAATAAACAATAACACGTTATATATTATTACCATACTATTCATGTGTTATTCTAACTTGCACTTCGCCGCTTTTTTACGCTAACGTCACGCCGAATTAATCATTGTTTACGACATACGAATTAAAAAGCTTATTTTTTGAGTAGATTAATGCTTAGCATTCGTCGGCCGCTAAAAAAACATGAGTTTTTAAATTCGCTCCCCAATTCCCTGCCTTCCTTCCTGTTAATTGTGCGTTCAAAGCGTAACATTTTACATTGATAAACGTGTTCGAATTAAGAGAAAGCCCTGTGAATACAGTAACGAGGTGGTTAACGGCGTGGGGCGTGAAATGAACTGATTCGTTCAGCCATGATAATTGATGTCCACTCCGATCAGCCGCGTTATTTTATTATTATATTTACTCTGGTGCCCTACTGGACTGAAATAGAAAGGGGAAGCGGGCTATAACGGCACGTGCAAGTTAACAAACATATACTTTGCATCGTTATTCAGTAATTATATAACGCTTTCATTTTTCCGTGATTTTCACCGCTTTCAAAATAATCTCTTCACGACGAGGCTCTTGAATATTTATTCTTTATTTGCTTCATACACAAAACTTTCGTGAGCAAGTAAGTAAGGCGTAGTTCATAACTGATAAAAGGAGTGGATAGTAAAAAACACACCTCGAAAGCATTTACTATCGCGACGGATCCTATATTTCATAAATAAATGCAACATATTCATATCGGCGGAATGGCTATGAATAAAGAATGAATGAATTATTCACTCTGTCCCCTTTTACTTCACATTCTGTGAACATTGGATCCGAATAAATCACTCAGAATATTGGTTTGTAAAGATCTGCAGTCTAGAAAAGATCTTGTCATTATGACTTGTTTAAGACAGCAGGAGTTTAAAAGAACCGTAGTAACCTTTGGCTTTGTATCGTTGGTAATTTAAAAAAAAAACTTACTTATGTATTTATCTAAGTTGATTGGAAGGACGCACAACCAAATACTCTTTCGATTTTTTTATATTACTATATTGGCTATTGGATAATTTAACTTACCTTAGGAATTGGATCTGTAATGTTGTTCTGTTATTGATTGTTACTTGAGGATTAAAAAAGATTAGTGAAAATGCGTAACAGGACGAGCCCGGCGTGTGATCTTATTGGTAGTGTGAACGTAATCTATCATAAGACACACGCGGCTCTCCCTGTCTCGCTTAATCATCCCGAGACAAAAATGATCGAAGACTTGTTACGAAGGCGCTACTGTACTGTACAAAACGTAGCGACGCTACGACAATCGCCAATCAGCTACGGAGCTACGTCAATCTGCGACGCGCTACGAATCTACAAAACTCTACGACCCTCTACGGTGCTACGATTCTAAACACTACTGTTTTTTTGGAAGTGATGCAAGAACTTTGTTGTGTTAAATTTGATTGAAAATAACAAATTTTCCTCTGCATTAATTTAGCATTAAATAAGTCTATAGAAAAGTTACAAACGACCACAATGTTACATTGTATTGTATTCTAAACGTTAAATTTTCCTAAGAGGATTACAGTCCGTAACTTACAGTTTGAAGTTTAATATTGTTCATTTCAACACGATTTAGCTTTTCACTTGCTCCCCGCTGTTTTTGTCTACGTTTGCCATTGTTAGTAACTTATATTAAATTTTGTTATTAAGAAGTTTTTTTATATATATCTCCTTAGTCTATAAGTCTTTTATAAATGTATTAAATTAGTATATAAATATGGATGTATATTTTTATTATTACTATATTTTTACCAAATTTACTGAGTAGTTCTCTTTGTAAGTGGGTTATTCGTGTAAGTAGCTGGATGGTACCTACAGTGAAATGTAATTCAACCTCCAACTATTTATCGAGTGCAGTTTGTATAGACTCGTTTGAATGAAAATCGAGTTGTTCAAACTTCAATGGTTGAAATTCGAATTGTTGGTAAACTCATTTCGGCCCCAGGCGGTCCTTTGAAGCTGTCAAAACTTGCCCAAGCTGAAAACAAGAGAACACCAGCTAAGGAGCAGACTTCTTGAATTTCGAAACTGTATTTAAATTGAAGTATTTAGAGAGATTATGAACTTTTATTAAAAGTAAAATCGATCCAATAAATAAGGACTGTAAAAATATATTTTGTATCATTTTACTGGGTAAGTATGTAATACTTGAGTTTTGTATATATCTGTACTTTTTACTTTAATGTAATAGTTATTGCTTGCCTAAGGTATACAACTCGAACAGGACATTACTTATAAATTTATCCATATCAAAGTTGTGTCTCATAAAAAGCATCACTTACATTGTCTCCTCCTTTTGAAATCACCGTAGGCCGCAACAATATATTTTTATCACGATTCAGAATATTCTTCTTAGTGTCGTCGACGTTCCCCATTCCTCCGTGGTCTGAACGACGGAGGCTCGCTTTCAGGAAACCTTTACAATTCGCTTCGCGATTTCTTTCAAAGCGACCGTTTTTGTGAGAGCCTGTCAACAATCTATTGTTAGATAAAAGATGTATAAAATTAGGCTGTAAGAAATCTCAATTTTTCCTCCGTTTATATAACACGTAATTTTTACCTAAGATATTTACTTTTACTTTTAAAAAAATTATACTAGTTTTTGTTATGGGGAAATTTAGAATTAGGAATAAATATGGTTTAGATGGAGTAATGAGAGGAGAATAGAGGAATGAAAGAAAAGCATTTTAAACAAAACCGCTTTTATATTAACCGTTCAAAATTTCTAAAATAAGAGAGTAGTCCCCCTGCATGGCATTCGAAACGCCGGGCCGTAATTAAAATATATTGTGAATAAGATAATAAATTTGGCATTTTAAACCGATAAATATTTTATTTCTAAAAATCTAAATTTTATGAGACTACACGTGCAACTAAACTCGTATCCCATTGGGGATACGAGTTTAGTTGATACTTTTGTAAAAATCAAATAATTTCATCGTTGAACCCGTCTTATTACTTTTCAGCCTTTTATTAACACGTCAAGTTCAGTGCGGACTTCATCTGATAAACTCGTATTATGAAGTATTTTTTATCAAAGTTGGCCACATTATTGCCAGTACCATTGATTAAATTGCCGGCTCTAGCATGAATAACGTCCATTATTTGTGAATTTGTAATGTTGAGTTCTTAGAAAACGTATAAGATATAACCAGCTCTTCTCCTTTCGTTGGAAAATTGCAAAAGTGCTCTGCTAAAGCAAACTTGCTCTTGCTTTTGTTATTACTGTAGGCCCATGGGATCGCACAGTTAAGTTCTCGCACTGCAAAGAGTAAACTAGAAAAGCGATTGGATTTTGGGATTGTAAAACTGCGAGTTTCCTCTCTTGTTCTGCTTACAATGGACGTAAATGGTTGCCTGGTCTCAGTAAATGCCGGATCTATCATCTATTTTTCTTTTTCATTACACACGATTTGTTCGGGCAGCTAAAATTAAAGGTTCTAGAAAAGAAAATGTAAGATCAGTTTATCCTGTCATGGTGTTCGATGTGTCTATAACAGTCTTTTTGGTACACATACATAAAAAAAAAATAGTTACTATTTTTTAAAAATCATACGCAGGTACTTATTGATTTCATCGGATCCAATTACTTTTAACGAATTTCGCTTACAGTGTCGCGTGTAATTGTCGCTTTCAATTGCGTCGTGTCTATATTTCGGTGCCGGCCGAACGGTTGCCATGGCAACGGCCAATTAGTGGCGCCACTGTCGCGTGAAGTTAATTCCGGGCGTTTGCGTCAACGCTGCGGTATCTGGCCTCGTATGGTGACGCCTTAATTACCTTTTGGGGTTTGCCATTTCAGATTTGAATTTCCTTCTGTGTTCGTGAAGACCTCATAGAGGGCATAATTCATTTCTTCGTTTTACAGAATATTGTGTCCGTCACATCACATCAAACGTTTATTTTAAAATATAGAAGGAAATAAAGATAGAGTCTTATTTTTGGACCTTGAAACAAATGTATACATCTGATAGTAGTTGTGATAGATAGTGACAGAAATATAACTTTTCATGGACTGTTTTGTTACGGTTTTGTGCGACATAACTTATCATTTCAAATGTATCCGGTGTTTTATTTGAAACTATGACTTTAAAAGAACATAGCTTGTAATAGAGGTTTGGAGTCGAGTCACATATTTGTAATAAACGGCAACAGTGTGATAAAAAGTAAATTTGCTCCGGCAGGCACGTAAACTCAGAGTTCTTCTGACCCGCTTCTGATTCCCCGGGAGATTACAACGTTTTTCCCGGCTTTACGGGCAGACACCACTGTCGATTTCCATTTGACTATATGTTTAAAGGAAATATGATATTGGTGGGATCTACATCATTTATGTTTTAAGCCTGCTACTTCTAAACACATATAAATTAAATGTTTTTTTCGCCATAAACTTAGACTTTGCATGTTCATTTTTAAATAAAAAATAGACTTAATGCGTAATCTTTGGTTTGTTATAATTCTTTGCTGTGCTTACATAGTTGATTGAGTGATTTCGGTTTTTATCAAGCGAAATAACATGACATCACAGTCCCCACATATAAAGCAGGCGTACTTGTAATGTTGTTATATTCAACGTCACAGGAACGTGACGTCCCTTAATTAAGTATTTTTTGCAATAAATACAATTCAAAAAAAGACGTACACTCGCTACCGTCTATGAATAATACAACATTCAACAGTTTACAATGGAATACGTTTTATTATCAAATTGAAGAATGATATCGTCGAGGATTTCAACTGTCTAACCATCACGGTCTATGATCAAGGTGTGACAGAAGGATAGCAGTTTTGCTGACAGGGTACCGTTTCAACCATCGGGTACGGAACCTTAATATTGTAGAAATGTAACCTACATTAAAAAGATATCATCTTAGGTCTAAACAATGTTCGTGTCACAATTTAGTCAAGATATAAAAATGCGTTCCAAGATTGCCTTTGAATGTTTAGCTTAAGGAAAAGTATTAAAGCATTTTAAAATAATGTTAGACCTCTTTTATGTTGTAAATGCCTTCAGACAAATAAAATACAAGGAGGTATTTAAAAGTTTCAAAGTATTTATAAGTTCTCTCGTTTCTGGTAATTTTCTTTTGAAACATAATTACGTACTGTTCTTACTAATTTTGCTAATAAAATTGTGCTTTCTGTTAATGGGCAGTGTCACAAAAACTTAATGTTTCAGTGACAAGAGTGCTAATGACGCCATTTTATCCTTCATCACGTAACCTTTCAACTTCGCAATTACATGTAACGTTTGTTTGTTTCAGGTATCCTCGTATAGCCCAGACTTCTGAATAGCAGCAGGAATTCATTTCACATATTTTTTTACGATATTCCTTTTGTTTAAATACATTTTAGTTTTCTTGATGTGTTTTATTATTTTCGTGGCTACTAAATTAATTGATTGTATTATTTTTAAAGGTTGCCTGACTACGTTAATAATACGGAAACATTCGCTAAGATAATGTACAGTAGTGTGTACACTAGACCGTTGTTATGTTCCCACTTAGTAACCCCAAAGGATCCACTGCGTAAGAAATAGCACACGCAACACATTGTCACTTTTTTACGGCGCGCGAGAGATTTTTGTTCCAAGGCTCATAAATGAGGGTTGTGAGGCGAAAGGTTTCATAAAAAGCTCCCACTATATCTTGAAAGTTTGATCACAATATATGGGAACGCGTTAATGTGTGTACTTTTTGCATCTTCTCTTTTGTTTAACTTGGACCGTTTTATATATGTAAAAGATTGAAACTTGCGTTGGCTGGTGACTTTACACCCACACTTGCCATTAAATGTTGTGTCGTGTGCCGGATTATAAAATTTGTAACATAATCATAAAAACCCTCGCATCTTAAAATTGTATTTTTTTATTATGTTTTTTTGAGTAAGTAGTACTTACAACTAAAGTAAGGCAGTAGTACAACCAGGTTTTTATATTCTAGCTTTTGCTTTGGAATTCTTACTACAAACACTTATTAGCACATTTTAAGTCTCTAAGACTAATAATATTCGGTTACATGTAGATGTTATTAAAAAAGGCAGTATGTACACTTTATTGTTCGTAAACAAAGCGCTTATGTTATTGTACAGGTGTCACGTTAATGGATTGAAAGCGGCTGAACGAAACAATGGGTTGGAAGGAATTAAACCCGATCGGGCGTGGCGTCTGCACTCTGTAGTCTGAATGTGCTGTTGTCTGTAGTTCGACAGATCGTACTCGTTTTGTTCTTTGCTTAATTGGATTTTTTCTTGTCTTTTATGTTGTTTTTGATACTGGCAACGGCAACATCAATCTACAAAGCACACAAAACAATATTTTCTACCTAAGTAGATTCGTTAACCGTCGTTAAGATTATGCAAGGTATTTGTTAAAGCGAATAACGCTTGTATATATTGTGATGTATATATTATATTTTCTTCCTTTCAAGCTTCTAAATTGTGTCGTTGATGTATTTGAACAAAATTACATAACTCGTCAAGTATCGAGAAGGAAGCAACAGAGTGCCAACTGTTGCTGAACTCGGTAATCGTTTGACGGATATTAACGTGTTTTCCCCATGCTATACATCCATGCTTGCGCTATCACTTGCTAACGCTACGATGAAAATTTTACGTAGTACCTTTTTTGAGTGATACGTTTTTGTATATATTTACTACTAATAAATCTATACTCTTGAAACCCTTAATGGTTCAACGATAGGAAAAAGGCTTCTGAGCTAAATATTTGAATAATCTCTTCGGAGTTGAAGTTTCAACGATTACAGTTTCGACATTTTCTGATTAAAATGTAGATTTACACTTTTTTTTCAATTTACATAATTTAACGTATAGCTCTACTTCTAAAGTCTACTTTACTAGAAAAAGATTACAAAATTATTTTCAAATGAACATTCAGTAGAGAAAAGAATGTGAGAACTTTATTATATTTTTTCTTTCATCTCGAGGTCGAGATTAACCTGTCAACCGCAACATGATCAATTCTCTGACTCGGAGCTACTTTGTCAACGATAATACTACCGCTGACAAATCGTTTTCATGATAGTAGTATCTGTATATGTAATAAATACATATAAACGCAATGAGAATATTTTACTTCGGTGATGCATTTAAATAATCAATATCTGCAAGTCTAAAATGTATGTTTTTACAAGTAAATTTAAATACGAATTAATTAAAAACTACTGAACTATAAGTAACTACTATAGTGTACAAATTTAAGTCTACGTCGGCATCCTATTCTTATAACGTTTTTCCGCTTTTTGTTCGTTCGTTTAGATTTGTTCGTTAAAACTAGGATTAAAAATATATTTTTTGTACAAAATAAGATTAATATAACTAACATATTTTGCGTATTAATCCCATACAGCGTTTTATAAAAAACATAATCAAATAGACGAACAAAGTTAAACACGACTCTAGAGAGACCTGGAGAGAGACCATTTTAGAAACAGCTTATTGGAGGGGCTTAGTATAAAAGAACTTCAAACTAGTTATCTGAGCTTGTGATTAAACATTCCGATGTTAGTATGGAAAGGTTGTTTTGCATTCTGAAAGCTTCTGCTAACTATAAGTTGCTTGGCTCGTGCTGAAAAATTTAGGTTATTGCACAATTTGAAAACAATTTTGTAACATTCAGATATACATTATGCATTATGATATCTAATTTGAGTGTTACCACTAAAGGACAAATAAATTGTTCATTTATATTACTATGAGCTTCTTAGACATAACACAATATACAATCACAATCTGTCGTGTGCACATTTGAAACTATTAATGTTTAATCAAAGTAATTTACTTACACTGCCCAAATAGTAATCGTAAATTATGACAGTTTTGAATTTTTAACTGTATTGATATTCATAAGTGTACATGACTTTTTGATTCTTAAATTCAATATTTTATTATAATCCATCATTATTTTTTTTTATTATAACGCTTGTAATTACTAGTTTTTGGGAAAAACGTAAAATACTTTATAAATTTTAAGTAATGCTATTTATTCTATCATAAATAAAGTTTCAAGTTTACATTCTCATCATTTTATCAGTGCTCATCATCATGACGTCTTTGTAGGACCACTTCATTAACATGTCCTTGTCGTAGTAGGTGAGATCATCACGCTTCATGATCATGTCGGACATGTCCATATCCTTCACTGAGTTCGATGTTGCCAAGTCCTTGTAGAAGATCTTGACGTCTGTAAACTTCATGTTGGTGGTGAAGAAGTCGGTCAGATCGATTCTCCTGTCGAAGGGGAAACCGAGAGGCATAGTGTCGAAGCACACGGTCCAGCGACACGCGTGACGGTCTTTCATTACATTAAGGTCAATGGTGGGCAGAACCATACCAGTGCGCACAGGGGTAACAATCACAAACATTTGCATCTCAAAACCGCCAACAGTACCACGAGGAAGGAGCAGTCTGTGTGGAAAACCGATACGTGTTTTGTACCAGTAGCTGTCGACAATCTTCTCGTACGCTCCTGTAGTGTCACGGCTGTTGTCGAAGAAACGACGGGTCCATTCCCTGTCACCGATGACGCCGTGCATCTCGAAAGAGTTACGGACGATTGTGTTCTTGCCTGTTTGCAGTTTGTATAAGAAGCTGTCGAATTCAACCATATCGTGACGCTTGTCATCGAAGTTTAGAAGGCGACCCATGCAGTCGTATTTCGGTCCAATGAACACTCTTACGACGGCGTCGATTGTCTTCTCCGAGTCGACATCAATTGTTACCTTGAAAGGTTGGTGGTTAAGGCGGCGCATTCGAGCGACGAATGTCATGTCAGATTTCTTCTTTTGAATTTCGACGTCGTCGAGGTACAAAGCGTTGGTCATGTCGAGGTCGTATTCGTCCATGAAGGTGACAAGTTTGTCTGTGGTAATACGGTCTACTCTGACGCCGGGGAAGTCGAGTTCGGTTCTGGTGTATCTAGGCAAGTACAGCTTGAACAAATCGGCGTGCTCTGTGATACGCTTCATTACTCTCCAGAAGAGTGGGTCGCGTAGACAAGTTGTGTACATGTCCAAAGCGGTAGGGATGTATGTGTATCTGTAAGGAACATTTTCAATATAATGTTGATCAATTATTATTAAAGAAATAACAATAAGGGTAAACAAAAAAAACAATTTTATTTAATTGCTCAACCACACTTACTTGTCAAAGTTGTATGTTCCATAGGACAAGAGCCTTCTGAACAGATGTACAACATGTATGACCTTGGCGTCATCGTTGACGATACCCAAACCACCCAGCAACACTCTAGCAAGGTTTTCGAAGTCCTCGACCTTCTTCAAGTGGATGACAGTTCCATCGCGCTGTAATGTATTGTTTGCAATTAGCACAGGGCATTTAAAAACCACTGGTTACTCCATAAAATAAATTATTAAATCTCTAAACAATTACTTACTTTTTCAATCTTTCCAGTTGTGATACCGTCGCGAATGATCCTCTCAATATCTTCTACGTACATTCTTTCTCTTAGGTTGTATTTGGTAACCAGCTTTACGTTGTTGGGACGGACCGGCATCTCATCTCCTGTGTGTAAACGGATCTTGGGCCAGTATCCGACATTGTCCTTGTCGTCGAACTTGATCATATCAATATCGCACATTCTGTTCGTTAGACGTTCTAACCTGTAGCGAGCGAGCAACTGTTTGTGAGCGTACATGGTGATCTCACCGCGGCGCTCCTTGTGTAGATTGTATGTGTCTTCAATCATCCAGAAGGGGTAGCTCATGTGCAAGTAGTACATGTATGTGTTTAGATCGATGTCTTCAGTGAAGTACGTGAGACGGTCGTCTTTACTGAGAGTGGTGCGAACACCTTTACGCCAGTCAATGACCAACAGGTTTTTGTCGGTCACTTTAATGCCATAATAGTTGAAAATAGCTGGGTCGGTGGCGGCCCTGGACATCTTTAGCATAAAGGCTTTTTGGATGACATGGCTGTCGACGAAGAAGTAGGGGTAGATCTCGTAAGGTGCAGGGAGGACGATACCGCGACAGTCTTGGCGGTGGAAGACGGCGCAAGTGAAAGCGTAGACAAACATGCCACCGTTGATACGCTCCCTCAAGAAGCAGGCGGTTCGGATGAAGGTGTCAAAGTCCTTGGCAAAGTAGAGCATACGGAATGCGACGATGGCTTGGTCCATGTGGTGCAAGTTAGTGTGCACGAAGATCTCACCACGTGGGAGCATGCCCATCTTGAAGACTTCAATGAAACGTTTGACGACATCATCTTTCTATAATGAAAACAAACAGCTTTGTTTAAAATTGACATTTTTAAATACTTACATTGAGTCATTGAATTGAAAAGTTATTATTCAGTTATAAAATTCGAGTTCAAGGAAACACTCATGGATTTTACATTTTTTTTTTCAAATTAACAGCAGTAATTAAGCAACAGTGCCACGAACCAAAAATTTGTCGAAATTGTCTTCAAGTACGAAGTCCCGAGCGACATCGCGAATGTCGTCGTACATGGTGGGTTGCAGGATGTGGTTGAGTAACTTCCAGCAGTAGATCTCCTTAGTTTTGATGTCCACGTTAACTGTAATACACAACTACTTTAGTACTACGTAATTACAGCGAAGCTGTCTGAAAATCGCTTTATTACATATTTTTTATTATCTATAGCATTAATATAATATACATTTTAAATTTAACTTGTATAAAAATTGTATTTCACTTGCACCGTTCTTTTAAATTGTTTGACATCGCATTAATTACAATTGGTTTCATATTTTACACGCTAGCGTTAATCTTATTTAAAACCGACCCAACTTTGGATTCGGCAAAGGCGACGGGCAAGGTTCTTTGGTCTCGAGTCATTGTTCTTATTGTAGATTAAAAAAATAACTCACCTAAGGTATCCTTTCCAATAACAAAGTCCTGGTAGTTAACATCCTTCAGCGCGGTGGCCGAGGCCGCGACGACTAACGCCGCCAACACTAAGAACCTCATGTTGCTGCTCCCTGCCGAATGTGCTGATCTCGCTTCATACTCCCTTTTTATACTCATTTTTATCTGACTGTTTTCGCTCTCTCTCCCCGGATAACCCCTGATCTCTAATTGGTAGATATCGTTGGCAGGTGACATATAACATTGTTGATGCAAGTAATCGTTTTTAAAATTTGCATCTTTTAGTATCCAACTGCAAGAGCTGATTAGAGATATAATGACATTCGGTCGGCAGGGATTTGATTCCCAACTTGGATGTTGCACTTGTAACAAACGTTAGAGGCAGTTAAATTATCACTGTATCTGTAATGTATCACTGTATCACATCTAATTACTGTAATATCGTAAATTCTATTTTAATATTTTTATAACGATCAAGAAAAACAATAAATCAAGTGGCAACTTATTGTTGAAATTAAAAGTCTACTAAAAAATAATACTAATGTGCGGGGAAATTGTTATATTAATAATAATAAACACCGCTTTATATATTTTTATTTGTCCACAGACATTTCGGCATGGGTTCCCGTTCTCACCAACGGCGCTCGCTTGGGACCCGATACAGAAGCTTCTAGCAATCGGCGACAAAAGTGGAAACCTCAGAATGTATCCTTTTACCAATTTATCTGCAATAGGATTATTCCATTTGTAATTTACCGTTTATAAAAATATATATTTTTAAAGCACGTCAAGCAAAGATGCCTTGAATTCTATTCAACTCTAAGACTTTCAAAAACTATGATGTTTATGTTTTATTGATAACAGTAGTTATATTGATTTAACTATTCACGCAATGAATCGATCATAATTCTATTGTTACTTGGACATGCAAAGTCATGAGCTTGTAAAAACTCAACTTACACTATTACTACTAACTAGAGATAAAATATAATTTATACTTCTTTAATAATTATAATAACCCAAATATTAATAGTATATAAACGTCTCGAATAGGTAAATAGAAGGAATAATCCTTCTATTAAACACAAATGATATTTTCCACACAAGTATACAATTTACTTATCAATAACATTACAATGTTGCCATGATTACTTTTCTTTCTTAAACAATAACTGAACGTTATCTTTAAAATTATGTCATACAACAATTGCATTGACTAGATAACAGGTTACACATTAATGAATTTAATTTATTTATGTTTATATATTTTAATTCTTTACTAAGATACATGTATTTTTAATTTAACTTACTATGTAAACTTATATAGAAACCAAATGAAAGAAAATAATTCCACTGCCTAACCCGCGTGACCTGTCGGCTTGATTGCTAATTATTATGCTATTTTTATCAGTTAAAGGTGGAGTTATCGCGCACGACAACAGCTAAATATTTTGCAGGCTTTGACCACAAACGTTGCTGAACTTTAGATTCACTTTGTGGTATACCACAGATAGTAAAAATGTGCATACTAATTTCATTTAAACCCTTTTGTATTCATGTTAATCTCTTGTATACAAGGAATTATTTAAAGCGAAGCTAATAATAAATAAATGCCTCACATTAAGTATGTTTTCCTTAATTTATAGAAAAAGATTAGAAAACAATGCGAAGCAGTTGGGTAAATAGTGTTTTACTCGAAAAGAAAGAGCACTCTAATAAATTTAACCTCACTTTAAATCTAAACTCATTAATTAAAATGTTATAATTTCAAAACAATTACAAACAGTATTAGAACCTCACAACAATCCCTCGTAGAACTATAGCAATTAAGCCATTACTCCGAGCTAACCAGCAATTTGGCCCCACATTGTAGGACTCTCGTAACTAAACATCAAAGGGCTAATATGAGTGATAACATTAGTTAAATATGATATTGAATATGTCAAAGGGATAAGTAATTTCGTGGTTCTGTTGTTTTTGACTGTACTAATAATTATACATATACATATTACCCCATTTAGAAGTTCTGGGCACATAAAGATGCATCGCTGTGCATAATATGCTTTGTATCTGAGACTAAGGTAAACTGTCGTTTTTCCAATATGTTTGTTCAGTATTAGAGGAAATGATATAAAACGCTTAAAATTGTAACGATAAAAGTGACGTCGTACATTTTTGTACATTTCAATAAGCATTGATGTAATAAAATTGAGATTACAGCATTGATTTTGCCAGCTATTAATTAAACAGATCGAGCTTAATAATTCTGTATAAATTATTCCGACCGTTGCGTTTAACTAATTGAATGAGAAATGCCTCCGGAGAATTAAACGATATCGTTAAATCAAGGATCAAGAGATATTAAAGTATTACTTTTTGATTAACAATTTCTCATAATAGATGACACAATACTTATATATTATATAAAACTAGCAAATTGCGATATAAATACTGCATGAAAGGAAAGTTAGCTTTTGTGATTTTAGAGCAAAGAGAAACTTGTGCAAAATATACAATGTCTATCTTTGTTTTTGAGGGAAGTACGAAATTAACGTTTAAATCGTAAACGTAAGTTTACGTTCTGTTACAATTACAGACATAATTTAAATATAAGTGAGAAAATTTTCACCTTTTCCAGTCGGATAATGAGCTCTAAAAATAATGAATCTTAAGACGGCGAATATAAATGAACTGATGTAGAAAAATGGAATATTAACAAGTTCGTCAAAAACTAGTAAAGTGTCCCACAAAATGTTCTCGAGCCCATTCACATAGTTCCAAAATGGAGCAGCTTCCGGTACATTTAAGGCTGCGCCGGAAGTAGCTATCTCCGTTCCACTTTCCGACCTAGTAAATCTGTGTGTACCATTCGCCTGGCAACCAGCCACGAATCAAAACTATGATTATATTGCTTATGACTGACGTTTATTACTGCATTGATTTTGCAACAAGATAGAAGGGTAAATTATATTTCCATCTGTCACACATTGACACCATATACTTTTTAAAATAGATATGAATAGCTTTTCAGAAGTGACCATCATCTATAGTTTTTTGCATCTTAACAACATTTCCCTTACCTTATATTAGTAGAAAAAGAGGGTCGAGTAACATGTTGGAGATGTTTGCGTCTACATGATAAAGATGTACCAATTTTGTGGAATGACGGGAACGTAAGATGGCATAATAGAGTGCAAGACGAGTCCGTGAACTTGCTCTTAGGCACGTTTCAGGGCAGTGTCAACGCTCGCTTGTTTTTCTTAGCTGGCCTTTTTGCCATTTTTGAGGCTTGTTTGACAACTTAACGGTTGAAGAAATGAAACATTGGAATCGTATTTCTATTGTTTTAATTTCAAGTCTTTATCTATTTAAAGCGACAGTATTGTGCTTAATGCTTGCAAGGGAATATTCGCGAGAAATACGTACAACGAACCATTACCATAAATGCTATAACAATATTATCATGAGCAACATTCTTCGTTATTATGTATCAGAATCAGGCTGATGAATTATGGTAGATATTACTTTAATGTTTACTGCTTCTCCGCGCCACATCTTTAAGAGCTTTTACGATCCACTCCGAACATGAATTATCAATGCCACATAATATCTGCGCTTCAAGTTATGTGCGATAACTGCGTGGTAGTTAAGTAAGTGCGAAACAGATAGACTTTATTTGCTCGAAATTAATCATAGTGTACAGTATTATTTCAGTGGTAGCAATGTCTACGCCAAACAAATGGTTTTAAAAAGGAGAACGAATGTCGTAAATAAGTCAATTGAAAAAAGAAATGAAGAACTCGGTTGAGTCTTTTCGGTTTATTAGAACGCTACGCCGTAGCAGGATTACGGTTAGTGGCTTTAAAACAATAACAAAAAATTGTGTAAAATATATTATAACTACATGTTTGTTTTATTAAACCTCTATGGAATATTTAAATGTGTGCCGTAATAATGCCCTGTACATTATTACTTACCGATATACAAATACATTTTGTTGACACAAATTTATATAAACAATAAAATTATCGCAAACAACCTTTTCAAACTTCGGTACAACTTGGAGCTTTAATGTAATTTTACTCTCGTTCGAGTTAATATGAGCTCAGAATTAATTAGCAATTACAACAGCTGCGTTCTGTACGCCGTATACAATTCAAAATAATAAATGAATAGTATTATAATCATTCTTCTGTCTCGTGATATCTTCCAGAAAATAAAACGTAATATTTTTAAGTATAGTAGGTTGAAACAGTATTATATTAACAGTCCCATTATAAACCTTATACATTTCAGAAATATACCACAACAAAGACTATAGAACAATTCCCATGAACTGCGCATATAAAATTCTGATATTAAAACACATTTGAAATGCAAAGAAGGGTCCTCGTAAAATTCATGCCGGTATTAATGAATACGCTACACAGCTCGCCCCGAACTTTTGCCGCTAATTTAATATCTGTCCACATCTGAGAGGAGAATTTAAAGTTATTAAATTTGTATTTACACGATAGCTTGAATATTATTAGTCTTGTGAACGTTATACTTTGTACTCAATGTGAAAATGGAGTGTCGATTCTGTGCGATATTAAATATCACTATTTAAAATTAATTCAATTTTCTACCGTAATAAGGCGTCCACAGTAAACTACAGCTTTCTATATAAAGGTAGGTTGTTTGATCAATATTGCAACGAGGCTTCGTATGTTCATGTATCCGTTTGTACAAAGCGTTTGACGCATTCGAACAAACAGGCACATTTGTATTGGACCAGGCACACTGTCCGCAAATTGCACCTCATTGTGTAAACACCATCTCAATACATCCGCTTCTGTCTCCCCTATCTATTTCCAGAAGATATTCTATTTTGCTTCAACGTTAAAGCCTATAGGGATGATTGTTTTAGATCTAACCCTGCTCACCTCTCAAATAAATTATATATAACTTCCTACTTAAATATATTATTAACGCTAATAATAATTAGATTGTAATATGTTAAATTTGTGCTAAATTAGAATCGCAAGATTATACGTATCAATAATATCCTGAAGAAAAACCAGACTCGGAGGTCCAGGCGTCGACGCGCACGTACGACACGAAGCTGGAGAGGTGGTACTTCACGTCAAGTTCTTGGTGAACGAAGGTGGACTGGTGACTGCCACAGCCGACGATCAGCTCCATCTATGGACGTTTCGACAGAAATCACCACAGCGGGTGCAGTCACTTAAGTTTCAAAGAGAACGGTAAAACTTTATTTTAATTATCAACTTAGCTATAAGGTAATGATTGACTCCTTCTCCTTTCTTTTATTCTCCTACAGGGTAAAGCCGAACTACTTCTGAACTTATATTATCTTGGAGAATTACCTTTTTCATACGTCTTTTTGAGTTATTATAAATACAAATATTTAAGGCCGGTTTTGTTGATTCGAAATCCTTATTATATTGGGAACAAAGATGAACTTTTAATGTTTGACAGGAAAGTAAACGGTAGCGAAGTATCTTTCAATGTTCAAGCCTTCCGCGAACTTCGGCAAAAGTTTAAAACCAAAATCTGCTTTATTAACAAGATGACAAAGTGCAATTTATTTATGTATCATTTGTATATTTTATAATTAGTAATCGGTTGTTGGATGGGTTGCGTTTTAAATGTTGTCCAAGACAAATTTAAATGTCTAAGAAAGGAACTGTTAAATATATTTCACCTCCTCCAGAGCAAAAATAAAGTTATATAAATGTTTGAAGACATAAAAATTAACCGGGCCCTCAGTCTGAGAGTGCTTTAATTTGAGCAATTTATTTCCATCATTTTACCGAGCGCACCGTACAAACAAGCAATCTAAAAGTTGGGAAGATAAACTTTTAAATGGATAACTGTAAAAGTTTTATTTCGGAGAATAAAGACCTTCGTACGATTGAGTAAAGGACGCGAGTGGATCTCACAGGTGCTATTTATATAATTAGTTATATACAGTTAATATTAAGGTTTAACCTTAGAAACCTGATAATATTAAAAACGAATAGTTAACTTTTACGTTAAGTAACACTAACTGAAATACTATCTGTAGTTTACGCGAGTAGTACACATTTAAATAAAACACTTTAAAGGTTTCAAACGCGATTTATATGGCACATCACAATTGTAAACATTTGTGCTATATGCTTAAACACATCCTCTACTCTGGTATTATCTTGGTCCGACAAGGTGAAAGTTTTCCAGTATACGGACAACGTGGGTGTAGTTTAATTACACTCGTTACTTGAGATTGCTCTCTGGAATTAGTTCGCGTTAGTGTATTTGAAATCTCTTTTACTACCTTCAAATAAATGCATATTAAACTTTTTCATATGGCATCACTGATTACTACTAATTGGACGCAGTCAAAATTACTTTCTTTGTAATGATGTTAGCTATTAGCTGTGACTTCGTTTGAAGAAGAATAAGGAGCAAACACACATAAACGTATGTTTTTATAATAGTCTATACTTACTAATATATTAAAGGTGAGGATTTTTTTGTTTGTTTGTTTGAACGCGATAATCTCAGGAACTACGGTTCGGTAGAGCATTTATCGAGGAAGGCTATAGGCTATAACACATCGCGAGGTGAATAATAGGAGCGACGAAACAACGGGTAATGTGAAAAAAAAAAAGCGGAGAAAATTATTCATCAATATGGGTTTCCGAGCCGTACGCTGCAAGGACTGTTCAAGATACCCAAAAAAATATCTACAAAAGAATGACTCCTCTTTAAATTATCAAAAAAAAAGTCCCCGACGCTAAACGTCTATCTTTTAAGATTATTTGCAATAACGACGGGAAGGAACGCGACCGACGTCGTGGGTAACAGCTAGAGTTTATAAAGATGAAGGTGTTTGCAGAAACGAATTTGGATACGCAAAATAACGATTCTCGCGGACGAATCGCTGTCTCAGCTAGTATTTCATAAAGGTAGGCTGGCATTTCGCCGTGATCGCAACTATTTGGAGTCCTTTAATATTTGTACCCCACGACAATATACAGAGAAATTTAAGTTTGACATAAGATATGCAACAATGTCGCTTGGTGTATTGGTCCCGACATAGTAATAAATGACGCACACTTCAAGTTATAAACTCGTCATTTACAATGTCATATTTACAAACAATCACTTATTGTTGATGTTATTCTTGCACCCGATCTGACCTGACGTCTTCGTGCGACTGCGCGCACTGCTCTACGTACCTGTCTCTGTCTGATATTACTTAGTAGCTGTGTCAGCGACTTCGTCCGCGTAGAATATATTATTATTTTGGGCTGCCAAATTTGTTTTGTTTGCGAACCTCTTCTTCATCTTTATAAATTTAAGTAGGCAATACGTAAAACATCGGTTGCGTCACTTCGTTCTTGCAAGTTTAGTGCATACAAACAAACTCTTTAACTTTATATATTAGTATAAGACAATTAAGCAAGTTTTGTCACAAAATCTTTAAATACACAATATTATTATGAGGATTAGTATAAATATGATATATTTTTCAAATTATTTCTTTCCTCATGTGGAATTATGTACATAAGAGCGTAACCTCATTTGCCGTCACGCCATTCGATTTAATTTCAAAGCAAAGATACTGCAATGTTTCTATTATATGTGTAAAGATAATACTATTCCTATACAGAAGGAACGATATGTGAGCTCTGAACTTAATTAATATGCAGAATATCAATAACATGAATCCAAACTCGAGGCGAGGCCGGTGGGCGTTGAACAACGAAGCTAATCCACACTGAAAACGCAATTAGCTTGCGTAACGTGTACCTTACATCAGTCTAACAATTACAATGATCTAACAGTAACAATATGATTAAGTATCGTCTGTGGTTGACCCGCTTAGTGCACATTTCATCTACTTTAAGATAATTATTGTGCACAGAAACAATATGGATTTCGACGACTAACGGCCGACAATGTCCTATTTATTTAACTCCTAACAAAGGTCTTGTGACAGACTGATGCCCGTCGGTCAACTTAGATGACTATCATTGTTTCTTGGTGACATGGGTCCCAGTCGTAAAAAATTTAATCTCCACATTGGTGCTTACGCAGAGGTGATATTATCCCTTACATTTTAAACGTGCCAATGCATATCAACCGACGTTTTAGAGAGATCGTAAAAATTTATAGCGAAACGTTGTATGTAGCGTTAACGTGGGATACATTAAATATTATTGCAATTAATATTTACCGTTTAATGTTCCACAAACGATTTTTTACTGTGAAAAAACCAACACTTTGCAACGGAAATCTACATTTGAATTGCGAATTAATCTGCTGCTTCGAAGTTATTGAAAAATCGATTTGAAAATGACAAAAGCTAGGTAAATCGTAAAAACGAAAACAAATTTCCTCTGGATAATTGCATCATTCAAAGCGCTCTATTTACTATTTAGTCGCCACTTTAATGTTTTTTATCAATATTTATTTCGTATTTGAAAAGAAATTCGATAAATTTTGTTTATTTTAGTATGTTGTTTTTCAATACTCAATACCATTCGTTAAAATTCGTGTCTATATAGTAGAACCTCGTACTGAGTTAACGATCGTTGGAAGGTAAAAATATTAATTTCGGATTTAAATAAGCGAAAAACTAACAGTTTAGATCGTTCGAATTAATTCTTAGATAGTTGTAAATGTGTAGTTTCAAATCTAGATGTGGCTGTGGCACACGCAAGATGTTCGTTAGCTTGCTATATACTGGAATCTACAGAAAAACATTCCATTCATGCAATTTTATATAAATTTTATGAAGGTTGTTACACTACTTGTGAACTGGCTATTCTATTTCATGTTGTCGTCTCCTGTGCCGGGCAGGTACATATCCAGCATTCTAATTTTTCGTATCAAGGTAAAGTAGAGTTTAGATAAAAAACAACGATAACACGAGCTAGTCTCGACACGACTACAGCGATGTGAGCTACGTCGTCACACAAGTGATCCTGTTTTTTAATTCAAATTAACATTTTAAGCGTCACAACAGAATTGTATACTGACCTGTGACCAATTAGCATTAAATAGTTTAGTATGAGGCTGTTACCGATGTTTTTAGGAGATGGTCTCATACAAAGGCTTCGCACAATACCTTTTTTGTTTTACGTTTATCAGGCGATAATATACTCGAAGGGTAAAAGGAGATGTGACTTATGATACTCGTTCCCAGTAAATTGAAAACAGGCAGCAGATCATATTTTGCGAGCTATACCATACGGTGTCATACATCTTTATCGACCGTGATGGTATCTCTGAGTCAACGAATCTAAAGTTACGTCTTTAAACACGCGTTCTAAGTTGAATAGGTTTCTACATGATTTCCATTTAAAGCCTTTTGAATAATTGTTACTTATAGACTACTAGCTGGTGCCCGCGACTTCGTCTACGCAAGATTAGGATTAGGATTACGTAGTATCCCGCATTTAAACTAAATGCGGTCTATCATATCATACATTATATAATTATGTCCAACTAACGTTTATGGCGGCGCACGCCAGAAGAGCCCGCAGAAAGGTAGGTTTTTCCTAGTTATTTGACACTTTGTCATATTTTGGACATTTCACACAATATCTTTATAATTTGTAGCCTATCTGTTATTCTGATGTCCAAGCTATATTATTGAAAAGTTTAATTGAAATGCATATTTTGTTTTAGCTGTATTCTTGATATTATAAAAGAGAACCACTATTAGTAAATGTAAATAAAACAACGCTAAACGTTTAAACACGAAATATATTAGTTAACTATGACCCGACAAGTAAACCACAGACAATAGGTACTTAATATAAAATCGTCACAAATGACCACGCCCGGCTCTCTGAAGTAAGAAGTATTGTGGATTCGTTGTTCAGATCAGTTAAGCGAAGCCCATACTGATTTTTTATTTGCTTGTAAATGAAAGTCTAAAGATTAGTTGTATGAACATTCGTTTACCCAGCTCTACATTTCAATGTTTTACCTGTTGCATTATAGAAATACCCAGATTAGTTACTTAATCATGGCCCGAATACGTGTAAGAACTGCCGAACTCAAACACGCTCTGAAGTTTTCCTGAGCTTTAGCCTCATTAGAATTAGGGAATATGAGACTTAACGTCGCTTACAAATTTAAAGAGTTCTCGTGAGTTGCAAAGTAAATCTAATTGAATTTTCAAAGATTTATGTTCTACTAAGGGCTGTACATAACTTATATAAAACGCGCTGCCATAAAGAGAATATGACATTTTGCCAATATATGTATATTAATTATAAAAAAGGAAATCCTATTCGGCCAATGGGGCACGGAGCAGGCATTCTGTGTTCATTCAGATCGATTTTCTTAACAGGCAAGTAGTTGTTTAAACATTCTCATCTTATCAATGTATCGTTTTCCTGCGATTCGAACCGAGGATATGTTTAACGTGCACTGCACATTTACCCATCGATCAACAGACGTAACCAGTCGTTAAATCATAAGTTTTGTATCTGAGTTTGTTTAAATATTACCCTACCATACTGTATATTGTTACTAACAAAAATAATAAATTCGATACAGACTACACAAGTCTCCAACACAGATTGCATACATTGTATGGTTTTCCAATAGATCGGGCTAGATAACATATTAGATTTGTGCCTAAAAATGAGACTGCAATGTGTATGTGTATATAAGTATATGTATTCTGTCATTGCCTTTTTCTAATACATTACATAAATTATGACGTCATACATGTGCTATCATTACTATATCAAATCGTTTATTGCACCAAAACAAATATCTCAAAATGTTATGCTGCATAACTGCAGTGTAGTTTTCGAACATTTGAGTTTTCGTGCAGTCGCGTTGGAATTTTTAAATTAAAACATTATTCGACTTCTTAGTTTCTCGCTTATCAAAATAGTTCACGATTGAATACGTACAAATATTGACGTTTATAATTGTTTAACCTAACGTTATAATGACTGACAGACAGACGACAAATAATGCAGATTTTTCTAGTGTTGAACACTTTTTTGGACATCATTTTCGAAGCTCTAAGTACATTTGTTTGTTACACAGGATCACGAGTCTTCACCTACCGCTATCTTCAAAGTGGCTGCACGTTGGCACGGAACGAGGAAATGTGCACGTGGTCAACATAGAGACCTTTGCCCTTAGCGGATACGTCATCAACTGGAATAAAGCCATAGAAGTGTAAGTACTTCGTCCTGTGTATTCATAATCACTGGAGGCTTTTGACATAAAACATAAAATGAATCCCAGGTCCTATTATGCACATATTAAGCATATAAAAAGGATGTTTTATTCTCTCAGAATAGAATCGTAAGTTCAAGTCGAAAAAAGAAAATGTGTATTATGTAATTAAATTATTAGTACTTTTTATTTGTAACGATTAAAGTTACAGAGGTAATTAATGTACGTTATATGTACTTTGTCTAGATAATAGATTGAGGAAGAGAATTATAGATTAATAAGTTCTCTATCTCGTCCATTCACCACCTCTGCCCTGAAATATCAATACTGATGAAAAATGAACCGCTCGTTTAATTAAATAGATGTCCATAAACACGTAACACGGCTTTTAGCTGCAGCTCTTAACTAATTACCACATTCGCTCACGCTCGTTCTCGCTTATTCTCTGTATAGAACTCTTCTAATTGGAACATCTATTTCCTTCTATCTTAGAATACAAAGTGGTCTGATATTTCATGATATACCAAGCTATGTTCCGAGAATTTTTATTTTACGCTTTGTTAGACGTCAAAGTCTTTACTTACAAAATAATGTACAATGTGCATATCAGTTATTTTTTTAAAAGGTAAGGTACAAATGTCTAATGGCGATAACGGCGTCACGATCTCTAATTTAATGACGGTAAAAAAACCCTGAAAATACTGACTTTCTAATATAATAATTATTACCCTTCTTTTTTAAAAGTTTCTGATTTTCCCCAAACGTTAATTGCCCCTTTATGAATTACCTACGCCTTTAAGAACGGAGCTGATAATCTTAGAGAGTTTTTTCCGTTCACGAGAAATTAATTATAACCAGTTAAGTCGACTTTGCAAGGAGCTTGCAAAGTTGAAAGATTTTATATTTTAAAAGCGTCTTTTATGACTTCTTGTTGACCGCCGAGAGATATTAAGGCTATATTTTCTAATAAGAAGTTTTTAATTTCAAGTAACCAGGCCGATTAAAATTCTACGTCGACTTGTATGAAGCCTGAACGAGGAATTTTATAACTTTGTCGTTAATAGCTTACATAACTAACATAGTTGAAGATATTGAAGTGAATATCTTATTTTCATGGCATTACGTAAATCAATTTATGGTAGAGTCTTTTAGCTTCGACATAGTTCCTGTTAGAGCAATAAACAGCAACGTTTCACAGTTTTAGGATTGGAAACCGTAACAGTGTTACGAAAGGCACTTAAAAGTTACTGCTACGGTGCGCTACGACGTAGAGGTACCTACGTAATCTGTCGAAAGCCACAGCTTACGGGGAGCACTTCCGAAATGTAAAATTTAACGCTTTTACATCGCGCGTCCAATCTGACATTGTGTTTCGAACATTAATGTTTACGAGTAGGTGCGGATCGGGCCTCGTTTAGCGAAATCATCTTTTTAACAAACCTTTAACGGTTTTAAATTCTACTTCATAAGGTTTTTACCAAAGAAACTAAGATCCTACACTTAACTAATATAACGTAGAAAGCATAAAAAAATTCATTTTTATATTACTTGTTAATATTGGTATCTGTTGCATAAATTGTAATAGTTCTCGCGACCATTTTCTAAAAATCTTCTTGGATGGTCTAGTTACTAGTACGACAACGACCGAATAATTAAAAAAAAACAAGAATTCATTCTACAAATAAATATAAAGTAAATTATATAAAAGGACATTTTATACCTGTTGAAACTACAGAACGACATCTTAAGTGGCGGTCCTCAACTAATTATTACATAACGAATTGCCACGCCTTGTCGTTTAAATATGACAAGGCGTGCCTAAATAAGACAACAAGTGGCACCCTCTACAGTCTACAGCGTAGTTACAACAACTTAGATAGCCGCTTTGCAATCTAGAACCGACCTCTTAGCGGTTATTTTTTATGCCGTTTAATGTAACACTTTGTAAATGAACGGTTTATATGAAAGTAGGAAGTATATTTAAAGAGTATAGGATAATCGAGGAAATACTTTTTTATTTTCCTTAATATATCGCCTTATGAATGAAATATTTTTTTTAGTTTTAATTGTGTACAGATTTATTATATAAACTTTAAATCAGTTTCACTACAAAGAGTGAAACAAACTAGAATTGTTAGTATAACGATTTCCGCTTACCCGGATAACAACAATAGGTACATAAAACCCGACCGGACCGCCATAAAGCAAGCTATATCCACAGGTTATATTTCTCCTCTCGATACCGCTATGACATTGCGCTTATCTGGCCCCTATTTTAACGCCATCCACAAATATATTGCTTTATTTAATACTTCGTCTATCTGATTTTGTGCCTACTAAATTGCTGAAATTGAATGCCCTGATATCTGACGTATACATGTGTATGTCAAATGTCAAATACTGTCCTTTTTATTGACGTTGTTATTCATGGGATACGCTTATCTTTTCACTTTACATATCTATGGCTAATTGTTCTAACTATCGACAGCAGTGAAATGTAACAATACACTTAAATAAATCATTACTAATGTCTACATACAAAAAATATGATTTAACAACATCTGGACTTATGACGTCGGTGTTGTAGTTATAACTTTAACTAATTTAAAATGTGGCCGCTTACTAGATTTGAGAAAAATTTAAATGTAAGTATAATTTTCGAAAATGAAAAATTGGTTTTATGACACCCAGATGATTGTTAAATTGTAGCCAATGTGTAAACGAATTATATAGTAGTTGCGTAATATTAATAAAATTAGGTGAGCTGTGAACCACATTGAGGTCGGGTCCTAACGAGAATCATTAAATTTGCACGAGCACTGCGGTCCACTACGCAATTTAATTACATACCTAAATAGCTCAAATCTTTCAATACTTTTCAATAAACGCGTATAAAGAGTATATTATACTGCAATTTCAACTTTAAAATGAACATTTTAAATATTAAATTCGATTTGCAATTAACACCTTTTCAATAAAATGTGCTTCCTTTTCCCTCTCATTACGCGATGCGAGCTCTTTGGAAATTGATGCAATGCAATTATTTTCGGAACAACAAGAGTGTTAATTGGAGGCTGTGTCCCGCCGCGGGACTGGGGACGGGGACGGGACGGAATACGGCACGAGACAATTAAACTCGTTATAATACACCCGCAAGCCTCCCAGCGAATCCTTCAATTGTTACGGAACCATTGTTGGTGGAATCCTATTAAAATGCGATGAGTAACTAGAGATTCGCAATTATAGTTGGTACGCTGTCTGTCATTTACGGAGATCTCGTTTATACATGTACATACAATTTCGAATTCGCACTGTACTAGACTAGATCTGCTTAAATATTAATAATCTGCTTAAGTATTCATTAAAAGCTCAAAGAGTTAAGCTTTGGTGAATTTAAAAACAATACAACAGTTTAAATGTGTTTATTCAACATAAAAAGCAACAAATAAACAAAAAACAATAAATCATGTACTTTTAATGAGGCTAGGCAACGCTGAGCCTACTCGGTATTGCTATAATATTAATCCAGGCGCTGCAAAACCGAACCGATTATCCATAACCTTCTCGTATTAAGATTATAATTGCTAATTCCGCAATTGTCGATTCACTCCGTCCTAAATTAGAGTTGTGGGACCGATAACGAACACGACTATAATAAGGATAATCCTAAATTATTATTTATGCAGAATTAACGTAAGTAGCTTGCGTCATACAATTTTGTAGTCTTCGTCTAATGCAATACCTACGGAAAGCTATGCCTTATATCCGGTAACTATCCGGTTTCGACGCTAACTCTATTAGCCTTTACTGAGTAGGCTATATGCGTCAGTTCTAATGTACAGAGTTGCAAGTATAACACTATTATACAACTCGATTACAGCAGTAAATTCGTTATTACAGTATAATACCAAAATTTCCTAGAAGCACCAGCAAAATTATAGTCTCTCTAGTTATGGTTGGAGAAATGTATTTTCTCATAATATTGCCCTGCTTTCACTTATTAATTAATAAATATTTTTGACATTATGAGATTTATGAAGTTTGCAATAAAATATGAACAAAAATACGCACTCTAGGAGGGCATAATTAGGATATGTAAAAACCTTAATCCACGTATAATTAAATTATATTTGTATTCAATCATTTTAGTGCATAAGTATGTTAGGTAAAGTGCCTTTTAATCATATAAGATCAATATTAAAAGGTCAATTTGTGAGTCAACGATATGGCCACCCCGGCCGCAAGATTTTGTAATAAATCCTCACACAACAATAAGCACTTGGAAAGCTCGGTTACGATGGGTAATGAAACTACATAATATTATGTGATAAAATTTTATCACTCACATTATATCGTCGTCTTGTATATCTTTATTTGCCGATATATTATCGTTATTTTGTAATATTATATTTATTTTAATGATAGCGGAGGCGGGAGGAGTGACATAGACTTCACGTGATGGGACATGAAAAATACGCTTTGGATATTCGGAAATACACAGACTAAAATCGAAACGTAAAAGTTCACGGCTTTTTCATCTGTAGTTAGTGGTTCGTGACCCGGACGAAATTTCGATTTTCCTACCACCCATTTTATATCCAGATTTCCAGATGCATGTTTCGGAAAAATATATAAATTGAAAAATTTGAAAAATTTTGGACCCGATGGGGTTCCGTTGATTACTAGCCATACATACCCTGGTACTATTAGACCAACGAGCCCGTCAAATCTAATCTTAAAGGTCTATAGTCTATGAATAAAATCGGCTAGTCTATATATTTGTCTTCATCGTCCTGTCAAATCGTTCCATTCTTTGTTGTTTCGTCGCATATTGTGTTACCTAAACCACTCTATTTTATTGCACTAGCTCGCGTGATAGAAATGTTGCAGAGCAGTACAAATCTAATAAGGAAATATTCGCCAGAGCCCGGTATATTTCCAGCCATTTTAGGTCGGACGTTGGACAGTTTATTCAGCTGTAATTAGTTTTAGAGGCTGGCGGAGCCCGAGCCCAGGCGTGACCAAATACTCCTAAATACACACGATGTTATTCCAGCACAGCTAGTTATTACGTGTCCAGTTTAATTAATAACTTAACGTAATTTATCACTTACCAATACACTTACAAAAAGGGCAAAGGGCAAATGGCTTTTCATAGCTTTTTAGTTTACTTGGGTAATAAAAAATTAAAACATTATAAGCGAATTTAAAAGTGTTTAAATTTTTTTTCTTGTGTAAAATTTATTATATTATATTTGCTGGAAATTAAATATAGTTCGCGCAATTCGTAAAAGCTATAATGCGAGTGACATAAGATCAATTGATTATAAAAGCAGCACGGTTTGTTGTAGATGCCGGTTCAAGTCCTGTTCAAGACTTAGTTAATTTTTTTGTAAAGGTTGTTTCGTCTTCACATTTAGTGCCTTTAAAGATACAGACTAAGAGATCGTTTGAAAATTTTATTACATTAATTTTTTTTCCTCATCATCTCAAAAAATTAAAAATAGGTGTGGATATGCATAGGTAGATTTCTCTACACTTTGTTTCTTGATATTGCATTACAAACGTTTTCTAAGATTTCTGTTAACTGCGCCCGGCGATTAGTTATCTATCAATTATGCATTGGCGTCTCGTCTCGACGATCTGCTAAATGTGCGGAAGATGGGGGTCAACGACCCGTTAAATATCATCCGTATTTGTAAATATTCAGGGTGACGTTTCCCGAGGCGCCTGACGGCTGCTTCGTCAACAAGTGGCGCCACGAGGCTGATATCGTACTCTGCATGCTCTGTCGTTACGCACTTTATGACCGCCGAGCCTAGAGTTTTCTCTCGCGTATCATTCATATATATGCCGTATTTTTCTTCACCTAGATTTAATTCCAGGCCATTCCTAACAAACAGAGACAATAGTAGATAGAGCAGGACCTATTCATTCGTATTTTTCGTTTTCAGAACACGACCAAACCACCCCGGAGCAGTAGTTGAACTTATTGATAATCCTTTAGATGCTAGTAAGGCAAGTTGCAAGTTCTTATATATTGTTAACGAAGTTATTACTTTATGCTTATTTATATTATTAAGTAGTATATTCCATTCAGACATACTTCTTTTAGATACATTCTAGACTCTTGACCCCCTGACTGACAACTTAACAGAAGTTTTCTTTATTTAAATACAATCAAGCAAATAAAAATAATTCCTAATTTGATTTACCCCCCTGGTTTAATAAAATTACAGTTGCTAATAGCCTTCGAGAGCGGTTTGGTAGTAGTGTGGGATTTGAGAACTCGCGCCGCGGAATGGAGGGGTTGTTTAGGTACGGGGGGGGCCCGGGGGAGGCTATTCGGGCAGCTGCCTGGCAACACGATGGCAAGCTGATGACGGCTCATGCGGACGGAGCACTCGCCACTTGGACGACCAGATCCCCGCGACCGTCCTCACTGTCATACCCACACGGTAAGGTTCTGCTAAATTTACTTGCCGCATTTAAAGTTATTTATTACTTATTTATAAATAATAAATATTAAACATCAATCTGACATGGAATCCATAGAACGAGAGTTTATTCCAAATACCTTACAGCTACCTACAAATTTACAATAATTTATAACAACTTAATCTGCCTTTACTGGATAGTTCTAATACGATAGAAATACTAAATAATTACATTTAAATGTATATGTCGAAAAACAAATATGGTTTTTCATTGTACGGATATTTTTATGTTGTTCGTTTCACTAATCATTTGTACTTACAGGCGAATTATTTCATATAATTCGCCTGTAAGTAAGTATATTTCATATACGAGAATTTATTTCAGCAAAAGCCAACAAAGAGGGCAAACTAGAGACCTGCAAACCTATTCACCGATTGGAATGGAAAACTTCGAGGACAGGGTAAATACGTAATTATTTATTTAGCACGGGGACAGCCATCGAAAACTTAACTAACCGAAGAACATTAAGGGATATTAAATTTTACTTTTAGTTCTTTTTAGCATTTCTTTGTATTTAATAGTCGGTTATATAATTTCAGCGAGAGTCTAGTAATATTTTCTGGGGGACTGCCGACGGACAAAGCCGGTCGTACGCACAGCATCACCGTTCTCAATGGAAAGAGTACCACCGTGTTGGAGATGGAGCACAGCGTCGTTGACTTTGTCACTCTTTGTGAGAGTCCACACGCTGCTGGTGAGTACCTACATTTTAAATTTAGAATTAAAAAATATCGTACATAGTATGACTTTAAATTAAAACATTTAAAAATGAATAATCAAGATCAAAAAAATACACATCAGCCAATTGCGAAAGCAGGAAAAGTATAAACGAAGAAACAAAAGGGAGATTTTCTAGCATTGCTATTTATTTACTGGCTTGGCTGGTCTGTAAAACATACAGTTTTCAAGCGAAACCTTCTAAACGGCCGTTGAGTACTTTTGTGATGTATGTATGCTAATTTTTTAACTGGCATAGTCTGAAAGAAATGGATGATTCCATTCCGAAATAAGTATTCTTATTCAAGTTTTCACTTCTACTGGTATTACCTACTAGAGTGCAAATAATTTGAATATTCTTTTAATGATTCCTAGTGATTACTAATTTATAATTTTAACAATTGCTTTATCATTTTCAGATTACCAAGAACCGTACGCAATAGTAGTACTTTTACAAAATGACCTGGTGGTTATAGACTTGCAGTCACCAGGGTACCCATGCTTTGAAAATCCCTATCCCATGGATATCCACGAATCTCCTGTTACTTGCTGTTCATACTTCGCCGACTGTCCCTCTGATTTGGTAAGCATTTCTTTAGTGGGATTTGATTCACTTAAAAAATTGAAGTCTGGTAGGTTAGGTCCTTTCCTAAAGAAATATTGTATAATTTAGGACTTATATATAAGGTTGTTTGATTGTGAGCTCAAATAAAATAAATGAATAATTATTTTATTAAATTGAGAACTTTACTTCGGCGGCAGGTCTTTATTAGGTTATCTTGGCAGACCTTTTTAACTATAGTAGAGGTGGAAAGACAAGCATAAAGTTGGGATATATCATGGTATGGGATATATCCCATATTATTTCACTTAATATATATTTCCAGATACCAGCCTTTTACTCAGTAGGTCGGCAAGGGAACAAAAAGGCGGCAGGTTTTAGTGAGAAGCTGTGGCCCATAGACGGGGGAGAGTGGGCACCAGCCTCGTGTTCCTACAGTGAAATTATACTTACTGGGTTAGTTATTCACATTCTAAGTAAACCTTTCTTATTTTACGAACACAATTTTTATGGTCTTATGGTACTCTTTACAAAGCCAGCAAAGTCGGTAAAGGTGGTAGTTGGTAGTATTTAATAATAACTATGTATTTAATTTTTTTAATTAACGCAGTGGTAGATTAAATACAATTAAAAACTTAATCTTAACCTGTTTACCTAACGACCTATTTTAGCGTTGAAGATTTGTATTGTTGTAAAAGATTGCTTTTTATTTTTATTTTATTTTACAGCCACGCAGACGGTAGTGTAAAATTTTGGGACGCAAGCGCGGGAACACTACAGATTTTATACAAATTAAAATGTGCTAAAGGTTGGTAGACAACGCTTTTCGCTATCTTTTATTAAAGGCGAAATGCAATAAAAGGGCAGAAAACCTACTAGTGTTTTTAAAAGACGGCAATCATGTTGCTGGTCATGTCGTTGTATTCATTTAACTAAAAGGTATATTATGTGATTTATAGTTTGTAATTCTCGTTTTCAGTATTCGAGCGACGCACAAATAGTGGTAGTGGAAGTGGAGTGAGCGTTTTGTGCGGCGAGGAGGACAGTCCTTTGAGTATCCAACACATGGCTCTATGTGCCGAATCGCGACGGCTGTGTGTAGCCCTCCCACATGGACACGTTCTGCTCTTCAAATTTCGGAAGCAGGAACTCATGGCGCAGACGCACGTAGGTGTTATAAAAATTCTTTACACCATTTCATTTAACACCTATATATGTTAATTTTTTAGTCTTCAATGTATTCTATAAGCTAAAGACACTATAAAAGTGTCATCACTTTTAAATACATATACCCATACCTGTTGACTCTACACTTTCTAAAAGTGTATATATATAATAATAATGTACAGAGAGGGATTTGTAATGTTACAGGTATTGGAGATACCTGTGATAAGTGATGCAGTGGAGGAAGAGACATCACCAGACGCAGACGGCGCCAGGTCCGCGTCCTGTGGGCGGACGGACGAGGGCGATACGCGACGGGTAAATATTCCGCTTAAGTTAATTTCCTAACCACGTTTATACAAAGTACCCTTTATTTCTTAAAATTCATTCTAAATCTTAGTAAGTTCTATTACTTTTTTTTTACGTGGGAAAAAGCTTTCGGATACCCACCGCACCAGAAAGAGCAAATTGGTTATATCGGACTTAAACCTACTAAAACCCCACAAATAAGAACCATCCCGGGATCTCAAATTTGGAACTCCCTGGAACTTAACTTTAACTTTTAAATAAAAATGCTGCAAAGCAACCGAAACGTCGGGCCGAAGTTAAAAATCATTTTCAAATAAGTTTAACTAATATATCGCGTTTTAAACCGTTAAAGTATTTTATTTAAATGTGTACTACTCGCATAAACTATAGACAGTATTTAAATTTAACTTTTTTTAAAAATAAAAGTCATAACTTTAAATCAATTTCAATTCTAAACAGATAAGTCTTATTTGTATATCCATTACAAGGTGTAATTCGAACAATAAGGCGTGAAAGCCGCTTATTTTTAGGAAGTAAAATAAAAGAAAAAGTGCGATATTTACCCGCTTTTTTTAAATTTATGACAATAATTTTAAAAGTGGCATTCGTGTCAAGATCAAGCGCTCCTATGTAACCTTCTTTATCTGTTCTGTACTCGTCTTGGTAGCAAACTGGTTCCTGGTGCGGTACCGGCAGCGTGCGTGTACGAGGCAGTTCGGGTACGGGCGGTGTTCGGCGTGCTCCTGGTTTTCAACCTACCCTCGTCGCGCTTCAGCAAGGCCCACCGCATCCTCTATCAGTTCTCACTATTAACTCTTCATACGGACTGTAAGTATCATAAGTCTTTATTCAAGGGTAGTTCAGGATAAATTACAAAGTCTTATAGACAGTGAGTTGTCGATCTACCTGGCACTTAAATATAATATAATATATACATCTCTATAATTACAGAATAGCCTGGGGTGGCGAGCGAGGCATAGTCGTAGTGGATATGTGGCGGCGCGTCGTGGTAGCAGCGCTGCCTGCGCATGCGCTGTATCTACCTGAACCCACGTTACGTCACGAAAAACACGATCGCCACGATAGGCGGTCACCCGACCTCGATCAGGTAACACGACATTGTCGTACCATTCTAAACAGATTAATTAATTCGAAGGTTAGGGTACTAAATTCATAGAAAGAACCACGTTTTGTAGATTTCCCTGGCAAGTAAGACAGAGGCGAAGAAAAATTTATATTTAACATCGGAAGTTATCCGATTTAATATCAATGTTAATTGTATACTAGTAGCTTCGAATACGCTATGTAGCTATCGAAAAACGTATAATTGATTGAGCAATCGAACAAGACATAGACATCCGTCTTTTGTGCCATCTATCTCTCATGATATTATTTTCTAAAGTAAATACATACGTCAAAACCTTGTACTTACGTACGTAAAAACACTTACGAATGTAGGCGGGTAGTTACATGAACAATTTTTCCATATAACTTGACACAGCAATGACTAAGATAGTGGCGAAAATTTCACATTTAATTTAATTTGCTTTTTGATTTCCTTAAAATTTGTTTTGCGATGAACAGAATATTGGCACAAGTGTCCCTGGTTTGCCATAAAGAAATCCTTTACACCTATCTTGGTTGAATTTGTAGCGCTAATGAGGTTATACGCTTGTCCATATAGAATACAGCATGGCATTAGAACTCTGTTACTGGCTTCAGTTCACTCTGTACCACGCATCACAGTAGCCGCACCAGCGCTACTCCGACCTTTGCCAATTATACAAACGAATTTAATTATTTACTACTTTTACAATAACTCCCTTAAGATGTTTAAAACTCATTTGTACCTTCTTTAATTCAAGCGATCATTCCTCGATAAAAGATTCTTCTTTGGCTGTCAGTTCTCCGAACGAATTGAGGAATGACCGCTCCTACATCTCTGAGACGCATTTGACCGCACACGTTTTAATAGTAAATGTGCGGTAATACAACAAAATGATGTATTCCCTCTCCCTGAAGCTGGAGGAGTCACCGGCGAGCCCGGAGCCCGCAGAAGAAGCTCTGCCCGATCCCAAACTCGACATGAGGCGTAAATCCACACCTTGGAAAACTTTTAATCTGAAACGACAACTCTCTAAAGTCGATTTAAAGCTAAAAGCGGCATTCGCTCCGGTCGACAACGACGAGCTCAGCGAGAAGAGTAACTCTCAGTTTTACTGCGAACCAGTTGAAAAGCTAGAAAATGACGTGAAAAACCCTTCAGACCATACTAACGACTCGCCCGACGGTGACGAACTTATCGAGAAACTATCAGAAGACGATAAAAATCAGCTATCATCACCTTTGCGAGTCTGTTCAGATGTCTTTGAAAGAATGCACAAAGAACTGCAAGAGAAACGGTCGTCCGATGTCTACGACAGAATGCATAAAGAGCTGCAGGAACGGTGGCAAGATAAAGATCGACAGGAATCGTCGCCAGATGTGTCCCCGTCGAAACTCGGCGACGACGAGAAGGCAGTCCGACCTGATAACCTTCCTCTGTTCGACGACGAAGGTAAACCGACGAGGCCGCCTAGACAAAAGAGTAAAAAGAAAGAGGATCTACGAGACCAAAGGCTGCTATCCGTCCCGAACATAAAGTATAGTAAACAGGAATCTGTAAAAGACTTGCGGAAGAAGCAACCCGCCCAGCAGGGGCAGTCGTTCGCCGGAAACCTGATGCGACGTTTCAGTAAGTACTTCCAGGACCATCTCCACTCACGCATACATCACGCGGATCATCGGGGCTCGGTAGCACTAGACGAGATCATGTAGCGTAGACATTTTGGCGGTAATGGTTTGCTGAAATTCGCTTTGTTTACTAACTTAGACTTAACAAATAGAATTTTGACTCATAGACTTAGTAGTTAGTTTTTCGTAATAACGAAGTGTAAATAAAGCCAATTGAATGCCATACTTAAAATCAATTTTAATCTCTATCGATAACTTTAAACATATGTATACCGACTTAATTATGCTTTTCGCTTCTTGTGATATTTCGCTTTTTATTTATATCAATTTAAGTACCATCATATTATAGGAGATCAATACAATAAATATAATCTATATATAGAGACGATTATGTTAAATGTATATAATATGTATGTATACTAGTTAAAAACGAACTACTCACGTCCTGCAACTGAGTGATAGGTGAATTGATGAAATTTTTCTTTCCCAAGGACAAGGATTCATGCGACGAGGAGTCTAACTGCCTTAGATATTTATTCGCCGATCTCTTCGGTAAATTTAAAAATGGTTATTATATTATTAATTGCATTGAGCGTAGGTTTCTTGTTACCCGTGTCCGTTTGAGGTAAACGTAAGCTAAGTAGCAACCCTAGATGCGCACCGATAGCCGCTTGACCACGCGCGAGAGCGCCTCGGTGACCGCTCCGACACATTACTTACTCCTTTGACCCGTCTGCTTTCTCCAGGAGATTTTGTAGCGAGACTTTGTACGAGAAACGAACAGAACGTTGAGGAGGAAACGAACGAAGAAGTCATTCAAGTGCCCAACAGAATAGGTATGCATTCAGACCACAGAGTAACGACTACTAACGGGCGACGAACTTCACGCCTCACTAATCTCTATCGTACTTTCATCACGGAAGGCACACGAACCTTAACTCTTATGTCGCGCCGTGTCATCGAGGGCTAATGTTATGTCTGTTACGTTTAACCATCTCGGTCGGTGTCGGTTTCTCGGTCTCATCTCTTAGAAACTAAACTTCTAACAAACCAATGTGTAGTGTACCTAATGCGCAAGACCTCGTAGAACTTTTGGGCTTATTTTTTTTTTGTTACTTCATGTCGCTAACCATAGACGATGGGAATTCTTCGTAGGTAGGCAGTAAAATTTCAGTAGGATGCCATCTAACCGACGCGTAGAAGCCGCGCAAACGAACCGAGCGCCTGGTGGTGAGGTCGGGTCGGTGTGTTGTGTTGTAGATGAACGGGCCGGGCGGCGGCTGCGGCGGTGGCGCGGGCTGCGCGGGCGCGGGAGCGGTAGCGGGCTCGGCGGCGGGCGGGGCTCGGGTGCGGCGCTCGCGGTCGCAAGGTACCCGCAAACTGCACAAGTGCCTCTCCACCGCGTCCGACGTGTACGCCGCGCCGTCCGCCCCGCAACACTCTCTGCTCACCACGCGACAGTATTGCAGTTTTGGTAGTACAGTCACCTTATAAGACCGCTCTCGTCTTTCCGTTCTGAAGCAGTCGCAATTTCCTCCTTCTTCTTTCGTTCGATTTTCCTTTTTTGTTCGAACGCGTCGCTCGATTGAGTATTCCAACGATCATTTGTAGCCGCAATTCTGCCAATCAGTCTTCGTTACCAATGTTCGCACCCATTAAACCATGTCTCTATCAAACGAGCTCGCCGACCTTATCCGATATAATTTCTTTCGTTTTATTTTTTGTTTTCTTTATTCTATCTACACTAACTGAACTTTCTTCATAACTGAAACTTGTAATAGCATAGTCCGAGATTGTAAATTTGAAGATAATCTCCGAACGGACCGTAATTACTTCAGATTTGCAATTTTACCATGAATCTTTTAAAACACTAGAAATTCATAAACGACTCGTTCCGTAAGAAGGAAATGTTTCGCGTAACACAATTGCGCCGCTTACATCGTGACATGCATGCGTCAGGGACATGTGTATACTTTATTTGTTTTGTTTCAACTTTCAGATCGGAATCATTTAATAGGTAATCTAAGCTATAACACTCACGTATTATCCTCGTTAGTTGTCATTCCAAGTAGTCGTTCCGTGTTGTACCGTCGCTAGCGTCGCGGGTGCGTTATCGCATCGAGAGCGCAAGGCGCGCCATCCACTCTCGGCCTCCCGTGGACGCCGTCGGGAGGGCGCCTGAGGCCGTGTGGATGGCGCCTCGTTGCGTCTCCCCGCCCCGTGACCACGCTTGTAACATGTTGTGGTTTTTGTCGATACAGAACCACCTATTCCGCAGTCTGTCGCATCCATGGAGTACTTACAAATAATGCAACCCAATGGTATCCAAACGTGCATCTATTTTACATTTACATTATTCCGATTATATTTCGTTTTGGCACTGTAGGTGGTCGTTCTTCTCCTTAGATTCGAAATTGTGGCTGTATTTAGCGATGTCTCCTACACTGCACATAATTGCACACTGTAAAATGCGGCATGTTCTAGATACGATAACTAAAAGGTGACTTACTACTAAAAACTATCCTCTCTACTACTCTACTCTCTCACTCGCCCGTGCCGACGGACCTGCCGATAACTGTGTGTTCCTTTTGCATTCTGACCGAGGCTTTCCATATTGTTATCGACACGAGAGCATTTCTTTCCTGATTTCTTTGCCTTCTACCTATATTTTCAACTTGTTGGAAAATAATTTACTATAAGCGGTCATTTTATACTTTATTTGCTATTTTCGTATTTCTGTGTCAGTAAGTATTTATTCGATATATTGTATTTTCAAGCTCTGATCTTTGGTAATTTAATAATTTCGTACTGAGTGCCGTCGGTTACATGTTATTTATTTTTGTTTCTAGCTCGACCACAAAGCAAAAAGTTTATATGGCTCGTTTTTGGCTGCCTCTATATTCGACTGTCGTTTTGTCTATGTATGCTTATGGTATTTTCCTTATACGAAGCACTAAATGCATGCTACACTAAATTACGCACTTAATATAAGCTATGTGTACATATTTCTTTAGAATGGTAAATATTTCTATTTGCTTTGCATTTGTCTGTCCGTCCACGAATTGGCTTTTTACTAGCAATCTAGCGAATGAACACTTCAGGTGAATCGAACGGAGATCCCGATTATTAGACAAGTTTACAATTAGTGCTCGATTGTCGAGTGTTCGTCACCATCCGTCAACTCATCGGGCCGAAAAGGCTGCGCATGCGCGGGATTCTCCGGCTTGCGCCCCTCACCTGCACATTTTTCATATAACCACCGGATTTTGTTGCATTTAAAAGAATATAATTCACATTCAAGCTTATCTCTCTGACCATAACGTCCATACTGTCTCTCACTGTGTAGCTAACGCCATCTGTTTTGTGGAATGAAAGGGTTTCGACTTCCGCTCATCATTACATCTAATAAATTGTTCAATCTAAGTTAGATCTAAACACGGATCGGTCCAAAGTTGTGCAAATAAGCTGGGATTGGACGGGCATGCATTAAAATTCCTTTCTTTGGCATGTTATATCTCATCTTTTGTCTTTGCATTGAGCACTCGACGTTCCTATTCCGCCTCAAGAGGTGATTTCAGCTAATTTCACAACTGCACTTAATACCTGAATTCATAAAGTCTAGCTCTTGCTTCGGTGGCATTCGTTTATTGATTTTTTTTATTTCTATTAAAATGAAGTACTTCCAATGAATGCACTGTCACCGAGCGAGCCAAGAACTCCTAACCACGCGGTGGTGGGGGGTTTTTGGCGATAGGCTTAGTCTGACGGAAGAATGATATGTGTGTATTGTGTATACGGGTCGCGTAGACAAGCTGGACAGCTCTTTCTCGCGGTCTCGCTCGAGCAGCATGTCCAGCCTAGAGAACATCTCGCAGGAGGGCATTCAGTGCCTCGCTTTTGCCGACAGCTATATTAAAAAGTCAGGTAATAACAAAATACCTATTTTATTACTATTAAATATACCGTGTAAAAGCACTGTTCATATATTAATTCTAAAACAAATCGCTTCTCCCTTTAAGATCCAACATCTTTAGTGCCAACGTTATGGATAGGTACAACTCTAGGATCTGTGATAACGATGATGATCAACCTTCCGGAGGCCGATCTAAGGCATACACAGCCCGTTGTCGTCACGACGAGTGGTAAGTTCTAGAACTTGAAGGATCGATGTAAACCGTTTTACTTCCATTATTCCTCTTTATATCGAAACACATTTTATGTTTCAGGAGGTCCGATATTTAGATTAAAAGGTTCAATCTTAACAATGTCTTTTCTCGACTGTAATGGTGCTCTAATACCTTACTCCTATGAAAGCTGGAAGGACGAAAATAAAGATGTAAGTATATTAATAAGCGTATAGATTACTAGTCAAAAGATTTTCAATAAAACAGAATGTGACGCCACAGAGTCGGGAGCGAAGAGAGCGGACGCCGACGAAGCAAAGCTCATCGGGAAGTCACGGCAGCCACACGAGCCCCGTCCCGTTGGAAGCCGGCGATCGGCAGTTCGTCGTGATCGCTTCCGAGAAGCAGGCGCGAGTCGTCGCGCTTCCGAGCCAAAACTGTGTTTATCGGCAGCAGCTAGTCGACACCGACTTTGTCGTTAAGGCGGAAATTGTCAGCTTAAAGGGTACATTGCACCTTGCACAGCAATCTATCAGAATGTCAATCTTTCGAAAATGATTCAATTCCCTTAAGTAATATTCTTGTATGTCGATCACAGATAGTGTGTGCCTTGTGAGTTACCTGTCGACAGGCCACCTGTCGGCCTACAGCCTGCCGTCGCTCAGACCGCTTCTACATTTAGACTTTTTACCTCTCTCCGAACTCAGGTGAGGTTAAAGCGCGACTCCGTGTTTTAAACGATTTATCTCTTTTATTCTATTCACTTTCTCCGCTGCAAAATATTGTTTTGGAAGCTTCGAGAATTATGACAGCGTTTGAAAACAATGTTATGTAGCTCAATTTCTAGAAATAATTACGTTTTTAACATATCGACAACAAATGAAGAGGCGTGCAAATGATAGCACGTGGGCGCGGCACAAACTGAGACGCGCCCGCCTCGACTGTGGTCCTAAATGATAAAAACCTCTTTATCTCTACGTACGCTTCGCCACACTAAAGTTCACAGCTACTAATAGAGCACGAGCAATTTTATCATTTAGGAGCCGACAGGCGACCGACACTTCGGTTGACTCGATCGGTTTGCATGGTGCGGGACCGGTGACGCGACTGACGTCTTTGTCTATTCATGCATCCATATCCGATGAAACCGGTCCTGTATCAAGCGCAGATGAATTAGACGGCTGTAAGGTCCTAGTGGCTGTCGATTTTTTAATCACAAAGTAGACAAAATTTTGCAATCTGTCGAGCACCTCCTGTGCTTTCGATATTTGGCACACTCTACCCGTATTTTGTTTTGATTAAGCGGCCGAACCGAACACGACTCGAACACAACCCGCTACAGTGCGACACGAATGCATTTTGCCCCCGTGACTCGGTGCCGATCGATCTCCTCCTGACCGCGTTGGATGGTATTCCGAATGCTCCTAAAGCCCGACACCCGCGCTGCGACCCCTTCACCCCATGAGCGTCGCCATGACAACCGAATCATTCACTAATGCATCACGCGCGCTGCTCCCTCGCCGCCGCGGCCGCCAGGGGGCAGTGCGCGACGAGCCCTGTACTGATCGTGAACGTGTTCCTGGTAGCTTCCAGACACAGTCCAAACAGAGGGGTATCGTAGATCCAATGCTCTCCATTTGGGGCCAACAACTCATTGTAAACGAGGACACGGACCAGTAAGTCTTCGTCCATAGCGGAATTGCGTTACTCATGTACCCGTCATCACGGCTCAGCGAGGCCTGGCCTCCTTTGTTAGACATGTTAGTGTTTCATGTTACCCCCTTCCCCGTCCGGCCCCGCAGAATTGCTTGGAAACCCACCCCCGCTGTCTCCTTCCAGGACGTGGGCGACGCAACTCACGAGAACGGATTGGTGTCTAGAACATTACTTTATATGCAATAATTAACTTTTCTAAATCTTGTGCCGACTAATGATATTGAATATTTAATTTTGAATTTTGATAACCAGTTGATGACTTCAGCTAAATAAAGTTTTAACTTAGAAGAGATAATGTTCGCCACAACCAGATCGTATTGTTAGTCGAAATGGTGCCTTGTGATAAACAGACTCGCTCAAGTCCCGACTCCGCTTGCGTCCCCGCTTGTGGCTCCCCCCCACCACCACCACCACAAAGGAACACATCGTATCTCACTCGCTCATACATTATATGTAACAGTCCCACGACTCTACTCTTGAACACTATACCCGATCACCGCTCTACTCTTGTCTCCTTCTAGTTTCCTTCTCACTCTCTTTGTCTTGAGCATGGCAGCTGTTGCATGATTTTCTTTATCGTCTTACGATACATATTATTTTTATTTAGCGATGTCGATACATGTTTGCTTTTTTTAGTATAACTAGAAAATAAATAATATTTTTATTAGTGACAATTTTATGGATTTAATTACCAGGTGAGTTTAAATTCTTTTCTCGTGCATTGATTTTGAAAAAAATGTTTGTATAAGTATAATTTAAATATAAAGCAATTACTCCGCCATATTTGAAGTCATTAATCTAAAAAAAAATCTATTTAAACCTAAATCAAATATGACACTTTAATTTCAACATCGAAGGCTTGTCAATTGTCAGTTTACTTGTGGGGATTTACAACTTATTTAAATATATATTATTGTAAAAAAATAATGACTGTAATCCATTATTTCCATTTAAACAAAGTATGAGAATATACGAAAAGCGTTGTTTATTAAGTGCACTTCGTTCTGTCATATTACAGAATAGCGAAGACGTTCTGCTTCAGCAACCGTGGGCACGGTTTATATTTAGCGTCAGCTACTGAGATACAGAAGTTCACCATCGACGCCGAGTTTTGGTAAGTATTACCATAATCAGTTCAGTGCATTATGAGTTAAAAAAAAATATATTAATAAAATAATATGAAGGTAGAGAATTTAAGTTGTGAAATGTAAACATGTTTACGACCACGTAATTACGATATGGAATTTAAAGGTGGGCTTAAGTGATGCAATTTCTACCACAATATTTTATACAAACATAACTAAAATTTATACTAACACATATACAATGCTGAAAGTGTTCTGTTAACATTTTACGTTATAAGAATATGTCTTCACCCCCAGTCAACAACTGACCGAGATGATGGGAGAGTTGTTCCTGCCGCGAGACATGCCCGAGCCGCCTAAAGAGAGTTTCTTCCGAGGACTTTTTGGGGGTGGAGTGAGGCCACTAGATCGGGAGGAATTATGTTAGTTGTCGTTGTCATATTTAAAAATATCTGTTTAAAACTAGTTTCTTCCGTGGTCGCTTAAAAGTACCCAAATATTCGGTCCTAACCCACTTCCGCTAAATAATATCTCTTTTAGTCGGCGAAAGCAGCGGTAAACCTAACCGGACCGTAGCGAAGCACATTCCCGGTGCAGAAGGGTTACAAGCGAGGGCCTCTTCCGCCACCAGCGAGGTGGCACGTGCGCATCAGCTCGTCGTGGAGCGCGGTGACAAACTGTCGCAGCTGGAGGAGAAGACGGAGCGGATGCACACCGAAGCGGCACAGTTCTCCTCCTCTGCGCACCAACTCATGCTCAAATACAAGGACAAAAAGTGGTATCAGCTGTGAACTGCGAGCCACTTTAGCGTTCTTATACGAATTTTGTACAAAACTTGAGGATCTGTACGATTTCTCAGACACTCTTAATGCGAGATCAAGTCTCGAGCGCTGGATAATAAATACGGATATCCGAGGAAGTTATTAAATATATTAAACTTTTACAATTTTTGTAGCCTATAGTTGCGGGGTCGTTGACCCTCGTCGCGTAGAGCTTAGCGTCCCCGTAGCGCGTCGTAGAGTAACGGTTAGAACTCGTAGAGGAACACGAACGCACAACTTTTTCGCTCTCTTTCTCGTCCATAGTAGGGCACGTAGTTTGATAGTTCCGCAACCCGTTATGCTTCGTTACTCATCCGAACCTAATTTCACCTGGGAGCAATGACGCCGCTGGTGAAATTAGGTTTCTAACTTTGGGCGCCTCGACTTTCGTTGTTGAATTGAATGTGTAAACTTCGCCCCTCTCGATCTTTACTCGTGTATAATACCATTCGTATTTTGGGTACCGCGATATTGTAAATATTATATTACTGTAAACATTTGTACACTTAATATAACAGTAGCGGTCTAGTTCTTTCCCCGTCTCTCGACATAGTAGTGCATTTTAAGCGGATAAGTCTAAATGTTACGGTCAATATATTCAGATTTGGCTTTGTAACAATATTTTAATGTGGAATTCTTATTACAAGACAAAAAAGGATTTATTTCTTAAACATTTTCAACTCACGGATTCGCACATGATTATCTCAACTTATTAAAGGCATTTAATAATATGTATTTATAAAAGTAAGATATCCAGATACTTTTATTTGACTCCGCGTTCTGCAAAATCTATTTAGAGCTATTTTTGTTACGTGACTACTAGAATTGTAAGACAAATTAACAATGAAAGTATTACTTCAACGCGAGATTATTTAATGTTAATACTGCGTACCTTAGTGACGAGTAGAACGTGTGAATCGAACGGATACAAAATGGTCGGTCATGAATTGATTACTTACATAGGTATAGTCGATGTTGATCTGTATAAAGTAATAAATAAATGATAAAAATAAATAAATAAAATATGTCTAATTGATCGAAGATATAAGCATTGGATGACAATAATTGTGTTAACATTCTTGATTGAGATTGTTTCAAAATCCGTTTCGCTTGTTATCACATTTTATTTCCACTATTATTATATCTTCGTTGATTTCTAATTTAAATGATTCACATACTACTTAACTAAGTTTATCTACTTGTATATAAAGTAAGACTTATAAAAATGACCTTAAGTTGTTAGTTTAATAATATACCTTTATGTATTTTTATAAAGCACATTTCTTAGTCATTCGGTAACCAAATACGCTTAGTGATAATATCCTGTGGTGAGGGTACGAATTGCCCGTATAATGATAGCAATACTAACGCGCGGGTTGCCAGCCCAATAAACCAGACCAATCGGTGTCGTATCGGTGTTGCTAGATTAAAATTGCTGTGTTAAATATTATTATATGTAAAATTACAAAGTATTACAGTGTTAGGAATCATATCGAGCCCTGCGTGCGTTTCCAATGTCTATTGAAATATAACTATTTATTGAATGGAGGTATTTTCTATTGATAACCGTAAGACATCGCATTGGACGTGCACGCGACGGTTCACACTCAATATTATAACTATTATAGGTCTCGTAGTGAGTATCGCAAGGCAATAATCTTACAGTGGGACTGCGAGGCTATGCTTTTGGGTCAAGTTCCGTTTCCCGTATTGCAGCCGCAGCACAGCTGGTCTCTCCCAAGTCTGCAAATTCACGCACATTGAACCGTATCATGAAATATCCTCAACAGCTTTTAGATACTGTGAAATTGAAGGAATACTTTTTCTATTACACGCCATTGTGAATAGTGGACTTGTGACCTTGGGCAAGGCGCCAATAGTAGTAGGCATACAGCCCACAGTCTTCAAAACGTTTTGCTAGTCGTTAGGTATATCCGTATATTTATCGTCGTCCTCGGGTGCGCATAAACGTTGGATGCCAAAGTTTACTATTTTGAAATTGAATTTTGTATAAAAATATTATTATCGTTGTTGTAATATTCGTAAACATATTTTATTTAGTGGCATTATAGTTGAGTTAGATCGGCAAGTCGCGACGAGGAATTAAATAGTAATTGACGTTAATAATGTTCCGATTGATATAGTATATCGTAATACTTAAATAGTTATTTTGTGACGGAGCGAGTTCTACTGGTGCGATGCCAGGTTTCTTTAGAGATTCAATATTTTCGTATGTACGTTTACTCATTTTAGCGTTGCATATTTTATGGAGATATATTAAAGCTGCGTGTATTGCGTTATAATTAAGCGTCTTCGTGTAGCCTACCTTCGTATATCCCTCCCTGATTTGCATTTACCATCCGCTGCGAAATTATACAGTTAAGCGTTGTATAAATAAAAAGTAAACTTTATATTATTAAGTTATTTATGACTGTCATAATAAAACTTAGAACTACAGCTACGTGGCCATTATATTATTACACTTTAACCTTATTGCACTAAACCGACATCGCTTTAAGATTCAGTACCGGTCCTAAAAAACCTTTCATGGTTTATCAATAACTAGAAATTGCTGTTGGTTTCAAAAACAAACTAATTTCAAATGTGAAGCGTTCGAAGACTCTTTAATTACAATTAAGACTTTGCTCCATTAAACTCTGATTCACGCTCTGATCCTTCTTTATTTACTCTCTACTACTCTTCATGATTTTTCATTCACTAATAAGTCAAAACATTTTATTGTGCTCACGTTCACGGCGAGATGGATTTGAGTTGCGCTGGTGATTAAAATATATTACTAGTTTCCGATCCATGGTTAATATTTCTATTATTCCGACTGAGAAGGCACAAAACTAAAGACCGCGGTCGGAGGTACGCTTATAATATAAGTAAACTTGTAAATACTTTAATGATTAACTAATAATATCACATTTTATAATCTCAAACAATGAATTTCGAGTAACAATCGCAAGTCGTTTTGGCCGCGGATATTACCATATAAAGAAAATAAAACTCCAATAAAGAAGTGCAGGCAGCGACGCATACAAAAGCTAATTGAGCACGAACACTTTGCACTTGGTAGATCTTGTCGTTAAATATAATTTGTCTATGGCTGGTGCCATATTATGTACTTGCTAAACAACGCTGATTCATTTCGCAATCATGGGACTAAACTAATTTAAGATTTGTAAATAAATGAAAATGTGGCAAAATATTACTTGTTACTATTCATAAAAGTAGTTTATTTCGCGTTTACGTTACGACTGTCTCCCGAAAACGGATATCAAAACTATATACATATTGTACATAATAACGCTGTTGAATTATTATATTATTTAGTTTAGTAGATGATTATAATAGTCATTATATATAAATAAAGATGAAAATAAAACTATATCAAACTTTATTTTGTATTATTTAATAAGTGCCCTAGCGTGTGTGGCATTATTTTACGAAAAATGCCATACAATGTCTTTGTGTGTTTGCTTTACAGCCTTTTAATCGATCAAATTTGTGCCCGCCCCGTACACGAGGCTATATTTGGGACTTTTTAAAAATGTCATTTATAAAAAAAAAAGCAACAATTCTCAAACATTATATATATTTGCTGGTTTCCTTTATCTTAAATTCAAATGAGTTGAACAAAACGATCGCATATTATGATAACTCAATTCGTGCTACATTCGCTCGAACATCTATGGTTAACTTAAGTTACCATTTCGTGTTTTCAAGCAACAATAATTCACCTTTAATCGAATATGTTGTTGTCGGGTACCTTAAATTACTTTCAGCTTTGCAAACTAACAGGTGACAGGGCTTTAATGTCGCAGTGCAGGGGCTAATAAGTAGTTACTTGTAGCTTTTTTATGACGGAGTGTCCTCTACTACTAAAGCACGAGTTTTCCTCGACGGAAGATGAAATACTCCACCCATTTACTATCCAAATGTTCAACACTTAAATTGATTCTGGAGCCATGTTGTTCCCGGCGGGAATTAAAGCCATGACCACTTAATTATTCATCGCCATCCATAGCAACCATTGGAGAAACGAGTCCGTCGTTGTAACTGGAAAAATGTGATAAAAATCCCCCACACTATTGTAGTCCTGAAACAGGCTTTATTTAAAGTAACATTACACTATGTAGCCCCCACATTGTACACCAAAATCTCTTCGAACCCGTTGCACGGACAAAAGATATATACATTTGAAATTAGCTAATAAACGTACTATTCTAATATCGCATAATAATATTATAGACTTAAAATTAGCACCTTTCGAAGGGCGTCGCGTGCGTTCCATCACACGTAAAAACTTTAAGACGTATCTGTTCAATCATTTTATTGTATAGGTAAAAATAAACATTCCGTAAACTGTAAAAGTTTTATAAATAAAGCGCACAAATATGACGCAGCGACGCCCGCCTAAATTCGCAAATCACATTATATTACATATCGTATTGCGCGCACGCCCGTGCGTGTACGTCGCAGGAGGGAAAGGGGGAGAAAATTACAATAAACCTTCAGAAAATAATCTAGCAAAGCGATCGTTGCGTTTACTAGTCACATTCCTACTCACAGCTTCACAAAACGCCACTAGTTTATCGACAATGATCGTATCTCACTTCAACTATACTCAGGACACCACTAAGGTGGGAACTAAGCACTGGCCTCGTATCATCGATGTTCATTATTGGATCTATGAAGGAATTACAAATAGTATGGATTGTTGGAAATAGTTTTTCAAAAGCCTAACTTAGGCGTCCTCACGTCGAAGTGACATTTAAAAGTAAAAATTTGATTGTGATCTTTACAGTTTTCAAATAGAAGTTGGCCGCGAAAAATATGTTAATTACAAAAACGTTATCACTTAATGATTATGAAATTCATATACTATAATTACAGTAATTAATATTTACACACTAAATAATAGATAAAATACCACAGTTTAAACATTGTTCGTAACAAGCGTCACAGATTGTGTGGCAACGTATGCTAACATCGTTATATTTGAACGTAACTTACAGTTGAATTACAAAACTACTATACGAATCTACCGAACCGAAAATCTAAATATTGCCCAGCCCTCTATGATAATCTTTGTACACATGAAGGAAGATTTCCGACTGCAAAAATTCAAATTTCTTTGCAATATTATTTCCACACGTCATTCGTTAAAAAAATCATACTCGAATAAAATTATAACTGATAACCTAATGCATGTTTTTGCATTAACAAAAGGACAACGGAATTGGCTTTAGATAGCAATACGTAGCGAGTACTTGTTAGGCTACGCATATTTCGGAGCGGTTATGTCAAATTGACTCGAGCTTCTAAATTAAATATAACACGGGCGAGACTACCCGTTCACAAGTTGAAATAAATCTTTAAATGTATGCATTAACATGTGGAAATTATAATGATTCGACTTCTAAATTATTTTGACATACGTGACCTAAGACATCGTGACAACATATAACACTATCAATTCAACAATAACCTATTAACTAATCGAATCGTCGCGAACTCTAGCGCATACGATTTTCCGACTTGGAACGCGAAGTCTATGTAATATTTGTGATTGTAGAACACTATTCGATTCGATAAATCAAACGACGCATTACACCAAGAATGTTGAAGGCACTAAGTAACGGAGGAGAGGCGCGACGTCGATATGTGACCGATATATACAGCTCGATATGGCCGGTACGAGAGATTGACGAAAACGTTTCGAATTATCGTACTGAGCTCCAAACTCCGGTATGTAGAGGTAACCGTTCAACGCGAGTTTCTTGGCAATTCTTCTCGTTTGTTCCTAACACTCACCATGTTTTGTTTTAATGTAATTATAGTCAATGCGATCTCTTCGAACCTTTTCGCCAACTATCAAACTCATACTACGGATACTGGAGTCGATAGCAATAAAATTAAGGTACAAAGTTAAGGCTACGCGTTACGCTATGTACAATTGTACAAACTATTCTACCATACAAATTGAACACGTATTCTCTACGGTTTTTATCTTCTTCTTTCTCTTCTTATTCCTATACGCCGATACAAAGTTGCCATTTATCACCGCACGACTACTCGTTGGGAATATTTTGGTCACGAGCGCTCAGCGAGCTTCACAGAATCTAATCAAATTACAATTAAAACGAACAAGAGTACATGAAATGGTGTTAAAAGTAGACACATTTCTGTGACCGTTTCACTAGAACTAGACTACCGTCTCTCGCGGTAGACGTCAGCAAGACGATTCAATCATAAACGAAACATTATCAAATTAATAAAAAGAGTAATAAACAAAGCTTATTGTAACTTTAAAAGATTTAAATGTAGTTTACGCGAGTAGTACACATTTAAATAAAACACCCTAACGGTTTAAAACGCGATACATATTAATTAAAGATATTTGAAAATTATTTTTAACTTCGGCCTAATGTTTACCTAATATATATCGCGTTTTAATCCGCTAGTGTTATTTAAATTTAAAATATTCGTACAAAAGCCGATTGTAGGTATTTTTGTCACACCGCAGCATTAAATTACGTCCCTACATCTAATACTCACGTGTTGTATCATTCGCAATTATCGTTTTAATACTAACGTCCTATTAATTAAGTTGAGCATTTTATTTTCGAAAAATGTTGAAGCCGCGCGACCAAAACCGTTACCGCAATCATAGAGTACAATTATTATTATAGTTGCTTATCTCACAGGTAATCGAGGCATTTTGAATATACATACACATACAGTGAGTTTTATACTGATGAAATGAAATTTTCTAATAGAAACGAGAGTAAGTTATGCCAATACCGTAACTTGCTGTACTTCCAAGTTTTAGCATACTATAAAACTCGCACTAGAGGTCCATACTTGTTCAGCTAAGTGGCGGTATGACTTATACAATTCAAAGTAACGGATACTACAAGGAACCCTATACGTACCGAACTCTTAAAATTACTGTTACTTGTAAATTATTTCTATGTATAAACTGGTCCAGTATATTTCACAAAAACTTTCAAAACTTTGCACTATCTGTTTAAAAGGTTGATAGAGTTCCAGTCTACTTTCGTGTGATTATGATTGCTCGATAGTAAATTATTAAGTTGAAACAGAGAGCGCAAAACGAAAAGATGCGAACCGTAAATAAATTTGTAAATTAAGGCTTCCGTTGAAACAATAGTGTGGATATTATCGCAATTGTCGAAATACAACGTTGCGTTTTAATAATATACGCTTATATGTAAATTGAGGACATGTTATCTCACTGACGGTCACTTTGTATTCAAACATGGTTACTACTGTTAAAACGTATCGGGATCACTAAATACGATACAAATATATATAATATTCATCGACCGATGAAAATAACCTTTAAATTGTATAAAACAGCTTATAACAAATTAAAAAATATGATCACGGCAAAACTTATTACGACACAATTTACAACTTTTATATAAGAACCAAATCGTAACAGGCAATATTTTTATAAACCAAACGAACAATGATAAAGACTAAAAGATAAGGATATGAATAATATCATTCAATTGAAACCAAATGAATATAACCGACTTAAGTTTGAATCGTGGGATCGTAGAGGTACGAGAGGAATGTGGCGCTAGTGCGGGGTTCCAGCTGAATCACCTCTCGGCTGCGTGCGTATCACTAACATCGCCATCACCGTCAGCGGTGCTGGGCACCTCTGCTTCCGCAACAGGACGCGATTCAGTGCTCTCATTAAGTACAGTACTAGGAGTTACGCTAGTGTCAACGACTGGTTCGATGAGTTTCTTGGGTTCGGTGTCGACGTCTTCTATAAGTGGATTCTTTGCGTCGGGCGCTGAAGCGTCAGTTTGATTGAGATCGCTCGAACTGCTCACATCATGGACGGCATGAGTGTCGGGAGGGGACGGCTTAGTGTCAACTTCACTATTAGTACATTCACTGGGCGCACAATTAAAGTCCACGGGACTTCCGAAAGGGTCGGTTGCGGGTACGGGGACGGGTACGGGCGCGGAGTCGAACGCGGGAGGAGGATCATTCAAGGCGTTGTCGCTGACGATCGAAGCCAGATCGTGCGGCGCCAGGTTGCTCATGGCCGACAACAGATTGTACGTCAACTCTACTACGTCGCCGAATTTGGCGTTTATATTGCGCACCTGCGACTCCAGCTGGTCGATATCCTTGTCCTCGTTGCTCTCTGAAATTATCATTATGGGATATTATTTATTTATTTGCACTTAATAATGTTTAATTAAAAATCTATTTAGGCTAAAAAAAAATAGATGAAACTGGCGGGACTTGAACCACAATCGCATAGCATTCCGTGCTGCCGCCCTAACTGATCGTTTTCACGTGTCATCATCGATTCAAACCCCGCCCGTGACATCAGCAATTTTTTAATTGTAACGTTTAATGTATATAATCCTGTCATGGACAAAAACACGTAAAAGACAATAAAGTTTCTAATACCTAAAAATCTAATTAAGATGCAAGTCCTATTTTGCATATATGTATATACAAAAAGATTTTAAAATATATATATATTTCTTTCTATTTTCCCAAATTTCAAGAAAGCAATGATTTAAGTATTACATAACTAAAATGTGTTGTTAACTGACCGTTACTTGTCCAAGGCGTTGGCGTGTTTACAGCGAAGGGATCAATCGGTGGGAAATTATTTTCACTGCCGAACTGAGCCCACCCCTCCCCCTCTGTCGTACTCTCCGCCTCCCTTGAACTCGCTTCGCCTCCGCCCCATTCAGAAGGCTGCTCCCACGCTGTACATACGCAATATAAAAAAATATATACATTACATAATATAGAACCACACACAGTCTCGAGACAATTTATCAAATCTACTCACGTGAAACCTGCTCAGATAATGATAGATGCACCGCCTCGTCCATGTCGAGGACATCGCTGGGGCTGTCTTCCCACATGCTGCAGACAAACATTACAAAAAAAGTTATCTATGGAAGGAACATCATCAATCAAATCTCATTAACTAAATTGTTGTACTCACTCATCATCATATCGATCTGTCTCGACCTGCGTTAAGTTTTGTAGCTGTAAAAGGACAAGACACATTATTATAATTAGAATATAAAAGCAAAGTTAACTAATTTTCGAGCTCTGCGACCATGATAACAAATTCTCTATATTTTTTCTTTCACGAACAAAAAAATACTATAGTCCCGAATTTGGACATTTATAACATTAAAAAAAAAACAAAACTAACCTCAAAAGTATCCGCACAAACATTCTCAGTATTGCCAGTCTAAAATAGAAATAGCTCTGATTAAATTTTCATTATTATAATTAATAAATAATTAAGTATCTAATATGAAACATTACCTCGTACTTCACCTCTGAAGGATACTCGCCCCCCTGTAACATGTAAGAGATTGACAGAGTTGAGTTGGGCCGTCAGAATAAAGAGTAAATACGTATAAATGTCATCTGATAATAATATTTGAATTGTCGAAGTGTTATCACATACCAATGGTGCATCCAGTCTGAAAAGTAGTGGCTGAAGTCGCGACTCAAGGAACTCTTCCCAGCGGCGAGCGACGTCGGCTGGAGCGTGGCTGGCTGCCTCCCCCTCGCTCAGGGCTCGACAAATGCACACCACGTGGCCCATTAATCCAGCTCGCGGTGTAACTCTACTAACAAGTATCATGTATATAAATTTAAATTAAACACCATTCAAAGGGCAGCACCCCCGACCCCCATGACCGCGGTTGCTACAGGGCGTTTTAAACGTCAGGTAGCAACTAAGATGCACTAAAATAATTTTGTATTTTTTTGTGTACTAAATGTGCTACTCGCGCAAGTACAGCCAATACTTAGTAGCATTTTTCTTTCTTTTGATAATAATTCATTTCTTACGTACAGAATATTTTACAAGATAATGTTTTCAACATTTACGGCTTTAAAGTATTTACATAAAATGCAAAGTAAATTATTTTTTGCCATTGTTCTGTTACTAATAATTAAAACAAATATATAGATTATTTGAATAAACTCACTTTTTGTCCTCATTCAATTCAAATGTGTCCATTAGCTTCGTTAGCAGATCGCACTCCCGTATCAGCTGATAAAAAAGATAAATAGCATTCTTTTCAAAATATTTTGATGGTCTATTTTCTAAATGTTCGTTTTCAAGCTGTTTGACGTCTTAATCAAGAGACAGAGAAAACTTTTTTATTTAATTTAGGAACGGCCTACATCTGATAACAAAACGAAAGAAATCCATTTCCCAGTACGTCCTAACTTAGAAACCCAACTTTGCAAGTTGCAAAGCCTTTTACAATTTATAATGTATTTTTTGTACACACTATCCAATATCCGTATATTCATGATTCATCTATGACTTCATCTTAAACCTTCTTCTGGATGTGCATACTATAAGATCTCAGCTTGAATCACAGGGTTACAGGTTCTGCCCAAAGCGGCCTTTAAACTTGGGTCTAGAATATAAATATTACCTGTTCCCAATAATGATGCGCGTGTGTCTCATTCTTGGAAATATTAACGATCAGAAGATGAAATTGCGTGTGCAGGAAATTGTTTTCGGGGAAAGAGAAAAACATGTCCAGTAGCACGGACGCAGTTCCCAAGCTGCGAATGGCGGTGTGGACGTCTTCCACGTCGGAGAGCGCTAATTCCGCTATCAGCGCTGCTATACGGATTCGTGCCGCACCCACACGTCTGCAAACAAATAATTTTAAGTTTATATTATCTTTTAAAGATAAAAGCACACGACAGACAAACATTGATTTTTGAAGTTTTACTTTACTACCACCCTAGACATTTTGTTAGATTATTTAAAGAGAAACCATTCCAGTATACATATTTTTTGGTAACCTGAAAGGTTTTCAGAACACGCAACTGAAGCCTACAGAGGTGAATAATTTCCCCGTTTTCACCACATTTTCCATTGTTTCTTCGCTCAAATTACTCGCAGCGTGATGTTATCTATAAGCTATCCTAAAGTCTTCCTCGATAATTGGTCTATAAATCACAAAAAAACATTTCAATTCGAACCAATTTCAATTTCTCATATATAGGGAACAAATTGTACCTGTTGTTATGCGGTGCCGGAGACTGAGGGTCTTGCAGTAGAGCATTGTGAAGCAGCGGCAGGTGTGGCGCTACTGCAACCTCCACTTCCCGCCTTTGGCTTTTTAACTTACCACTCTCCTCGCCACTGTAATATAGTAGACTTCAGTTGTAAAACTGACTCTCTATTGCACCAGCTATTTAGTCAGTAAAATTTGAGTTCTTTATCTGCTTTTCCTTAATATTTTAATTATATTCCAACCAGGAATATAAATAAAATATAACAGGTTCAGATTTGTAAAATATTAGAACAATTATATGTATATCTTTTTAAACTAATCAAAATATAGGAACGTCTCCTACCTATTGGGACGAGACAACGCACGGAGAAGTCTGCAGCCGTTGACCAGAGCGAAGTCTCGCAAATGTGGTGGACTCGTGAAGCAGCCTTGAAGAAGTGTGCGTACAAGAAGGTCGGACCGCATGCGATTAGCCAGTTCACCGGCACACCAGGTTTTAGCTGGCCACGGTTCACCAGCCCAAAACACAATTTCACATGCCAACTCACTGGCATTCGCTGAGGCCACTGCTCGGATGCGATTACTATTTTCTCCATGGTCACCTAATTTTGGTAGATAGAGGATAGAGAAAGTTTTTAACATGAAGGAGGATATACCTTTCACTTATTTATCTTATTAATCTTTGTTCTGCATGATCAAGACATGATTTTTATCCTTAGGCATGTAAAAAAAATATCCTCTACAGATGAGGTGGAAAGACCTGATCACAATTCTTTTTACTAAAATGATAGCAAAAGATATGTATATATTTTTTGAATTATTTACAGAAACATCTCTTTATTTCTTAAATTTTCACAAGCAAGTAACTACTTTTTTAATGATGCTTAATTTAGCCAATAAATTCTCATATAATTTTTAAATGTTAATCCTTTCAATGTGGTATGCATTTACGTAAGGATCAAAGACAATTATATAGACTTACAAGTGTCAGAATCTTTATGGCTATTACAATCCTTGTGGTTTGTCACTATCTTCTCACTTTCCTCATTGAGGCCTTTCTCTACATCAGTTTGATTTTCAGTTACTCTTGGAGTATGTACTGGTTCTATCTGTTCTGGTTCGTAATTGCAATATATTATCCTCATTACATTTTCCAAAAATTGATTTTCATCAAGCCACTGTAAAGCAAACAATTATTAAAATATTGTAACTGATTTTACATAAATTTTTTATTGAAGACTTGATGTTCAGGATGCAAATTTGATTAAAGCTAATATTATTTGGTAGAACTTTTGACTTACCTCCATGAATATTTTGTTGAATGGGTCTTCTAGACAAAATATAAAATATTTGAAAGTATCTGCTATGGCCGATGTTGATATGTGTTTTAATAGGTTTGGCAAAAAGTCTTTGCGACTCTTAAAAACATCTAATGCCCGCAAACTGACTATATGATGTAAATAACAATCCTAAAACAAAGAAAAACCATTACCAAAAGTAAACCATTTCATTAAATTGATACCATAATATTATCATTCCATTCTTTATTTGATGAAATAAATTTATTATAAAAGCTTACCTGTTTAGGACTTCTAATAAATAGCATTTCAACAGTTCTACTAAAGTAAGATGCCAGTAATGGATTTAATGGTGGGTCACGGCTAACAAAATCACACAGCCTGTTCATCTGAACTTCATCCATACAAAGACGGTGGCTCAGGCTGGACAATTGACTAGTCAAAACCTCGCAGGCAATATTGGCATAGCGATACTGTGATGTCAACTCTACATCCTTAGGTGGCTCTTCAGTTATGAAAGTAACAAGCTCAGCTAATATTTCTGGTCTTGTTAGACTGGAATTAATAATTGATTGATTTGATGATCCGTATAATTTGTCTTATAAAAAAATGCGAATATAACATGTACTTACAAACGAATTAAGTCTTTGTTATCAGCTTTACATTCCTGCAGAATATCGTCTGCTTCCAAAATTTGTGTCAACGTTACATTCTATAAGAAAAATATTAACGGTATTAGACCACACGATTGCACGTATAATCCACTAGGAGGCAAATATCTTCATAATTAACTCTATCAAAGCATTTTAGCACATTTGATTGTATGTCTTCAGGAACATTTAAAAATTCAAGGCATCAGACACATAACCACCAAAGCAAACAACAAAACACCGACCTCCTCTTTGAGAAGAAAGTTCAGCTCCCGTGTATTCATATAATTGGCACTCCAAAACATATTTGATGATTAACTACAACAATTAATTAAACTATACTTTATCCATAAAAAAATGTTTTCTTTGGATATTATCATAAAACTGTAACGATTTACAAATCGCAAGAACTTAGTACTAGTAGGTAGTCTCCGAAATCCAATTCCGTTTTTCTCATAGTCTCTATCAATGTGACAAATAGCAGTCGAATCGGTACATTGTTACGGTGACATCCCAAAAAGAAAAACGAGCGCATAGATAACTTATATATTATAGTCTTTATGGTTAGAATGTACCTACAGATTCTGATACAATACTTTTTTTATTTCTGAAATACTCTGTTATCTCAGAAGCACAAAAGAAACGGAAAGGAAAAAAGAAATGTAATAAGAACAATAATTTAAAGAACAAATGTTTCTTGAGTATTTTATTACTTCTTTTTTGCTTGTAATATTTGCATAGCAAGTGCTTCAGCTTCTGTCACTGAAAGTGAAGCAGATATGTCTTCAATTTTCTTCAATTTCCGAGGTGTCACATTATCTTGAGTTCTACCTCTTTTGTCAATCAGCTTACGTTTGGATGGTCTGTAAAAACAAAGATAATTCTTTATTTTCCATGAAGAAGTACCCTGTAATAATTGTCATATCATTAAAACAAATAATATGACTTATTGTAGGTCGTTGCAATATTAACTTAATATACTTAATAGTATTTCTTATCATAAGTAACTAACCTGTGATAGATTTCATTCTCAGAATGGTTAGATGTATTTTCATCAGATTGTGATTCATTTATCCTATCAACATGATTTGTTTCAATATCACTATCAGTATTTTCCTTATAAACTTTATCAGGATCAGGAAGCCAAGAAAGATCTGGTCCATCTGACTCTGATGGACTTCCAAAGTCATCCTTTTCCCCTACTTCTTCCTTTTTCTTATTTTTTAATTTGAGCTTTTGCTCCTTATGCTTTGCCTTAACTCTCTCTCTGAACCTGATTTTATCAAATTTATCTTCTTCTTTTAACACTTCTTTTGCTTTTTCTATGTCTATACCGCCAACATCTTCATTGACAAATTGTTTTGCTAAATCAGACTTAACATCTTTCTTCTCATCCTCAATAGCTTCACCATCTTCAGTAAATTTAATTGTTGTATTAACTTTGATTTTCTTTTTAAGAATCTTTTTTGCTACTGCAGCTTTAGTAAGTGGCTTCTTCTTTTTAGAGCTCTTGACTTCCTCTACTTGTTCCTGCTCAATATGAACATTACTTTTCTTTACTTGAAGAAAATCATCTTCATCACTATCTGCTTCAGTATGAAAATTAAAAGAAGGCATCTGTTGTTTGTTTTTGCTCTTAATTGTAATATCTGATTCATCAGCAGCATCGCTCACATCAGACTCATCAGCTTGTGTATTTGTTTTTAACTTCTCTATAAAATTAGCATTATCTGTTTCAATATCATTATTCATCTCTTTGCTTCTTTGATATTTCTGCAAAAATCTGATCCTTGGTGGAACAATTAGACCTAAAGACTTAGCGTAAGCATCAGTGTCCAGTAAATGAATATTAAATATTTCTTTATTCTTCATTACATACACAGATTTTAAATAATTTACAAAGGCCCTCTGTGCAGTTTGCTTTAAATCTGTGTGGTCTGAAAGTAAGGCTTCGATTTTCCGCTGTGGAGAAACAAGTTTTGATGGATCAACTAATATTTTGTTTATGGGTATCTTACTCTTTCTAAGATCATCTACAATTTTTTCCTCATTTGGCAGTAACATCAATAAACCTTCTCCCTTGCCCAAAACACCTCTAGCTGTTCTTCCTGCTCTATGTATATATGTTTCAACATCTTCAGGGCAATCATATTGAATAACCCAGTTGACTCTTGGAAAATCTAGCCCTCTGGAAGCTAGATCTGTTGCAAACAGCACTACATTAGATTTTCTACAGAATTCTTCATAAATTCTCTCCCTTTTCTCTTGGTGCAGTGTACCATAAAGAGCTAGTAAACTGATACCTGGTCTAAGTTTACAAAACAATTCATAAACATACTTTACTTGCTTGCATGTTGCCATGAAAACTAATATCTTTTGTTTTAGATGATTCCTTATGAATGACCATAAAATGCCTAACTTTTCATCAATGTTACATACAATATAACTTTGTTGCAAAGTTTCTGGAGTAACTGTTTCTGCTTGTTCGTGGGGTGCTACATATGTAGGGAATGACAAGCTAAGTCTTGCTAAATCTTTGACAGATTTTGTTTGGGTAGCAGAAAATAGTAATGTTTGTCTTTTAGGTGGCAAAAACTCAATAATTGAATTCATAGTAGTTTCAAAGCCCATGTCCAGACATCTATCTGCTTCATCTAAAATAAGTATCTGAAGGCTACCACAGTCAAAAAGGGGATTTTCATCCATATGTTGCAGTAATCGTCCTGGAGTACAAATCAGAATATTCATTTGATCCATCCTTTTACGTTCAAACTTAAGATTTTGGCCTCCAATAATAAGACCTGCAGAGAAGTCATGGTAATGGCCAATTTTTCGTAACGTTTCATAAATTTGGTATGCCAACTCCCTTGTTGGTGATATAACAAGAGCCCCAACCCCATCAAGACGAGTCCATTTTTTACAAAATAGTAATTCCAATGTAGGAACTAGAAATGCCAAAGTTTTTCCTGATCCTGTTTTAGCTGCTCCTAATATATCTTTACCTTGTAAAGCGAAAGCAATAGCTTGCTTTTGTATATCTGTAGGCACTAAAAAGTTATTTTCTTTGAGCCCTTTTAAGGTTTTCTGAGAAAGAGGCAAATCTTTAAAAGTCTTGACTTCATCAGGGACAATCTGAAACATACATCAGATAATGTTATTTTAAAATGAACATATAATGTAATGAAATATTAGAGTATAATTGAAATTTCTTACGTTATGGTATTGGCCCTGTAAATATTGAATAGCTGCGTCCTCTTCAACACTTTTCTTTTTTCTAGGTTTGAAAAGTTTATGCTTAGCTTTTTTTCCCAAACGCTTGGCGCTTGTATTTCCTTTCGTCATACTTGAGTTTATATTTAAATGTACTTCTCAAAACCACATTCACTAAAAATCATGTGGTTTTCAATTCAATTGTACAATTAATATAACTCTCAATTGTCAATGTTTCATTGTTTGTCACTTAATAAATGTCATGATTACTTGTGATGATATAATAACAGAGTACCTTAAGAGATGATGCACAACCACAGATTGCTACATAGGTAGGGCATTTTTGGATAAGAATAGTACGATACTAGCTTATGTTAAAATGTAGTACGCCTTACGTACAAGACACAAGTTAACAATGATGTCTGTGGTTAGTAAGTGTTTCCGGTTATTGATATATGACAGATATACATTATATTTATATACACAAACTTAAATATTGTTAAGGAAGGCGTCAACGAAATACGACTTGAAATTTTACAATTCATTCTTCGGTTTGCGTTAATAGCAAGCAGTTGTCATTACGAGCGTAGTCTGTGTGAAATAATATTAATTACTTAACGGCGTAGGTACTACTTGTATCAAATCAGAGAACAAAGAAAAGGTAAGGATTAAAAAATAACGTTTACGTGCATTATTCCGAATTTTATTAAATTTAGTTTTTGTTCACTATAATATTTGAACGGTGTACGACCTCTTAACTTTTTTTTTAAGTATTTATGAAAAATAAACAAAATACATAATTTCTGTTTACGGTAGGCGTATTCTTCTGTATAATTGCGATTATCCGTGCTGTAATTATTTAGGAGTATTTTTAAAGTTCTCTTTTGTTTCTACCTCCTTTGTTCTTACTCATAGATCAATATGAAGAGTTTAGCCTTCGTGTTGTTGGCGCTGGTTGCTGGCGTAAGCGCCGTCAGCTTTTTCGACCTCGTCCGTGAAGAGTGGAATGCATTCAAGGTAGCGAATTTTAACTTGTTGCCAAAGTAACTTTTTCATCTTTAAACAGAAATCAGTCTCTTTTTATTCAGCTCCTTTTCAATATTGAAAAGACTTCATTTTAAAAAAGAAGTTTGTGTTGTATATCTTTTTGTGGTTGGGTAGTTTTTTACTAATGTAAAAGATTTTTATGGTTTACCTTCGTGGGTTGCATCACATTTTGGTACACACAGTTAACAAAACCAACATTTTTTGGGGCAGTTGGAGCACAAAAAGGAATATGATAGCGAGGTGGAAGACAAATTTCGCATGAAGATCTTTGCAGAGAACAAACACAAGATTGCAAAGCATAATGCTCAGTTTGAACGTGGACGGGTCACTTTTAGGATGAAACCAAATAAGTATTCAGATATGCTTCACCACGAGTTTGTGCACACCATGAATGGATACAATAAGACAGTCAAGTTAGTAATTTTTCTATACTCTATACAATAATATATACTAAACAACTTTTTAGTAAAGTATTTATATTTATTTGAAAACTTTTGTTAGGTAAAATCAATAAAAGTCGGAGATATTTATAAAAAAGGTATCTTTAGTGTCTAATTTTAGAAAATATGGCATTCTGCTTTAACCGTTTCATCAGCTTTACAGAAATATAAGTAATTAATACCCGAGATAAATTTGTTATTTAAATTTTTAAAGTATATATCTCTTTTTTATCAAAGTACATTATATACATATAAGATATATTACAATACAAGAACTTATCACATACATCTCCCAAATAATAAATACTTGTTAGGATGGATGTAAAAATAACAGATGTATACATACTGAGGTAAACATAAATAAAGTATTAAATATAATTATATAAATTTATTGAATGTTGCAATAACAAATCAATATCAAGTAAAAACAATTGGCTTAAGTACTTAGATAATAAATATTATTGGATTATAGTAGGTACTTAATAAAGTTGTTGAAGGTTGAATACCCTAATTATATTCCATAACAAAATCACAAGAGCTTATCAGTTAAATGTTGGGCAAGTTCATTGGCATACAGTAATGATCCTTTTCAAATCAAATGGGTTTTGGACCCTTTTGGAAAGGTTTAATGAACTTTAGTACAATATTAAAACTTTGGTTTAAGTGTCAACAATAAGATAAGATTTGAGAGAGTTGGTGTTGTTTGTCAGTTTCGGAAAAAAAGAAGGGATCAGCTGCTCCCTGGACCAAATAACAGGATCTTTCGATCGCAAACTGAAAAAAACCCTGTACAAACCTTATAAAACCGCGTGTACAATTGCCATATCGACAGGCAGAATAACTTAAGTGTTAAAAGAATAGAGATCAACGTTGTTCATATTTTGTCAAAGCCATGTAAACAATTGTTACGACGACCGATGCGTATTCAGCGATAACCGTATTGTTTGTCAACATTTGCTAGATTTTCCCTAACTATTGACCTCTAAACAGTGAATACTTATTTAAAAACAAAGAGCTATATGCCGTCTTTTTTTAAATATATTTAAAAATTTCAGTCAATACAAATGTGGTGCCATATTTGCATACACAAATTCCCTTTAAAACACACATTACCGTACTATTACTTCTGACTTACTGAATTTTATTTTGGACTAGATTTTTATTTAGACATACATACCTTCCTAATTAAACCACATTAAAATTCTCTATTTGTTTGTATCCGAACAGGAAACTTCTATTTTGGATTCAGTGGCAAGTGTACAAAGGAGTTATTTTTTTAATGGATTTTTAGATATTTAGAGGTGATATGTAACATACTCTTAGCGACGAATGCATTAAAAAAACCAATAAAATTGTATAGGCACAACAAAGGGCTCTACGGTAAGGGTCGGGAGATCCGCGGCGCTAAGTTCGTAACACCAGCGAACGTTCAACTGCCTGAACAAGTCGACTGGAGGAAGAACGGCGCCGTCACAGACATCAAAGACCAGGGCAAGTGCGGTTCCTGCTGGTCTTTCAGTACCGTAAGTAGTATTCCTTGTAACTGAGTTCTATCAGCGACACTTCGTGCGACCGCGATAGACATAACCGGTAGGGGCAGGAAATATAACACAATTTCCGGTAAGACGGTCTCAGGCCATCCTCTGACATATATAACAGTAGTTTACGTACTGTATTTATATACCCTCCACTTTTAACGAGAGGTCAAGTTTAAAGTTTATTATTTATATACATCGTATTATTTATTTTTTAAATCGTATTATAATCTTGCCCTCCGCTCGTTTGTTATTGCATCATCTGAACGCGCAAAACCGTCGATCTAGCAGAGTTAACGACTTTGTTTTTAATGAATAGTGATGTTTATAATAACATGATTCACTCGTAATACAATTCCGCGTATCCCAGATACAGCTGTACACAGCCGTTCCGTATTTTTGTAGGCATCGGAATGAATCAATATTGTGATTTAACAAACAATGGAATTAATGCGGCCAATCGTATCAAGTTAGTCACGCTACGTTCGATTACGTTTTATAATCTAAAACACGTGATCAACAGCTCGCTTCATAATTGTAAAAGCTAGCTGTTAAATTACAAGCTACATAAATAACATTAGCTTCTGCACACTTAGTATGCCATAGCTTGTCTTCACTAATGTATTGATACGAATCTTAATCTCCCATGACACGTGTGTTGCCTACTTACTTGACCCTGAGAAGCCCCACAAACTTTCTTATACATATACGGTGTGTCTACTAAGAACAAGTATAGCAATTGAGGAGGGGGGATGTAATACGCAATATCTAAATAAGCACGATGAATCTAACGATGTTATCGTACAACCGGTTTCTAAAAAATAATATAATCACAACACTCTGTACATAATTGTAAACAGTGAGCGCTCGTCTGTCTTATCGTATACCTACGAAGTCGTTTATACTATCTTATATAGCAGCTTCCGGGTCCGACAATATAGAACAAGTAATTGGGTGCTCTTGTTTTGTATCCTAACATAGATTTTGCTTTTAAATATGACTTTTCTAATGATAATACTTGACTTTACAAAAAGTAATGCAATGTATATTAATATTTTTGATCAAATTATCCTTAGATGCTTTGTTGACGTACTGGATGTATCTATTTTCACGTACCTATTACTCTACTATAATGGTGTATGTAACACGTGGACCCCTCTTTGACCGATAACGGAAAAGCCAAAAAGAAGCACCCTTATAATTATTACACTATGTTATGTGTATATATGATTTATACTACCTACTTCACACTGCTGTCTATTTAAAGCGGAAAATAATTTGTCCGGTTGAAATGACTTCGCTTCTGTTTAGACGGGCGCACTCGAAGGCCAGCACTTCAGACAGAGTGGCTACCTGGTGTCGCTCTCGGAGCAGAACCTGATCGACTGTTCAGCTGCTTACGGCAACAACGGCTGCAACGGCGGTCTCATGGATAACGCTTTCAAATATATCAAGGACAATGGCGGAATCGACACGGAGAAGAGTTATCCCTATGAGGGCGTTGATGACAAGTGCCGGTAATTAAATTTAAGCTTTCTTGCGCTGCCAATTTATTTTCATCATCTTACATGTTTTCATAATATTTTTTCCTTATAAATTTCCATACTTCGAAGTACTACCTTATCCTCCTACTGAATTATAATTATATATATATCCCCCTTATTTCGTGACAGCTACGTATGTACCATATTTACTTGACAATAATAGTTAATTTAAATAAAACACTTTAACGGTTTAAAACGCGATATATTAGTTAAACTTATTTGAAAATGATTTTTAACTTCGGCCCGACGTTTCGGATGCTTTGCAGCAGCCGTGTAGGGGAGACCGAAGTTAAAAATCATTTTCAAATAAGTTTAACTAATATATCGCGTTTTAAACCGTTAAAGTGTTTTATTTAAATGTGACTACTGGTATAAGAAGTTTAATAATAGTTAATGTTTAACAGTATTTTTTGTTTGTTGACACACCTTATCATATTGGTCTGGCCTATTCCTAAGTAAACGTGTACCTAGTCAACGGTGCCAAAATCCTTCGTCAGTCAGTTCGACACGCACTTGACCGGTTTTTTATGTCCTTCTATTGTTACCAGTTACAACCCGAAGAACGCCGGCGCAGATGACGTTGGCTTTGTGGACGTGCCGGCTGGCGATGAAGAGAAATTAAAGGCAGCAGTCGCCACAGTGGGCCCAGTGTCGGTAGCGATCGACGCCTCTCAGGAAAGCTTCCAGATGTACGCAGAGGGCGTTTACTACGATGAAAACTGCTCTTCGGAGAATCTAGACCATGGAGTAAGAACTTTTTTATGCTGTTTTAGGAGAAGAATTTCAGTTTTTTATTTTATTATTTCATAATATTTTATAGACTCATTTGTTTAACGAATAGGGTATTGAATATTATTTAATAGGGTTATAAGAAAACGATGACGAGACACAAGTCATTTAGAAGCATCGACAATAAAAATGTTGTAATATTATGTGAATTGGTTTTTACTTATACGTTTTATACAATACAATAATACGTCGGAGACTGTAGTGTTAGTCTTCTTTTACCGCTTTTCGCCTCGTCATGCGCTTAGTTTATTTGTTACATTAGTTTTCCTCTTATGACTTGTTATAAACATGTATAAACACCATTTTCTATAAAATACAACGTTTGCGTTTTCAGCGCGTTTTAATTATCTAAATTCTAACGTAATAATATCTATGCTATATAGACCGCTATAATTTATAACTTAAGATTTTAAAAATATTGTGTTGGATAAATCATCTGATTAACCATTTGTGGTGTTGTAGGTGTTGGTTGTGGGTTTCGGAACAGACGAAGAGGGCGGTGACTACTGGCTGGTGAAAAACTCATGGGGCCGCTCGTGGGGTGAGCTCGGATACATCAAGATGGCGCGCAACCGAGACAATCACTGCGGTATTGCGTCCGCTGCTTCCTACCCCCTAGTTTAATATATTCATCCTTAATTTAATTATCTTCGTAAAACTCCCCCAATGAGATTCAATAACCAGTTATTAAGTCACACTTATGTGTCATACGTTAGAACGACAATCACACACAAGTTTATTAGGAATCTTATGAGATATTTGAATTGATATTATTTTAATTAGTAAATATGGAGATATTATTATTGTAATTAGATTGTAAGACAACAGTGATTTCCATAGTGCATCGTACGGAGTCTCGTCTTCATGGCCTGTTCAGGTCCACAGTGAATGTTGTTTTAAGTTTTGACGCTCGAGACATGTGATACTTTAGCGTAAACAAAATATTATTTTAAGAAAATAAACATTTTAAAATTTTGTGTGAATTTTATTTAAAATTATGTCTATTCAATCAATCACATTGTTGTCACGCGAACGTGGTTGTTCAAAACACTAGTTTATTTTAATCACATTATCAGTGAGTAGGTAAAGTTTTAAATTGTGCGAGTCCTGAAGCCAAAAATCATCAATTAGACAGTATTAAGTAATGTGACTTGTTAAGCTAATCTATACTAATATAAAAGCTGAAGAGTATGTTTGAACGCGCTAATCTCAGGAACTACGGGTTCGAATTGAAAATTTTGTGTTGATTAGAGCATTTATCGAGGAAGGTTATAGCAATAAAATATCGCCCTGTGACTAATACGAGCGAAGATATAGCGAGAAATGTGAAAAAACGTAAATTATTCATCTTTGTATGTTTCCGATGCGTACGCTGCGAAAATGGGTCAAGATACACACAAAATATGTAAATATGAGAGAATGATTTCTCTTTAAATGATAAAAAAAGTCAATGCCAGTATGTCTATTACTTAAGATGAACTCGAGAACGACGGGACGCAACCAACGCCGTTTATAACAGCTTAAATTTATAAGCTGTTATGAGGAAGTTTAAAAAACAAATTTGGATACCAAAAATAACTATTCTACGGGGACAAAGTCGCTGACACAGCTAGTCTAGCATAAAACATTAATCTTTATTATTAATCAAATTAATTACATAAGTTTTATTTCAAATGCGAAATATATGAGTTACTTTCTTTTAATTACGGCACGACGATTTCGATAGTTTGCAGCAGACGTGATCACAGGGGGACTGATGGCGGAGGGTATACCCTTATAAAAAAAGTTAACGAATACATTTTAAATTCAAAGCCATAAACCATGTTAAAATCTTATAAAAAAATTATCCTATACAACGAGTGGTTAGATCGGAGAGTCCCCCTCGTCCCTCGTGTTACGGAAACGAGCTCATCACAAATTATTTTTATTATTTTCTATCGGGGACACCCTTGGCAGGACGGGTGATCAGTCCACGTTGTCTGCTGACCATTTCACCCATTTCCCCATTTCCTCCTTGCAGAGATTTGGGTCATCCAACTCTTCCCGTGTCCCCTTCAAACCTTCCGGTTTGCTTGCAGAATCTTATTATTTTTTCCATCTGTAGTTCTTTAATGTCATCAACTGTAACTTCGTTCGAGCCCATATGCATTTGTCTTAGCCTCGAGTACGCAGAGCATTCAGTGAGTAGATGGATGCTTGTTTCCTCACTTTCTCTGCACTCCGGGCATAGGGGATCGCTACCTATTCCTATCAATGTAAGATGTCTGTTTAGACGGCAATGTCCTGTTATGATTTCTACGATGAGTCGGATGTTCGCTCTCGTTAGTCTCATCAGGTTTTTGGTCTTCTTTTTATCTAGGCTATGTATGAACATTTTCGACTGTCTCATGCCAGTCGAAGATTTCCATCTTTGGTTTATCACAAATTATTACTAACCAGCTGATGTTTTCCTTTTTTAATTGATTATTTTTTACAAATTGTTGTGTAAGTTTTCCGTTCCGATGCCCCAAAAAATTAGATTTCAATGTATAACTAATTACTAACAAATCAAAATATTTGTCACCGAGCCGTGCTGCAACGCAACTAACAATAAAAATTACAATATAATCAAATAAATTACTACGTAATTGATAGGAGAAATGGTGTCAACGAAGCACGCAAATGCGCAACGGACAAGATAAACGAATAGGTATGTTTAAGCAGTAATTGTGGTCCACAAAGACTATCTTTCGACCACGCGTGACCCTTGTGCCTCACGTGACTGATGAGCCGGTCACCGATAGGCGCTCGTAGGTAGATCTCGCGTTTGCGTAACAAGCTTTTCCTAGCAAACACTGCGACCCTATTTGACTACGTCGAAGCCAAATGAAGTTAATACTTGTCAATGGATGTTTGTACGTTCTATGCTAACGCCTAAATTGCAAAGTCAATTTTAATTAACGTTTCAAAGCTCAAGGGATAATGGCAGAATTGACATGTTATATATAAAACAATATCATAATATTTAAACCCAAAATATAAGAAATTATATTTAAGTATGACCCGATATTCTGCTGTGCTGTATTAACTATTAAATGTTCAAGTTAAAAACAATTTTCGTTGCAGTCTGCACTTAGATCATTGTACCCAATTGAATTGTAACACAATAAAATGTTCAAATGTATTACCGATATAATTTATTATAAAAAACAAATTATTTATATTAAGTGCATATTTACAGCTATTAACCGTTCATCGGTCCCTCTTCAAGTCGCACATAAACTACTTAATTTATAACTATGGACTAGATTTTTCTTATACACACATTAATATTACGAACTAAGACTTTGAATCAAACGACCCAGTATCGGCGTAGTGCTCGACGGGTTGAATAAATCGAAGTCCAGGTCTGTAGAGGTATTGGTAACCAGTATCTATAAGTGTAATTAACACAATGCTCAAACGAACATATGCCTATTAACCTATAAGTTATAAGATCTTAAGAAATTACTATTAATAGTGTTAGGACCCTAAAAATATTTACAAATAGACTTACATATTATTCATGATTTAACTCATACTCATTCTGAGATAGCTATCACTACAAAACAAAATGTGCTTAGAACTTTATAATGCTCATTGGGCATAGTTAGCTTCTTGCCTGCTTAGTTTCGTATATACGAGCGTATTAAATAAAATCTAAGGACAAATCTTTAAGCATATTCATGACCTGAGTACGCTGACTCAACTTTGGCACTGACTCTATTTTAAAATTAAACGATGGAACGCAAATCCCATGAATAAGTAGTCTACAAAATTGTTTAAATGTATTAATGAGGTAAATTAATCTTAGCATAAAGTACTTATGGCATAATTAAATGGAGCTTTCTTTAAATTTGAAACTCAAATTTACTCTTACGAGCATAAGGTAAATTCGCCAAGCCCGATTAAAAAAAGCTTAATATTAGATACTTAGATTTGTTTCAACTTATTCTGCTATCTCTATAACTGATATCCATAGAAGCTAGTGTCGGCATATTTCAATATTTCATCAAAGTCCGGTGAGAGCACTATTTCTTCTTAGGCTTTTTGGGGTTGCGTGATCGACTCTTGGCCTTGCAGAGTGGGCAAATGGGGGCGTTGCGATGGATCTGCTGGTGGCAAGAGAGACACGACTTCATCGGCGGCGGCTGCTGCCTGCACAGTACACACAACAAAATAGCCTCTAAGTTAGCAATTTATAAATATAATGTGGGAAAAAATAGCATATGTATCTCTAACACTAGCTCTAATTAATTTATTAACCCAAAATGTTTTATTATACTGGAGGTTTTTTATAGAAAAAAATTATATAGTGTTTAAAGTCAAATAAAGTCTTATTTATAAAATAATTATTAGTAATAAATATTATTCTTTAAAACAGTGAAGCCCAATTTCCTCTTTGGGTCATGGAAAAGTGTGTTACTCTTCTGTGTCCATATCACTCACTGATTTTATTTATAGGCAAAAAGTTGATTTGGACTTCTATAACAAATTAATAAGTCAAGTTTGCTTGTTACCCAATAAGTTATGTCATCAATAAACTCTCCTTACTAGATCTCTCTTGGCCCCAAAATATGTTTGTAAAAAGAAAAAAAAGAACATTTTCTATTTCCAAATTTAGATTCATAGCAACATAATATGCTTTATATTTTTGAAGGATATTGTTTAAGCAAAAGCAAAAAAAGCGTGCAGTACAAGGGTGGTATTGAGAGGATTTCAGGAGGGTAGAAAGGATTTCGCAACGAAAGAAACGAGTCGAACCTCAACGAGACGGTAAGGAAATCTTGTTCGAGAGCAGACCTGAAGGCGGGCGGCGGCGGCGGTGGCTTGCGCGGAGCTGGTGCCACAAATGGCGGTGCTCGAGCTGGTGCGGCAGGGAAGCGGCTGAAAATTTCAACTTAAATATGTATATATGTTTATTTGAAAAACATTTAGGAACCCATAAAACCTGGTGAATACATTGTTCTTTTTAGTATGATTTGCTTATAATATAAAAAAACAAGAAAATTGTGTTGCTTAAAATGTTACAATAATGTTCGGAATTTAGCTCAGTGAGCAAGCAAGCACTAGTCATATTGATTTCAATAAATATCAGCACAAATTAAATATGCAAAGTAAAAATTTCTTAAAGATGCAATTTTGTAGTTGTCCTATAAAAAATATGTTACTGACTCAGGTGTTATTGGACTCCCCTCTTCTTCATGTAGATCCGGTAAACGATCTAGACCAAGGCACTGACGACGCAGCAGATCAACCTCTGCCTTTAGTGGCCTATAGTCCTCATGCAGCCGTGATGCATTAGTTAACTTTCGGGACATGCTTTCCTCTGTCTGTTTTATAACTGTTTCCATCTGTAATTTAATTAGCATGCTTTACAACCAGAAACAATAAATTTGAAATCATACATACTATTATTTTTTCTCCCTCATACTTAATACAGAAAACTAAATAGAGGCCCAATACTGCTTGCACAATACATTGCTATTAAGGTAACAAAAAAGTTATCCAGGATAAATAATATCCATGGTAAAATTATTTACATAAATTCTGGTCATACTTGTCCCAACAAAGAACAGAAGGTATCGAAATACCCAATTCTAAAACAATCTATAAACACAAAGTACTCTGACAGGTCAAACAAACAAAGTGAATGATTACAACTGGTGCTGTATTAGTCAAGCACAAGCAGTAATTACACAGCTGCTAAAATAACAAACATTAGTCAAACCACCTGTTTCATAGAATACTTAAAGGAAATAGTTTAAAAGCAGGTTCCTCATAATATGTTTTATATGTACAGTAATAATGACTTACAGTTTGAAACAATAGATTAAAAAGTCAAAGGTTGATTATTTTTCGCCTTTTTTATATCTTTAAGGTAAAACTTTACTCACAGCATTAATGTCGGCGTGTATCTGCCGCAACTCCTCGACATGGCTCATTTTTTCTTGCTGCAGCAATTCCATTTCACGCTTGTACTGCGCTAGACATCGCCCTTCTTGGTCCCCACTGCGCACTTCATTCAAGATGCTGCGCTTCAGTCGCTCCAGGGTGATCGTCTTGTTCCTATCCAACATAAACATGTTAAAAGATGCCTCACAGGTCACTACTAAACACAACTTAAAGCCAAGCTATTCGTCGGCCTTTGAAGGCAAAAGAAAACACGCTCGCAATGTATGTCAAGTGCTGAGCTATTGATCGCTTCCACAGGTGTGAAAGAGAACTTGGAATATAGAACCCACCTAATTTCTTTCATTGCTTCTAATTTATGATATATTTCCCTTTCGTTTTCAGCTGTCATTCTTTATTCAATCCTAGCTGTAAGACTATAAGCAAAACATGAGTAATACTGCCACAAAAATGCACTGAAAAATATATGATGAGCTTATTAATTTTCAACTCCAAGAAGCCGAGTTTGAAGCATAGAGCTAATACAAAAGCTTCTTTTTGAAGTCAAAATGACAGTTTACGGCAGAACAATAGCAAAGTAGTCTTTTTCTTATCGTATCTGTACAATCAAAAAGAAGTTTCTACGATCTTCAACAAGAATACATTTTCATAATATTGAAATTATATGTACAAAACCTAAGTGATATGAATTCAGTAATTATTAAGAGAGTAACAACGTATACTAAAACTCATTGTGTAAAAAATGTACGATATGTGAAACACATCAGTACTATAATTCACAGATTATGATATAGTCTTTGGTATACCAATACTTCCTTGAAGGCGACTCTCATATATCTGTGGTGTATATATTATGAAATCAAAAATGGCCGCCTGATCGTATGAAGCGGCTTGCTGTCAAAATAATATAAAAATAGTTTTTTATAAGTAACGCGTAGGATAATAAATGTATTCATTACATACTTGTATATATTTATTAAATATTAAAGACAATTTGAATCTTTTTCAATTGGAGTGTCATTTCACCAACTAAAAAATACCTATAAGGGACGTTTACACACCATTGGAAATTTGCTTCGTGTCGCGCACACTATAGCACTTTTTGTTGTTTGTTATACAAAATGAACGAAGAGGGAACTGACGAGTCGCCACCGCGGTCAAAACGGAAGATTAAGAGAGTGATGATAGTGTCATCAACCTCTGGCTCAGACAGCGATGAGAGCATTTCTATGATCAGGACACGTAGAAAAAAATTAAGAGTGAATATTTTAGCTTGTAAATAAACAAGTTAGCTATTGAACCTCTAAGTCAGTAGCTCAGAGATTTGAATTTATTTTCAGGTGGTCAGCGATAACGATGGAAGTGATTCAAGCGGGAGTTCAATAGTGTGCGGATTAAGGCGGCGTCGCGCCGTGCCCAAACTTTGTGACTCGGAGCACGACAGCGACTCATCCACAATAGTCAGTGACAGCCAGAGAGAGTCTCCATCTACATCCAAACACAAGTCTGGTTGTGCCTCCGACAGTTCAGACGGAAATTCAGAAAAATGCGCGATTTGTTTGCTGCGCTTCTTAGATCAAGAGATTGGGACTCCTATTAACTGCGAGCATATATTTTGTTTAGATTGTATTACAGAGTGGTCTAAGAATGTCAACACATGTCCAGTAGACAGAATTACATTTGATTCAGTAGTTGTCAGGGCTTGTATGGGAGGCCGTATTATTAGAACTGAGGCTGTCAAGGTTGTGGAGCGTAGACCATCTATTGAAATACTGTTAACTACTGTTTGTGAGGTAATAAGGCCTAGTATACATAGTTATTTTTGTAGTATATTAGAGGTTATATTAAGAACCTGGAGAAGCATTTAATTCTTCTATTAAATTTTCTATGTGCAGATCTGTCAAAGAGGAGATAATGAGGAATCATTACTGTTATGTGACGGTTGTGACCTCGGCTACCATATGCATTGTCTTACACCACCACTTTCTGAGGTAATATTAAGACTTAATGAAAATTATTAAGTTTTGAATGATAAAATATTTTCTATTAAATTAATTATAAACATGTTAACATCATGCAAGAAACCATTTAACAATTTCATATAAGTAATCTCACAGAGGTATTAAAAATATTATTCAATGTTTTAGTTGCCTGCTACAGAAGCTTTGTGGCTGTGTCCTAACTGTGTAGATAACATTGTCTTGCAAGATTCATATGATGAGCCCACTTCTTCAATCAATATTAACTCGTCTACAAGGAGAGTGAGAGATGTTCTTCAAACAACTCGGACCACAACCAATAATCAAGCTGGCACATCTAGAAGTCGAAATGAAAATAGATTGAACACTGAAGTAGTTCCGACAACTTCCGGAGGAATAAGAGCCAGTAACAGGTCTCAGCCGGCTACAAAAAGGACAAGAAAGAGAAAAAGAACAAGTAATAGAAGTAAAAAGGTGATTATTGAATATGAAATAGTAGAAAATGGAAAGTTCCCTATCACAAGAAGAGTCACAAGGACAGTAAGAAAGAGAAAGGTAATTGTTGCTGCAGACATTTGAAGTTTAATAAATTTAATTAAATGTAAGAGATGCAATATTATTTCTAAATATACTTTTTTATATAGGGTCGAAAGCGACAGCCTCGAACCGCTGCGCGTCGTAACCATGTTCAAAAAAGTGTGCGTGAACGCTTAGCTTCTCTACGTATGGGTCAATCCAGTGGCATCTCATTTAACACTGGCTTATCTGAACTGTCCATCCGGCGTGAACGTGCAGCCATACCTACACTCAGTATTTATGGCAACAATCACCAATTAGAATACTTCACAGATGATGAAGTAGATATTTCAGAGGGTGCCTCCACAGTCACTGCTAGCAGACATACATCCAGCATTCTCAGTGCCTTCAGACAGGTAAGTTTGTTCTTGTCTTAAGCAATTTGTATATTAATATATATTTTCCATATATTACATTCTTTGAAGTTATCTTTAATTGAGGTCTGCCTTAGTATACTTGTAATTCTCGCTTTGAGAAATTATAATAGCTTTGGTAGATATTATGCTATGTTTACGCTGCTGGTCTATTAAACTTTTGCCAATAAGTATAAACACATACATTTCTATATGTTTGTACTTATTTTTTATTCAGCAATCATATTTCATTTTAAAAGGTATCTTTGAATAATATAGAATTCAGTATCATTTATAAATTCGGGAAAAAAATGGACTCATAAAGAGATTTTCCTGTTTAATGCTCATTTGTTTTCTGTCTAATTCATATTTTATTCTTTACAGGCAAGGAGAAAGATGATTACAATTCCATCGCCTCCACACGCTACATCAGCTCCAGATATCCTCTCAAACATATTAGAATGCCAGACATTACTCCACTCAAAGAAATCTGTTGTCTCTGTGTCAATTGATGGCGATGTTAGTATAACCTTGCAAAAATCCAAGAGTACTTCTCAAAAGAAGCAAGAAACCCAGAAAGAGAATAAGGTCGATTTGTCAAAAAGCGATGATTGCGCGAAAAAAGTACCATCATACCCAGGACAGTCGCGAGGCGGAGGCGGTTGGGGAGGTGGTTACCGTGGGTCTTATCACCGCGATCAAGGCACTAACAACTACAACCGTGGCAACTATGATAACAATTATGGCAATAGTTACCAAGGCAGGACGCCCGGTAACAACGTATTTAATAATAATTATCAAAACAATGTTCGTCGCGATTCTGAACCTGAGTTTTTCGAGAATTTTCCTAGACGTCCTCCTCAATTTCCACCCAATGAAGACCCTTATTTTGATAGACAAAGAAGGAATTTACAGAACGATTCAAATAGACCAAACAATTATTCAAATGTTCCCAGACATCCTGAATCAGGCCAAGGGCGGTTTAGTACAGGTTCTTCGTGGCCTTCTTATAATAGCGCACCAACGCGGCAAGATGTGCCTCTCACGGCCCGGCATTCATTTGGAGGGTTTGAAAATCCAGTTGATATGAGAATGGGCCAAATGCCCCCTAGGCCTACGGGTGTTAGCTCTTTTACGAGAGTGGAGCCTCCCCAGCAAGAAAAATCACAGCATTTGTACAATAAACCCATGGAACCACAGCCATATCAGGCCTTGCCACAGCCGCCTGTTTTTAATTATCCTAAAACAGGTGAACAAGAAAAGTCAGAAGATGAAAAAAGTGATACTGGGCTTATTATTGACACTGAAAAGTATGATCCGACTGAACCCACAAATGATGACGACAGTGGAGATGATGATAAATATTCAGCTGCAACACCAACTGGCTCCAATTTGAAATCATCCGATGCTACGGATCAAGAGCCCATAATCAATACTCTATTACCATCTTCACTTCCGGCTTCTAAAAGTGTACAGAGTATTTTAGCCGGCATTGATACTAGCAATTTGAATGTGCCTGCCAATGTACTAGATACCGCCGTTAGGCAAGTACTACAAGAACACAGGAATTTAATAGGATCACCATTACCTGCTCATGAGGATAAAAGTGATGAAGAATCTGAAGGAGACTGTCCAAACTTTTCTATATATTCTGCTACGAGTGTTCACATAGCTAACAACACTAGTACTTTGACTGAGGAAATAGAGCAAACAAGACCTCAACATAATAGTATGGAGGATCTTGTTCAAGAAGATGACGATATTCCGACACCTGAAACTGCTTCACCAATAAAATTAGACAGTGAAATTACTCCTGAAGAGCCATTACGCAGAAACGACACTGTAGCAAGTACTCCGAAATCGGTAGTTCATGAAACAAGTTCTAAAAGTAAAATTGAGGAAGAATATAAAGAAAAGATATCTAAAAGATGCCCGATCACAACAAATACACGTAACCCTATCAAAATAAAACTTAATACACCATCCTTAATAAAGAGAGTAACCTTGTATGACGAAGAAGACGTTAACCTAGATATTAATAATCAAAACGATACCGCGTCGCACGATAAAGTAGAATTACACAAATCTACCAGTTCTAAAAAAGAAAACGACAAACTAAACAGTGAAGAAATTGACAACGCTACTGAACGAAAACTCAGTGAAAATGGTTGTGATATTAAGGAAAAAAGTCGCGAAGTTTGTGAAAACGCAGCTGTTTTATCCGAGCACAATAATACAATTCAAAACGATATAAATAAAGAGAGTATAGTCAGTAAGGGTGATGCTGACCACGAAGATCTAAGGGATAACACCAGTGCTGCTGATGAAGAACAATCAAATGATTCCGACCATGTTAATACTGAGGTGTCAGATAGTGAAATTTGTTTAAGCTCACAACAGTCAGGAGGCAATAATAATGAAATGCAAAACAAGGATGATGAAGAAAATGTAGAAAAAATGACTGAATCAATAAGTGAAACTGAAGATGAACGAAGTTATACACCATGTTTGGATGAGAATAAACCAAAGGATATTTTATTTGAAACAGAAAAAGATAAAGCTTTAGAAGGGTTGGATACCGAAATGATATCCGAAGAGGAAGGCAATGAAATGTTTTCCGAAAATGAGCGAGCGCCATCGGTACAATCTCTTCCGCCGCCGCCTGAACCTAAGGAGGTGGAGCCGCCGCCACCTGAACACGTGGAGAAGAAGAAAAGTGACAAGAAAAGAAGCGAAGTAAGGGAAGAAGGAAAAAAGAAAAAGAAAAAAGATTCTAAAAAAGAAGGCAAAGACAAAAGCAAAAGCAAGAAAAAAAGTGATACTACCTTCAAAAAACTTAGCAAAAGTGGTAAAGAAAGAAACTATAGAGAAAGGGATAAAGATGATAAGAGAAAGAAAGAACGTCGATCGTCAAGTGAACCGCCAGAGTCTAAGAAGCGGCGTAAGGAAAAGCGGAAAGATCTCGAGCGCTACGATGTTCGCACCGTCGTCACCGAGAAACGAAGGAAAGTAAAGGACCCATTTGGACGAGACATATCCCCGCCGTCGCCTTCGCCTGGACCTACACCCGCGCCACGGCGCTCAGTCAGTCCTCCGGAACTCCGTCGCCGCCGGTCAGTATCCCGTGCCCGTCGCTCGATATCACGGGCACGTCGTTCCGTATCTCGTGCGCGTCGGTCCATATCCCGAGCTCGGCGTTCCGTTTCACCGCTTAGAAGTAGGAGAACTCCGTCTAGACCCCGAAGGTCCCCAATAAGAAGGTCTATCTCACGGGCGTCTCCTGTTGCTTTACGTGATTCTCCTCGGCATCGGTCGTCGGGCCGACCCGGTCGATCTTCGCTGCCGCGCCGTCTGCGACGGTCTATTTCTCATAGGTCGCAAACGCCGCGTCTATCCCCCCGGCGGTCTCCTAGCGCTCGAAGAAGATCGCCGGCGAGAAAAAGACGCAGACGTTCAGCCTCCCGCGCGCGTAGGAGGCGCTCCGCTTCCGCCAGTCCCAAGAGAACTAACAAGAAAAAGAAACGTACGCGATCCGAACGTTCGCCGTCCCGTCGCAGAGTTGAAAAATCACCTCCGAAGAAAGCGAGGAGTCGATCGCTCGATCTATCTCCGGCCAAACATATTCCATCGCCGTCCATCGATTCTCAACTTCTGTCGCCGCGTACGCCGCCGCCCGAGTCACAAGACGAAATGCCTATTCGACCGCCGTCGGAAGAGATGATACGCCGGCGTCGGCGGGACCCTGATCGTCAACGTCGGCGCTTACGAGAAATACCCGGCCCGTCGAAGGAAGTTTTCACGTCCGGAGACAATATTCTCGTCAGTGTGAGCTTCAAAGATCAGGAACGAGGAGACGAGAGTGAGAGACGGCGCCGTCGAGAAAGCAAACGAGAGCGCCGACGACGGCGCTGCAATAACGCACCAGTCACCGTCGCAGAGACCGTGAAACCTGTGGCAATTATTGACCTCGAGCGCTCGCCTTTCCGCGAGTTGACGCCGTCACCCAAAAACGTTATAGTTTTGAGCGACAGTGAGCCCGGCGAACGGGACGCAGCGGAACCCGAGTCGCAACCGCCCGCGTCCGCGCCGACCCCGTCCATGACGGGCCCCGAGCAGCCGTTCCTAACTAGCGGACCCAAAACCCCGCCCGAACCCAGTATAGATGCGAGCGGGTCGATAGTCTCTTGTGGACCGCCCGTCGCCACGGTGGCCGCCACTCCCGCGCCTACCGGCGATCGCTCACCCTGCACCGCGCCGCAACCGGAGCCGCAATCGCCCGACGCGTACGATCCGTTCGAGCCGACCCGTTCGGCGTCGGGATCGCCCGGCTCTTGTCGTTCGCAGACATCGAACGGCCCGCCGACGACTCCGCCGCGAACATTGATCACATTGGAAGCGGCGCAACGCACTAACATGTCAGCGGATGAGGTGCTGGACCGGAGACCGCTATCTCCGGCGGAAAAAGTCCTGGCTCTGTTGCAGTCGACGCGCGACGCGTCTCCGGAGCCCGTGGCGGGTGACGGGGCGGAGACTAATGTCGGGGTCGCGGCGAGCGCGCCCGTCGGCAGCGCAGCGCCGCGCATCGTTTTGCCGTCGCCTACGCGCACGCAGCCGAAACTGTTTCCGGGAAAACCGTCTCCTATCAAGTCTAATCCCGTGAAACCGATGCAAGCGCTGCGGCCGCCTTCAGATACGGGTGCTTCGCCGTACTCCCCGTATTCCCCTGGCTCCTCGGACTTCGGCGACCTTTTCGAGCCGAGAGACTCGTTCGAAGCAATATTGCGCGGCCGCCGAAACAAGAACTCTGCCGCGAAAGTCCCTGTCAAACTTAATAAAAAGAAAGGTAACTATTATTTATTATATACAAAATTCCTGACAGCATCATATAAACAGTATTAAACCTTTCGATTACTATAATTTTTAGATCAGTTCTCAGTGGTATCTTTCCTTTTCCTAACCTTCTTTATGTGTTGCAGGAAAGATGCAAATCGGCGTCAAAGTAGATGAAGAGAATTTAAAAATTCTTGATGAGCTCCCCAGCTCCGCTGTCGAGATGCAGGTCAAGAGCAAGGTAATTATTATTTATTTATTTTATTTATTTGAACTTACAATCAAATGCCATATAATTGGGAACAACATTTATAGTGAAAATTTTAACAATGCTGAGATATATTTGGAACTCAGGCAAAAATGTATCCAGGGCTATCAACCATTCAGCGATTCTCAGTAAAATAACAAATCGCTTTGTGATATAACCCATATTGGAAATTTTGAGCTGCTCTGCCGTCGTATTTGAGAAATAGTAGAGTAGATGATATCGGATACAAGGAAGAAAATGGCCACAATACCCTTACATTCAGTTAGAGATTAATAAAATTGTAATCTATTTCAGTTCCTCAAGAAATTGAATCGTCAAGAACGCGTCGTGGAAGAAGTGAAGTTGGTACTAAAGCCACATTACAATAAAAAGCACGTAACGAAGGAAGAATACAAACATATCCTACGCAGAGCTGTGCCCAAAGTGAGTGCAGTGTTTTTATTGATATATAAAAATAGCTTTATCAAGTGCAAATTTATACTTTATACCAGGTGACTAGGACTCCTTTTAAACAAAAAAAATAAAATCCACTTTCCCCCCTGTGGTCCATGGGGCATATTTCGGAATCCGAACCTAGGCAACGCGTTCCGCCGCTGAGCTACTCTTTCTTAACATAGGTCATAGACTATAGAGTAGTAGTATATATAATTTAGTCCTACCACATAGTGGATCTGAATTGTCAACCTCGAAACTTAAACAACATAGGTCGGTTCAATAACACGGTTAAGACGAGAACTTCGAGGGCTCAAACGCAGTGCGTAAGAGCTCTGAACGTTAACGGTGTAGTCACATCGAGATGTGTTCCAGATATGCCACAACAAGACGGGCGAGATCAACCCGGCCAAGATTCAGTCGCTCGTCGAAGCGTACGTCAAGAAGTTCAGGAAAAAGCGCAAACTCGGTCTCCCGTAACCGCCTCCGCCGGGCTGCTAGGACGTCCTTCCGCTAGCTGTGAGACCTAGCCTCCGACACGTTCATCAGAATATTATTGTAATTATAATTTATGTACGGACAATGTATTTTACGTAATGTTTTATTTAAATAAATATTATAGTTTTAAAGTATGTATTTTTAATCAGGTTAAGTGCCCAAATAGATTGGACGCGATGATTGTGCTATTATATTGTACAAAAGATTTAATTCCCAAAAATGAGATCATTATTTCAATATTTATACAAATTTTAGTTTAATTATTTAGTAAATGATATGGTATTATGTAAAGATAAGTTTACAGTAAGGCTAGTAGTAGATAATAAATTGTTAATGCCCAAAATGCTTGTTTTTCTTCTACTTATATTCATGTTTAACCTAACTAGAGAAATTTATATATAGGTAAAAATATATGGATAAACCAAATATTTTTGACTCTACATTTTGTCCACAATTTAATAAAGTATGCGAGAGAGTTTTAGTATTACAATAAAAGAAAATAGTACTGTACAATAATACTTTTAGTAGGCGACCATCATTTTGACATAGTGCCAAAAAATTCTATTGCGTCTAGAACTTCAACACTTAACACATTAAGAAAAATAAGAATTGAAATAATAATTTTATTAAAATAAAGTGTTACAGAGACAATATAACAGAGAGCGTGCAGTATTGTGTGACGAGTTAGTCGCGAATTACACACCCCAAAACTTTGGTAAACGCCTATACATAAGTAACATTAATTCTAGCACAAAAAAGTCAATGAACGAGTAGAAATACACTGGTCGATCTAAATGTTACTGGAAAACAGTTACTAATAAACTCATCAATCTTTACAATGTTCTCAAAGCTACAATATCTGTATAAGTTGTTCGAATGGAATACTATCTAAAATGAGAATCTACGAAGAACTTGGCTCCCTGTTTACTTGGCCTGAGCGAAACCGATGGCCTTGTTTTGCATATCGAACTCCGTGTAGTAGCGGCCGATGAAAACGTCTCCGAGAATCCACAGAGGACCATTCGGAGGCGGGATGTCCAGCCCCATGAAACCAGACAAGCACACAGTCTTGCCAAACTGTGACACCTACAAAACATGGACGCAAAAACAATTGAAAGGTTTTAATTCCCTAAAATACAAATAAATAAAATTACATGTTTGTTATTAATCTTTCGCGCAATTAAGAGCGTGGCCTAACATTGTTTTAAACAGGAAATGTCTTCAGTTCGAATTCATATTTTCGGTCAGGCTGGGCACAGAAACTAATAATACTTGTCAGTATTTTTTTTTTTTCGAATAATATCAAGAAAATTGAGACACCTTTTTTTAATTCTAATAGCAAAAAAAAAAATTAATTACCCTAAGGATATAATCGGTGGGGTTCAGCTTGAAATTGTTTCCGGCGATGGTAAGAGTCACGGCGGGCATGTTGGGTAGAAGAGAGCAGTCTACAGCGAATTGTCCAAAGGCGATCGGGGTAGCTCCGAGAGCACGGTTCAGTGCTTCTACTTCCTTTGCGGGGCCGGCCACCAGAGAAGTACCGGTGTCCGCGATGGCCTCACAACCTCCAGAGCAGAAAGACTGGTTTCCGACGGTCAACGAGTCCATACGGAATTGCCAGTAAGTGTCGCGGGTGAGCGGCACTTTCGTGAACTGGCCGGAATAATGTGCAGGGTCGGATCCGCCGAGGATGATCTCTCCACCTTGCGCCGCGCTCGGATCACGGTTTAGGTAGAACGAAAAGACGGGTTGAACCAAACCCTGAGCTACCATGTTATCAAACACTGGGGTCACGCCGTCTACCGCGATACTGAAATGTTTTATCAATAACAGTAGAATAACACGAGTAAAGTTTAACGACACAATGAATATGTATAAGGGCATATCTTCATAAGGGAAGGAATTCGCGTACCTCTTGAAAGCCATGCCTAAAATGCCGTCGAATTTTGCAGCAACGAACGCGAGGCCTGGCTCCGACATCGCCTCAGCAAATGTTTGACCACGCACAGTTAGACCGCCCACCTGTCAACATATACACTGTTAGCATTTCCTGTTTTGTAGTAAATTTGTTTATATATACTAGTTCATTTTTACACGTACAGTTACATCATCAGTTGAAAGAAATCCGGAGAGAGATCCAGAACCATAGTGTATGGCAAAGTCTGTGCCATTTTTGCGATAGCTCTTTGACTTGTTACTATCATATTTGTTGTGAAGAACTGCAACAAAAGTATTATCGGTTATCATTGATATGCCCTAGATATGTGTAAAATACAAAAGAAATAATGTATATTTGTACATACGGCAGGCAATGTTCGTGTAATGACATTTCTTTGATGGCACCCATAAGTTTGAAGAGCCAGTGTCGAACACAACTTTGAAGGTTTGTGGTGGATTTCCGATAGAGATGGGGCCATAGTACTGAGCCTGTAACATCAATGTAATGATTCACTGCATATCATTATTAATTAACGTTTTTTGCAACGAAAATGAAAACACAAACAATGACATTGTATCAAAATAACATAAGTATTGTTTTTTTTACAATGTGTTTGAATTGTGACTATACTTTTGTAAATGAATAAAATATTTGGTTTGTCACAAACAATATAAAACTTTTTAATGAAATATTATTGCTATACATTTGAGTTGAATACCTTACTTAAGTTAAACTATGATAACAAATATTTTAATTGACTCCTAGGCATATGAAATGGGTGCAATAACAGTATTTTAATAAGATAAGACGGGGTTATCATTATATGTATACAGTATATCAAGACTGGACAGCAAAATAAACATTTACCAAGCTGGTACTTCTCATTAATGAAGGTGAAACATTAAGGAGAAAAGTTTGTATTAATCGCAAAAGAGAACAAAAAAATAACAAGAGCATGAATATTTAATACTTAATGTGTATGTAGAAATAACAACTACAAAATTAATTATCGCTAGTTAGATATCAGACAACATTTTAATTACACAAATAATTGTGGAAGAAAACCTCTTTAATTATTAGAAGTGTAATTTTGTGTCATTTTAATTATTATAGAATGCACATTCTTGGCCAAGCTATAATTACAAACGATATCAATTATCACAGTTATAGTAGGATTTTTAATCAAATACCCTCTGATATTGACTCAATTAATAGATTGTATATAGAATTTCTGGTAGCCCAGCGTTAAAATTACACACTTCTTTATCACCTATGTATAAAATACATTAGTCATTGTATAATCTTACATCTAAATAATTGGAGAGTGGTTCAGGTGCTGGTCCTTTAGCCGCATACTTCACTCGAACTACTTGCAATTCTGTTCCCACCTCATGCAAATGCTTACGAACAGTTTTAATCCGGTACAGAGGCACTCTAGAAGAAAATCAGATTCATGATTATTACTGTAAAGTAACAAAAATCCACTTTCCGATATAATTTGATTTGTTAAATTGGTACTTTTCAGTATATTGGTGTTGGAGGGACAAAACATTGGGTTTCATTAATTCCTTGCGTTAACTGCAGCAAAAGAAATGTGGATGCATATTATGCATTGTGGTTTTTTATTTTTTTATAGAAAAGAAGTATGTGTCCTCGCAGATAGTTGTATAAGCCATAAAAAATGGTTAATTTACCTTTGAAACTCCGCCAAACATGCTGACGCAGCCACTAGAAGCAGCATACAAAACTTAATCATCTTATCTGCAAGTCACCGATGCTTTTCCAAAATCTATTCAAACCGCAAAAAACAAAAAGGCCAATTAGAAGAATTTTCGTAATTTAATAAAGAATGCAGTGGCCTACTTACAGTAATACCGACTGAGAACTACAAACAATGAAAAATATTATCAGTTTTTTTAAAGAGAGCGCTGCGAAACAACACAAGCCTCTCAAGTGCGCACTTATTTGTTTCTGGTATAAAAATACTGTAATCGGATTATATTTATTTATAGCTACCCACTACTATAACTATCTACGAAATACATACGTTAATTATTAATTATAACAGAAATCCGATGCGAAGCACAAGCGAGCCGGTAACACAGGACACTGACAATGACAAATAAAAATTTAAAACAGCTGAGCGCCGCAAAATGTTACACAGGGATGGATTCAGGACAAGTTGAAAAAGATCATTTCGGTTTTTCAGAGGTATAGCGGACAAATGCCGAATATTCGGTCAACCTTAAAGACGGATAGCCGAAACGAGCCTCGAGACCTAGTAAAACTATTTTTTAACTCAACCAGGTCTTTCAACGCAGATAAATTGGTATTTCTTCGAGGTTGACATCGCATCTTGTTTAGATATTACATGGCTGAGGTAATTAACCTTCCATAAAATAAACCCCATGCTTGTCTGTCTCTTCTATCATAAAAAAATAATTGTCTGGATAATTTTTACTTATTCGGAATTAAGTTGCATTTAAATTTGAGCTGAATAGTAACCGCATATTCGTTTCAACTCCTTTGTTTTACCCCTTTTCACATAAAATTATGGGTTCGAGTAACCTTTGAACAACAAAGTCTTTGAACCTTTACTGCCATTATACTTTCAATACTGTTGAAGCTTAAGTTCTAATTAGTAACTTCATAATTTGTATATGAATTGCATGAATAAATAATAATTCTACCACCCTTTTTTTTAAGTGACACGAAATAATTATGTTTTTATGTATCGTGAAACAGGTTAACGTTCCATTGATACTTGACAGTAAAAAGCAAACGAACGTTGAATTAATTGTGCTTATTTTGTACTATAGAAAGACAAGATTCAAATAACTATTATAGTACCAAATCCATCCCTGCCAATGGCGGGTAAAAGTGATACCAGACTTATGTTTTACAATTTGCTTTAAAATATTATACGTAAGGTAGGGAAGATTCTATTGATATTTAATCAATAGAATCTTTCCTATTGATTAAATATCCTGAGACTAATATAGGACTAATCACTTGTGTCGACAAAATCTTGTTTCTCTAAAAATTTTAATAAAAAAAGGTTTTAATACCAGTCCGAAAATCGACGCGCGAGAGTGCAAGAAGCACTGAATTAAACAAGAAATCCCTCAAGTGAAACAAAGGCCTCATGTCCTCTGGTGCAGAAAAACGACGATGCAAATAACCAATGAATATTTTACCAGGCGCTTCAGTTGAGGAGATAATACCTACGTTTTATTTTTGGGAAATAACATTTATTCTGTAGTGTGTAGAAGGGAAAAATATAGAAAAAAAAAATATTTTTAATTATTTTAATACTGGAAACACGCAAAAATGGAAGTAGTTTCTTTGTAAGTTAATTTCTTGTACGATGTAAGAACCGATTAACAGAATTTTCAAATTAAGTCAAAGCGAAGTAAGATATATAATAAAACTCCTTGAATGTCTCCTTTTTAAGAATTCTGATAACAAAGAGGTTTTTAATTATTTACAATTAGTAAAGATAATGTCACACTTATTTAATTAGCTGCTTTATTTATTAGAACATTTTCTAAAAAGTCCACATTAAGAAGTAAAATTACCTACTCCTAGTAGGTACCTTTATCTGTGTTGTTGAGTGCAATGTTTAAAGATCGGAATTATTACCCATCATGTCCCAAGTGAATTTAACAGACCACATTCTTGCATTGTGGTGTTATCTAATAACAACATTTAAAAATATTACTGAATTTTGTACCAGTCACATTATAAACCTATACTTTACACTAACCATCTCTTAGACATATTTAGGCCAATTTAAACGTCAAATACAAAATATATACATATCTCCATATTTTTTTAAATGTACAAATAGAAATAACACAGATATTGTTAAAATAGATATTAATATACTTTCACACATACCCCAGGAGTGGGACGAGTGTCTTTGGCTCCTTATATTTTTTTCAGCTCAAAGCTCAGTACAAATAAATTGTAACACATACAGCTTATTTACATTTAGTGACTTTGGACATATTATATAAATCAGTTTAATAAACCTACACAGTTCTAGAACGTTTGCATCTTTTGAATGAAGACTTTTTGACAGTCACAAATAACTTAACTTACAAAGGATTACTATAATTACATCTATAACCCTTTCTCACAAGATCTATTTACACTTGCTAATCCATAAACCACTTGGTAATGTTCACGTCCTATGCTACTTATTAATAATTACATTAATTACAGCACTATGTAGTTATAAAGAGTTCACTTTGAAGCACCAACATCCCATTTTACTATAGATAAGTCTGTGCACTAGTAAAAGTACTAATCATTACTTCTTAGTCTCCATCTCAGCTAAGGTGGTCTTTTGCGATAGCGGGTCTATAATGAGACTCGTCAGTAGACAACAGCTTGACTGAGAACGAATTGACAGTGAGGGGCTCGCCTTGGATTATTTCTATGTTGCCACTATTTGCCTGAAAATTAGGTTTCATATGTTATTTTCATAATAATTAGTAGAATATGATGATAATTATAAATTGTATTAAATAAATATTTGTGCCCAACTATAATCTTACCAAAAATAGGGCAGCAAGAGTAAGATGAGCTGGATGGGTTCCATGTTTTTGGTGTTGGTGACGCAGCAGCACATTGACGTGTGTGGAGTTCTGCGTCCTCCCCAAAGCATTGAGCAGCTGCGCAGCGGTCTGCTGGACGTCCGGCGTTTTTTCGACGATACGAGAGAGAACACGCTCCTGCCAACTCTGCCAATCAGATTCTTCCACTGCGGTGCTGCTGATAACAAACAAAACTCAATTGGCTTACATTTAAGACCTAATTATGACTACAATATTTCACGTATGAAACCATAAACATACGGTATTGATTTTTTTTAATGATAGAGTACAGACAAGAAGAGGGTTTATTTGGTGGGGGGTAAATTCCCCCAGTGAATGGTTTTGGAAATCCACAGATTGTGTTTCATCTGTGGTTCATGGCCCGGACGGAATTTTGGATACTTCTACCAACCATTTAATAACAAGATTTTCAGATGAAGACCAATAACATTGCTGCCATTAGACCAACGGGCTCGTCCGCCTGAGAATATTGATGGATGGATACATCCTGTAAGAACTTTTCCCACTATGTACTATTATTAGTCTTAGTAACTTTAAGTTACCTCAAAGAGGGCTGAAGATGCGCTGGCGACTGCCTTGGCTCACCATCGCTGTAGGAACTTTGTTCGAAGAATCCGTCGTCATCGCTCTCGTCAGCTCGAGCGCGAATCCGGCGCAGCGCCGTGAGCGCGGTCTGCGCTTCTTCCGCTGGCCATCCACAGAAACCTCCCGCCTCCGCAACGCTATCCCATCCGCGAAACTCTAAGGAACAGAGACATATCTGAATCAAACATATTACAATTACATTTAGAAACAACACTTATAACTATACTTTCAGTTTATAGTATGAGAAGGATGACCTGGGGCAAGTAAATTTACCCCATGCTGTTTCAATTTTTTTTTACATACAGTCCTTCGTATGTGTGTCCATACCTGTTTCTTTGAATGAGCGCAGAGGAATTCTCGCCGCGAGGACCTGCCCGCTCCGGCGATCTATAACGCGACGGATCCAACTCTCTGGTAGACTGAACTCCTCCTGAGCTCGAAGCGCCGCCAACATTTCTGTTTAATGATTTGCATTTAGTATTTATGGTACTGGATTTCAGAATTAATTAATTAATGATAATACATTGCGAACATACGAATAGGTATATAGTAGCTTACCTTCGCTAATGAGAAGCTTGACCACTTGGTTTGATTCTTGATTAACTTCTCTCCGTCTCTTTCTTTCACATTTTTGGGCTTTAGGTGTGGAGCAATTAAATGGAGATAGAGGTAATAAAGGCGATGGGGGCAGCTGGGGCGTGTTAAGCTGCGGCATCGTGAGAGGGGGTGCGGGTTCAGGTGCATCGGGCACTGCGCAAGGAGATTGCGGTGGACTGGATAGCTCTAAGTCTTGGAGAGGGCGTAGGCCGCCTTTACATGAGTTCTGCTCTAATTCTTCCACTAAATACCCTCCCTAAATAGGAGAAAGATAATTGCTTAATACAATCCGTTCATTATTTTATAATGATTAAAAAAATACAAGTTAAAATTCAATTAAACCTTACAGGTATTGAAAGCTAAGCTATTTTAATATATTATATCTATTAATTAATAAATATGGCAAAAAAATGTTTACGAACGAACATACAGAAACACTATAGATTCAATGATAAAAATTGCAATATATTTCTTTCTTATTTGGTATAATCGAGGCATCAGAGCGTGGATACAATACAAATGCTTTGATTGATGATCAGCACTTTAATGGTGCAATTTCAAAAAATTCTGGTACGGGGTATTCCCTACCAAAAAGTCCTAGGTTAATTCAACATTGATTTAATAGTATAGTTTTTATTCATCAGCTACTTATAAAGTTTAATGAATATTAAAGGCAGTAAATAGAAGAGTTGATACGTAATTTAGAATTACCTGCAATCGCCATGCCACATGGAAATCAGCTAATAGACCAATGGGTTCCCCGGTCCTGTCCAGCAGCTGTGCATCTCCATCAGCAATCTGTCGTGGTTCGAGTTCTATATACATTCGAGGTAGTGTAGGTGGCACCCTCGGCACAGGTTCACGATTTGCACTAGATGCAGTCTGCAATTCAATAAGGTCAAACCCAATTGGACCTGTTGCTTTTCTTTTACTTCCCACTGTTTGACCCTGCTCGGTCTCTTCTATGCTAAAACAAAACATCCTTTTTAGTAATACGGAAGAAAAGCATGGGGTGTATTCGAAGAAGAATCATATTATGCTTCACCTTTACAATGTTGACAAAAGAACTTTGTATGATATTAAGCAGAATGTGTTTAGGATTATTGCATATAGAATTATTTTGATTCAAAAGTCAATTTAACAATATTGTTCTATACTTAATTTGTACATTTTAGCATATTTTCATTCTAAGGAAGATTTACACAACATAGTATCATATTAAGTAATGTAATGTATGTATATAATGCAGAAAAACAAGTATTCAAATTACTTGTGTTATAAAAAATGTATATGCCATTGTTTCTACATTTTGCTGCAAAAAATGCAAAGCAAACACTTGTATTGACTTAGAAATTAAGCAGATAATGGAGCAACAACGGTTCAAGGTTAATGAATGGTACAAATTTTGAAACATATGCAAATTAGTTTCCCTATACATGAAATATAATCTATGTCTGAAACATTATATAGTAATAAAGTAGGTATTCCTTACTACTTCTACTGAGGCTAAGGCACATGATAATGCTATAATATGATATTAAAATTTTAACTGACTAGGATAAGATTTAAGTAGTCACCAACCATAGTTTTATTCTTTACATTTTTCAGATTGATATTAAAGTTACTAAGTTAAGTTGCCTTGGTAGTACTGTTAGAGGAAAACCCTTATATTAACATTGTGCATTTACAATATTAAATGCAGCATATTATTACATCAATTGCTTAATTTGTATAAAAGTACTAATTTTTTGTGGTATAATACAATATTAATTTATTTCACTATAATACACAAACATGTCAATTATTATAAATGTATAGTATTGTACCATTTCTACCTATTACAAAAATGCTTAACAATGCCACCAAATAAGTTTTCAATTCATAATTAGCTTTTCATTGTTAAAACAGTTCTTTCTGTGCTTTTTGCAGACAAATCAATTATAATGTATGCACCATTATAGCACTTTTAAAGGCCAAGGAAATATACTGGTATAGATAACTTTCAAGGAATTTAACCTATTCAAGCATCACTAATAATGAGTTATTTGTACTATTTTTGATACACGCATTATGTGGTTTATCAGATAATATAAGTGTTTTGTTGAGATCTTGATAATGAAAACACACTCTTTTCTTAATATGAAGGTAAGACTGTTGTACTATTTTTATTGAACAAAAGTATGTACTGACCTAAGAGTGTTATTTAAGGAATCTGTGATCCTTAATACATCCTGATAGAGATAGTCCACCTTGCGGCTATAGATATTGGCCAAATGTTGCAGTATCATAGCAATCTCGGCAAAGTTAGGCTCAACTTCTGTGCTTTCTTCGGCATCGAGTGCACGTAGACCTGCCTCTGTCAGGTAATCCTCCAATAGCTATATGCAACAATATTAATAATTATGACTTGCTACAGAACACAATAACAAAAACACATGACAGTAATATGGACAAAATGACTATAATTTTATATGGTCTAAACAGTGAAGTACTCAAGACAACATGTTAGTAGAAACATAATATGAAATAACATGCGTTTTTCTAAATAATATGAATGTGATTTTTTTTACAAATAGCAATGATTCGTGTGACAGCAATGGTTCAAATACATTTTATAAAGCGTTTAAGGGAGTTTTTGACTTTAAATTGAGTACCTATATTGTGCACATACCGCGCTTACGCCTGTATCGAAGTTTTGACCGAGATCCTTGATAGGTTTTATCAGCTGCGCCACTATAGCATCTAATCGTTGAGAATTCATGCTCCACCGCTTTTTTCTCCTTGACAAATTTCTGAAAATAACACACTTCCATTGATAACATTTCCTGAAAGCGACGCACTCGCGAACGTATCACAGCATTATATTAGTAAGTAGTGGCGCGAAACTACAGAACAGAACCCCGATTTAATTATTAACAATAATATCACTGGATTTTCTATATTAAAGCTCTACAGTTATTTTGTATATTAAACTTATTATAACCTGTCTTCATCGGCCTCCATTTTATAAACATAGAAATATGTGATTAGGAAAAACGTAATAGAAACGGTGGCCATTTATTTATGTTTTTAAGGGAGACTTTCCATGTTCGCTGTTAAAAGCTATACATTGCTCGCGTTCGCGCGCTTCTCTGTTGTCTCTGCCATAGCCAAGAACAAAACTAATTCTGTAGAATGTCTCTTCTATAATTATTGTTTATAAATTTTGTGTTTCTCACATTATTTATTAATGTATTTTTTTTGTCATTGACGGATTTGCTTTTTAAGGTAACCAAATATTTGGGCAAGCCCACAGCGCTGTCTGTATTAATATAGATAGACCGATGGTGCCCCATGGGGGGCACAGGCCTCGATTTCCTGCATTGTCGGTGCGACCTTGAAAACCTGGCCGTAAGAACTGGTGTATATTTTGGTTAAGCCTATATTTTTAATATTACCTATATGAATATACCAAGGTATACTTTACAGTACCGATTACATTAACTTTATTAGTCTATTTTATGACTTTGGTATATTTACTCATCTTCTATTAGTGTCCTCCGTTCCATTTTAAATAAATAGAATATTATATTTTTATAATAATATTTAAAGAAGTGAAAACAAGGCAGTTACCAATTTCAAAGTACTCTGTAAAATATATATGTATGATTTCAATAAACTTTAGTTTTTAGAGCGGTTTTAGCCGTTAGTGGTCTGTGTTCGGCAGGTTGTATATAAGCTGTAAACATAATATTGTACTTGCTATAAACTATGATATATCTGTACTTACATAAAAAAATTAATGGCAGCCGTGGGAAGTGCAAGTTTTGTTTATATTTTTTAAATATAACAAAAGTTGTTTTATTCAAACTCAACTTAAAAATTAAATAGCTACCGAGTATTTTATTGTAGTGGCCGATTGAAGATACTGTTAACATTACTTAATTTGTGATTTAGGTGTACACAAATAAAACATGGGCATGTCGCGTTGCTATTCTTTGATGAAATGCTTGCTTATTCTCTTTAATGTGATATTTTTGGTAAGTATTGTATTTTGTAAACATAAACTAAGCATTGTTATCTATTTTGTATTACTAGATTTCTTTAAAGTTTTTATATGTTTGTGGGAAACCTTTCTTTTGTTTTTTAACAAGTAAACAAAGATAATATAGGGGCTAGGAACCGTCCGCTCAGCCAGCACAGAGTCATTCGATAACCTGCCTGTGCTGTATTACACTTCCTACGATCTGCGTCGCGCCCTTCGCCTTTACCGACCTAAATATTAAAGTTTCACACATGTAAGGATTTAAAGAATCACAACTAACAAAGGTTTCCTTATTGTTTCAGTGTTTGGGATGCGGGGTGTGTGCATTTGCTGGGTGGGCACTATGGGATGGGCGTGCTAGCGAGACAGGTTCCGGTAGAGCTGGTCTGTGTGCAGTTGCTATATGGGGTGCTATTCTAACTCTTGGGGCTATTACTGCACTGGCAGGTAATAAAAGGGTTTTTAATAAAATACTGTCTATAGTTTACGCGAGTAGTACACATTTAAATTAAACACTTTAACGGTTTAAAACGGGAGTCTCCCTGTGACCACGGCTGCTGCAAAGCATCCGAAACGTCGGGCCAAAGTTAAAAATAATTTTTCAAATAAGTTTAAATAATATATCGCGTTTTAAACCGTTAAAGTGTTTTATTTAAAAGGGTTTTTAATATTTATTAATGAAAGTCGAAGAACACAAAATGTACTTATTCTTTTTTGTTTTTATTGGATTATTATATGATTTTAATTCTGTATGTTAAATTTTAAATTCAGGTGCTGTCCGTGGATCAGCATCTCTACTGGCGGCATGTTTTGCCCTCTTAGCTTTAAGTGCCGTAGCAGAAGGTGCTGCAGCTTGGTGGGGCGCCGCCCACCTTCCGCGGCTGCGCGTTGCCTTATCTGACCGTTTACACCACACTGTCACTCGGGATTATGGTCTCTTGCCTGCCCGTACTCATATTATTGATGCTATACAGACTGGCGTAAGTATAAAAATTATATAATCATTTTAGTGTTAAATAATATTTTCATATATCATTTATGACACACTGTTTTTTTAATATCTTTTTCATATTTATTGATGCAACCCAAAAGTATATTATTGTTAATCAAGCCAAAGTTTTCCAAATGTTATCAAATACGGTGGAGCCATTTTAGTGTGGAAAATACACCTAACGAATAGAAACATTCATTCATCACTTTACACACAGTTCTGCATTTACAAAACTATCAAGAGTAAGAGTTAAGTCTAAGATTATAACTTTTTATTTTTATTTTGGGTTGTCTAAAAGTGATCACTTGTTAGTGATGAGTATACTCCTTAAACTTCTAGTATGCACATGTCTTATATGTATTTCTTTTAGGTATAGTTAACATCTATAAAACATTCACATTTAACATATTTAATGAAAATAGGATCTTATTTTAGCTAAAACAGAATAAAGAGCTATTTTTTACGCGTCACGAATTATGTAACGTCATAGCTTTTATATGGTATTTTAGTTGGAATGTTGTGGCGCAACGGGCTCTCGTGATTGGCAACAGTCGGCGTGGGCGAATGGTGAAACGGGAGGGGAAAGCGATACCCTGGACCTGAGTGTGGCTGCCGAACCCGCCTACTATTATGTACCGCCTTCATGTTGCATGGTAAGTATTTTTTATCTTTTTTAAACAGTATAAAATTGTACAAGAAATGCATTTCCTGGACTTGAAGCTCCTGAAGTGAGTTGCAAACTTCTGGTTCCATTTATAAACATCTATTCATAAAAATAAATAAGTCTATCAGTAGAGAAGTTGAGTGATGTACATGTCTTAGTAACCAGAATCACCTGCGTAGTTGTTCTACTTACTCCTAATTAGACCTGCCACTGGTTTATGTAGAGCAAGATTATATAAACATGTATTACTCTAAACTTTTCGAGGTTGTAACTTATATTAATTATGTATATTATAGACAAAAGACAACGCAGAGTGTGAGGTGGCACGACGCGTGCCGGCAGCTTCATCTACTGCGCCCGGGCTGCACACAGATGGGTGCTCACCTCGCGTGCTTCATGTGCTCGGCGAGGCTGCGCGTGCGCCGCTTCTCGCCGGTGCCACATTTTTCGCTGCCCATTTGCTAGCGCTACTCTTGGCCTTAGCTCTTACGCTACGAGCTGCACCCGCTAATAATTACAAAGCTTAATTTGATCACTAAATGCATATCTTCCAAGGGCAGAGCCAGAGGTTTTAGACCTCTCTTTTGTTGTGGTTTTTCATTTATAAGACCCATTAACTTTCTTCTCAGAATTTCTAAATTCATGTTTAGCCCACCTCACTTAATACTCACTTATCTGCCCTTGAATTCTTTGAAAAGTTCACTTCAAGATAGCCAAACAGAATTAGATGGATAAGACATAAAGACAAGTTACGTTGTATAGGCAATTTTTTTCTCAGATTAAACGTTGGGTGTAACAAAAGAACAGGAAAAACCGAGATGCCTTAAATCATAAACAAAAAATTGTGTTGAACTGCACTCCGAAGCCTTCGTAGTTTCTTTTTTATTATAAATGGAATTGAAAAACAATTATTGCTAGAAATATACCACATTATAAGGCCTTAGGTACTTACAGTAAATTTATATCTTATCTATCAGAAATTAAACAAATTTACAGATAAAACTATAAAAAGTAAGTACAGTGTTGAAATGGTGAAATAAACACCAATTTTGTTGTCAGTTGCGCCGGCGCCTATAGCGTCACACCCACCGCCATGCATTTATTTTTGTTCCTATTTTTATATTATACCATGTTTTGTTAAGTAACTTTTGTGAGGTCTCTATTGCGACTAATTTATTTTTACCTTGAAATAGGGATTCAGTTATTTTGAACTAGATAGTCGGAATCACAAACAGATATACTAGTACTAATCGATGACTAAGTCATGGTAATGTTTTTCACATTCTCGAAATAATATATTTATATTAGTGTAAGACTAAAAATGTGTAATTGAATTAATAATTAGGTTTAAGAAATTAACCAAAACATTTGTAGTCGTAGGTTTAGTCAAAGGAAATTGGGTGACTTCACTTGAAATAATTGAATAACACGACCCTTGCTAATTTGTAATTAAGAAGTGTTTTTGTGGTCTATGCAGCACTATAGGTCTGATGCACTGCCCAAGCAGGCCCTGAGAGGGGCCTTAAGACTGATTTATTTATACTCTCGAACCAAGACTCGTTATGTGAACAATTGCATTTAACACTGCCATTTTTAGACTGGTATTCTATTTATTTATTATAATAAATTAACTTTAAGCGAACGTATCAGTGACTTCGATAAAGGTATTTGTACGCAGCGGAAAGAACCAAAAATGCTATTTCGTGTCCTTTAAATTTAGTAAAATCAAAGACTAAGTATTGTCTGCACCTTAGTATTGTCCCATGAAACACGAGTTAACGGTTTACAACGAGAAATAATTTATATTTTTTTTACTACAACCCTACATGTGCAACAAAAAATATATTTCGCGTTTTAAACTGTTAAAAGTGTTCTATTTAGAAAATGAAAGACTCAAATTGGTAAAGTGTGAACTTTTTAATGTGGCTTACTTGTTATAATGGAGAGTACAGTTGTACATTGAGTAAATATCAAATATGTCGCATACAACAAGTACATAGTTCCCTAACAAGTATCAAATTGTGTTAAAACTTCAGTACAAATTTTGAGGTCTCACTTTAAGAGTAGTTATTTAAGTTGTTAATAGTTTGTAGTTCTAATTAATATACCATATACTACTTTAAACTCATTACCAAGATAATTATTACTTCTAACTTATGACTGTCTTCGAGTCACACCCGTTGCTCTCTGTTAGGCGCTAAGGATTTGAGAAATCGAATCTCCTATTTTACAAATTCACAAGATTCTAAAGACGGTTGTATATCTATAAATCACAGTTCAATATAACTTAGTATTAGATAATTAATTCAAATAATCATTTGTGTAATATAATCTCAATAATACGTGCACTAGTCGAAACATGGGCGTACTCAGAAAAGTTTGGCTTATGGAAGGAGCACAAAGCCCCGTTAACTTGTGTTCAAGGACCTAATAAGACTAGATTCTGTTAAACCAAGTCTTTCCCTCCTGGGTGTGCAGATGAGCCGTGGTATTACCGCCAGTAATGATTGAAAATAATTTTAGGTTTAATAGTTTTTTACAACAGGATTTTTACGTCGACACTGCCTGTAGTATTTATGAAACACAATTATGTTAAAAGTACACATGGAAATTGAATCTAACATGCAATCTTTGACCCAAATAGACTGAATTGTCCCTCACGAGTAACATATTATATTAGTGCCATGTAGAATTCCTTTATTGATTAGATATATTTATTGTGTTTGTTGATGTCGGTGTCTATGATAATATTGATTCTAACATAAATAAATGTTTTCTAATACATTTGTCTTTATATTCCTCTCCACGGTGAGATAAGTGATATTATAATCTGTGTTAAAAGCGGAAAGTTTTTAGTAATATTTTTAATGACAGGAGAACAGACAAGCGTTCGGTTTACACAATGGATGTGCTGTCGACCCATGTTGGTATTGGTGAAGCAAAAATCCATTAACAGACTGAAACGTGACTGTGTGACTGAATTTTATTATTCCATCAACCATTTGGTAACCAGATTTTTCAAACGAAGTCCGACAACTTTCAGAAAAATTCTGAATTTATTAAGTTACCTGGTGGAAATGTGACTCACAGGCCGTTGATTATATCTATACCCTGCAAAAAATGTAGTGAACCCAGGCAAGCAAACGTATAGTTGCGTATAACATATGCACAGCACATCTCGGAAACCTTCGCTTAGTAATCAAATAACGATCAATGTAATCATTTCCTTCATTTTGAAATAAGGTAAATCTGTGTTACAGTTAGGTATCCCCGACACGAAGTCTTGCGTGCTGAAATATAAATTAAAACCAGTATTTTTTATGTACGAATTGTACAATATTAATAACACAAAACACTTAAACGAGAAACATATTCGTTGACACATTCACTCCCTCCCTCCGAGACGTCGGGTTGTAATAATAAGTTACTAATATTATTCACGTTTTAAACTGTTAGGTGTTTTATTAAGTGTGTACTACTAGCATAAACTACCGATAATGTTGAGATTATCTTTTTTTATTGACGTATTGAGTAACGGATTCCATTTTTAAAATTATAGGTTCAACTCATTCGATGTGAAATTGAACTTTAGACATTTTTGTATGTCGATTCAAGGGCGATGTATTTTACATCGATTACATCGAAATTGCAGCATCAAAGACCATGGGTCTCGTCAGTAATTTTAAGTGCAAATATTACACTTTGCTGTTACATCAAACGCATCAAAATCACATTTGCAATCCGACGTAAGCATATTGCAACAATGGTTCAAACTGTTGGTTTTACTTATTGTGTATACATGTATTGTAATGTATAATTTGTTGATCACTGTAAAATAATGTAATTATGTATATAGTATAAATATTATCTGTAGGTAACATGAGTGTTAGACGGTAAATACAATGAACGATTCTGCGCATTAAAAAGGAGTTTTAATTAATTTATTCAATAAACATCGATTTATTGAAAAAAGGTGACAAATTTAAATTTTACACTAGCGAAGTTTACCGTCTGTAGATAGATGGTCCCGTGGCTGCTGAAAAGCATCCGAAACGTTGGGCCCTAGTTGCAAAACTTTTAATTATTATTTTTTAAAATGAAAAATGAATTGTTTAATGCAATAAATAATGGCTCTTACTGGAAACTCTTAAAAGAAACAGTTCAATATGTACTCGGTACGATTTCGATCGTATATATTTCGTTTTAAACCGTTAAAGTGTTTTATTTAAATGTGTGTACTACTCGCGTAAACTACATACAGCTTAGTTACTGTGCGCTCCCCGATCGAATCACTTTAATTCTTGTCCAAGATACAGCTCCGAAATCTACTATTCAATTTAGAGTGAATATTACACGTCCTCTAAACTGTAGGAATGTCAGAATTACATCGTCGATTACCTCGGTAATTGCGAGCGATTGTCGTCTGATACTGCGAGGAGGGCAGAGGGTCGCGAGTGGAATGGATCTAATGATCTTCAATTAGATGCAATCAACGTCTCGGTCGTGAGCCGAGTCTTGCCCGAAATCAACTTGTTGCTTCTTCCAACTTTATTGATTGGACAATTTAGGTCAACCTTACAACTTGTTTAGTCGCGTGCACCTTTTGTGTATGCCGGCGCTAAATGCAAGTACGAATTGATTTATAAGCTCCGAAATAGACGAAGAATAAAAGTATTAATCTTAAAGTAAAAATAATTTACTATTATTAATGGCCAACATTAGTTTTTTAGTGTTTGTTCATCTTTTTAAATGTTGTGCGAGTACATCTACTATTAGTCGACCAAACAAGAATATTACAAAATAAAAAACATATTTTAAGTAAACATCTTATTATAGCATCTAGTCTAATATGTTGCAGTTTAAATTAAATAATAAATGGTTTAATTAAACACTGCATAACAATGTGAACTAAATGTTTATCGAAAACTTTAATTTAAACATGCCTGGTTCAAACAAAGCAAGCTAAAGCTTTGTTTGAACCAGGCATGTTCAACGGCAATACAGCTGCTCCCTAAACAGAATAAATAAATATAGACCTTATAATTGAATAACTAAGGAATGTTTCCTATTGCACTTGTTCCGCGAGACCGGAATGCTTACAAGTAGACATGTGTAGGTGTACAGAAACCGGACAGCCCCTTAACTCCCTTCGATGTTTACAATTTGTTTGGGAAGACGCTATACCTCGGTTGAATCAGACTTTTGGTTTAAATACGATGCTTCAATCGTGTAGGTATATAGTATCCAAGAAAGTTAGTATGTATATGCTTAGGTACCTGATAAAGTAGAGTTTCTAAAAAGTAATAAGTTTGTAATCATCGTAATTCCTGATACGTTTTTAAACAAGCAATAATTGTAACGAGCGTTAACAATATTGTAGACATACGGGCGTAGTAGGTATAGTATTATTAATAAACATTGAGTGGAAGGGTTAAATTCGCCGAGTTTGATACGCAGGAATTTAGCAGCTGCAAAAACCTACGCGTAGTAAATGGGATTGAAAATATGTCTAACTGTACGAACTAATTATACTCTAGAGTCTAGACAAATGTCCATTTACGAGTTTATTGCAAATTTCAATTGTATAAACTCATGTGTTAACTTCAGTAATAGACTCCCAAATTTCGATATTAGGCGCCGCTAAAAGTACGCAGGCTCTGTGCCACTCCCCGCGCGCCGCACTACCCTTCTTGACATTCCACAGTTTAGCCGATCCCGAATCCCGAGTCCCGACTCGCTATAGAGAACGACAAAAAGCTTCGTTGGAGCCTATTGTCCAATGCCCTTACTTACATCGACCATAGACGATTAGTGCCTTATGAGGCTTGCTAAGTGGTGGACGTGTGTCAGCGCGAATTCAAGTGTACTCGATGTGTGGACAGTGAGAAGTGCTGGTTTGAAGTGATATTTGCGGATTTGCCGTCTCCAGGTGGTGGCAGCCAGCACCACCATGGGGTGTGCCCGCGGCTTCTGTGTGCCGCAGAGTGTTTTTATTTTCATCAACATCGCTTTTGCTGTAAGCTTCTTACTTACCCTTTTCATGAATGAAAACTACGTTAATATTTACTTTTCATGTCTCATTTCAGTAGAATATAATAATATACATATGTTTTGATAAATTTAATATTATAAGCTTAATATTAATTTGTTTCAATGACTTTATCGTGTATAGCGTACAGCGTGAGGGTTCTAAATCGAAAACGGAGTGTCTTTGTAGGTAAATAATAATAATAATTTAACAAGCCAATGCATTATATAATATCTGTCGGAGAAACGTTCGCGAAATAAAGCAAGTAAATATTTAATTTTCCACAACCTCAACGGTTGCTTCGCACTTGTTCAGCATGTTTTGTAGTGTTTTAGTTTCAAATATAAGAATGTAGGTATTGTTATGTACATTGAACCTGAATTAAAATTGGTTTAGTATTTTTGAGTCTCGTTTTTTTCTGTAAATAATTGGTCATGCTTAGGTTTGGAGAGGTGTAATTTCGTCAAATTATCTACATCAGCAAAAAATGTCGCAAAAACTGATTACCTTCAAGAATTTAGCGTCATTCGTGCAGTAAGTATTGAAATAGGCAGGTATTTTCGAAGGCTTTGTCATGTTAACAATCAAATAGACAATTGCGTGTTTAGCTATAATGAACCACAAAAACGCGCGTAAGAAAGAATTGAAGAATTAGTATTCTAATAACTCTGGTATAGAGTTAGGTTTCAGTAGACGAAACTTGAAGACTTGTTTGTAGGTATTATACAGTATTTTCTGATTCCAAGTATTGGTGACGAGACGTATTAAGAATTTCTTACTTTTAATGCGATGTTGACTTACACGTTAATAAGTTCACTTTTGTTATACCTAAATATATAGATTTGAGAATTAAGTGCTTTAAAGTTTTCTAACCGACCTATATATCTACCTACCACCACCATAGCCAATGGTTAAAAAGAAACCCTATAATGTTCTGTCTGTCTATCATCAGGCTTTGCCTCCAGAACCGCCACACATAGGTAGAAAAAAAAAATACAATTTATTTTTGGACTGTTAAAATAATAAATTCTAAAAACAAAATAATAATAAGGAGACCGGTAAACATTTGGAATTGTCGTGTTTAAATTTCAAAGTATAGAATATTTAATTAAAACTCTTTAACGGTTTAAACCACAGCCGTAGTCTCCCCGTGACCACGGCTGCTGCAAAGCATCCGAAACATCGGGCCGAAGTTAAAAATCATTTTCAAATAAGTTTAACTAATTTATCCCGTTTTAAACCATTAAAGTGTTTTATTTAAATGTGTACTACTCGCGTAAACTATAGACAGTGTTTAAGTATAGAATAATATAATCCATTTTAAATAATTTTCTCATACATTTTTTTTTTCGTTCTGTGTTGCTACCAATCAATGAAAGATAACAAGTGGGCAATGGTACGGAACCCTACGTGCGATATTACTACTCGCACTTGACCGGTTTTCTTTATTGATCTCTGTTGCGTTCTGCACTGAGTTCCCATCTACTTGTAACATTGAACTTGAACACCAACTTATTTGGTAACCAGGTTACGTAGACGGCCGCCAGTTTAAGCATTTTTTAATATATTCTCTATGTATATATTATATTTGATGGTTTCCCTAAAATATCCCGAGATTAAATCCATATTGAAAAGCCCGTTTTACGGCCCGTCCTTGGCCTCCTAAGTGATGTGTTAACAATTCAAAGCGAGCTATCCAAAGCTGCCCGAAGCTTGGCTTATTGCATACACAATTCTTTGTGCTTTCTCAGAACCAAGTCTCCTTTTCGAGACATACCTAATAGATATAGCACAGAATATTATCTGTTATTGTGCACATTCAAGTGAACGGTTTAAAATCTGAAATATATACGTAAAGTTTTAAATGGTATAAGCTATTTTCAGTAATTGGCATAGATAAAAAGATTTCAAGTCAAGGGTTTTTTTATTTAGGTACGACTCGAGGTAGTGGGTGCATTGCTAAAGAGTTATCATTACACGTTTCAAGCCGTTAAACGTGTGTTTTAAATGAAAAGTATAAGTAATATTATCAAAATGTATCCCTTGATGGAAATATGCCTTTAAACTTATACTCTACTAAATACGTATTTCACAAAACTTTAGTCGGAATCGCTCTGAGAATTTACTGCAATCCCGTCTCAATAGAGTAAAAAGCGGAAGGAAATAGATGCATTGATTTATGTTTAAGCGATATTTGAAATGGGTGAAAACTACATTTCTCCGGTAACCGGTTCAGCAAGCCAAGCTTAGGAGTTGTGAACTAGCTCATGAATGCAGTCGTCTTGGGCCCATCTTGCCCGCTTGCTAGTCACGTGGGCGTGTCAATACAACATACATTTAGCGGTTATTTGTTGTGGTTATTAATATCAAACCTGAGAAGAAATAGTTCATTGCATTAGTAGAACTATCTTTAACCCTTTTACGCCCAAGGGACATACTTTTACTTCACCAAAAATCATTATCGATTACTTAGTCAATTATTTTCGAATCAATATTATTTAAACGAATGTCAAAATAAAGGTACGAATTTATACAAATCTCTAAAATATTGTATTGTATTCGCAAACCTATTTAGTCTCAGCCATCTTGTGGTCCTGTAAGACTTAAATATTCTGATGTTTAGTCTCGCCTAAACGACACTCAATTAAAAATGTACTGTCTCCTGTTGCTTTAGTGGCAATATGTAATGGTAAAAATGGTCAGTACAACTGTAATGTTTTCTTTGAATTTTGAAACTTGATAATTTTTATTTGATCGGATAATGTTATATTTAGCTAATTATTTTTGCCGCTTGTGCCACCATATTCAAATAAGAGTTTCAGCTTGAAATTCACAAAGAGTACATCAAAATCTAAAAATTTTCCAAGCTCCGGAATAACTTTCCAGGTAGTGTAATTTTTAGCACCATATAAGGGGACTATAACTAGAAATTTGAGTTTGTTTGCTCAAGAATGTCACTAACAATTATCGTACGTTGATGTTGCAACTCGATGTGTAATACAAAACGCATGAAATGTGCAAACAAAGACTTCCATCGTTCATTATATTATCTACAAGCAATACAATTTAATTGTTTGCACTTCGTTTTTCCGCATATAAACAGATTTTTATTTAAATGGGATTACGATTTTCCTCGTATATGTATAAATATTTCCATAATTTTCTGATGGGTTTTAGTAAAATAGAAAAACACGATTATTATTATTCGAATCAATGCTCCGTCCGAAAAAATGAGACGTCTCATACAGATAACGTTTTTAGGGTTAGTTAAATTGACTATATTACCGACCCCCAGGAAACGGTATTCTCCTGCGGGTAATCTTAGAAAAAAAATTACATGGAATAATTTAATAGCGTGTAAGCTCATGTGTATGCTTATAGGTTCATATTTAGCATTGAAATAATATATTACTCACATACGGCCATTCCACGCGTCGAAAACTTAGGGCAGGATAGTCAGTCATTTCAGTCAGTCAGATTGTTAAAGATTTCAACATTTTTGGTTTGTTAGCTAAATAATAATACTCTATTGTGTACTAAATTATGTTCAATTCTTAATATTCTCGTAAAAGGTTACAAGTTCACTTGCTTTGCATTGTATACAAATTAATTCTTATTTACGACTTTAAAAAGAGAACACGCATAGTTTTTAAATAACAAAATTGTAAACGCTTCAAAACCAGATAATAATAATCACCAAATAATAAATTTTAGCCAATACTTAATTAAAAAACATTTATTTCAAGAATTTTCACTTAAAAATCGATTACATTGAAAAAATGTTACGACACGGGCAGGACTTGAACCGACTTCCACGGCGTTCCGTGCTGTTACTCTTAACCCATCGTACCCAATCTAACGTCTCCTACACGTCCTTTTCGATTTTTTTATATAATGCTAACATATAAAAGTTGTCTAATATACATCACTTGTTAGTTACTTAAGAATTTATTTTACTTTAATTACCATGTATGAAAGTAGGATCTTCGTTACGACATAGTCGTGAAGCATTGTGGCTCATAATTTTAAGGAGACGTATGTGCGGTCATCGACTTCATTATGAACAAAATGATCGTGAAACAGGCAATCCGCCAGAGTCCAGAGTATACCATATTCTGTTACGTACCTAGTTCCGAACAAATTCTTCGAGTCAGACATACCTGAACACAATTATGATAAGAATGGACATAACAGCTTCCTTATTATGTTTCAATACACACGTGTTCAATATGAATAACATTTCTTATAAATCATGCGTTTTATAGGTACCTATATTATCTATCAATAATGATTCTTAGTAATGAGTATAGATAATCAATAACCGCAGAGAAACGAACCGGTTTAAAAGCGAGTTTCATAAGTTTTTATTTTTATCACGTCACGAATTTACACTCAAGACTCGTACGAACTTAAACAAACAGATAAACTTAAACTTATAGAATAGGCGTTATATACTTGGAAAGGTACAGACAAGCGATTTTAGATTTATTACATGCCCTAATGCATCTTAGAAATACTATACAAAGCGTATTAAACCACAAAATTGTTATATTACTTATTAAATTAATATAAAAGTAATTTAATAAGTAATATTTTACCCCTGTGGGGCATGATGCAAACGAGTTCCTCAGTCCGTTTTACTATTTGATTTACTGACAAGTTGTTATTTAGATTGTTGTGCCTTCCACGACCGAAATAATGCATTGTTTCTCAAGAATACAAACCCAGGACCTCTCGCAACGTAAAGCAACGCGTTTAACGATTAAGCTATGAGGGAAATCGATTCTTACAGGTAAATAATTACTTTAAAATTAAGAATACCTATATTATAAAATGATGGTTGCAAGAACCATTTTATTATGTAGTCTGTACATAAATCAATTTATTCGGAAAATATGCCGTCTTCGGGTCTTCTTATCAAGACATACTTGACCTTTTTGATTACGACTAATTTGAAAGTGAGGCTGGAATAAGACAGAGCCGCTCTTGATGTAAACAAGGCGTGCTGAGTCGATGCGATAAGCGAATCGGCAATATAGGTGCACTAATGTTTAACACAATTAGAGTTGTTTGAGGCTTTGAGCTTCTGTATATCTTCGACTCCGGTCCGTTGCCAGGAGCTATGATCTTTCAAGGGCAATATTTTAAAAAAGAGCATAGGACACTTTGGCTTTGACACCTGTAAATTCACAGATTGACACCGAAATGCGACTACGGCTTTTTCATCTGTTGACTGTGGTTTGGTAGAATTTTAATATTCCACCCACTTAACGCCTGTATTTTACAGACGAAGTATATTTATATGTTTCGGAAAAATTATAAATTACTTTTTACCCGGTGGACATCGAATCCGCGACGCATTGGTTATTAGCCATACATCGTTGCCATTGGTACAATTTAATCGCTGTAGAATAAATAAACTTTGTTGCACTGATGTGACTGATCGTCAATAAGCTGACTCTAGATCCTGCTTCTGTGACCCGCGGACTACGTGCCGTGGACTTTGTGGTTTCAAACGGGTTTACATCATGAATGAGCTGCATTTAAGCGAAACAGTTCAGCGCTGAGTCACATTTTCACGAGCGATTAGCCACAAGTATCGTCTGTTTGCGCTTCGCCAGTGAGGTCATCCAACTGATAACACGACGTTTATCACTTTGCATTATTATAAATATATTCGCGTTCATCCGTATTAGATGGTCAAGAATGGAACGGTAAAATCCAGTGATGAACTTTTATCATCATTTTTGATGATTTAATCCAATAGTTACTAAAATGCAATAAAATATAAATGTTAGGTAAAGCCAATGGGAAAAGGTCCTTTATATTTTATCAGTTGTGGCTTAGTGTGTATTTATGTCAAGGACTTCCCCGTATTAACCAAATTTGATATGCTTTATATGTGTATTGGCGATTTAATATGGTTTTTCGACGTTAAATATATAAGTACTGAGAACTATGTATTTAAAACCGAAAAAAAACATGACTTTGTTGTGGATCTTTTTTTTTCAAAATTCCGACTCGCACTTGGCCGGTTTCCTGTTACACCTAAAGACGTTACAATTTTAATACACTTCTTTTTTATTAAAATATTATATTTTACCTTGTAAAATAGTTATAATGGAAAAATATAACATTTCATACTTTTGGCCTGTAATATTTTTTATTTTCGGAAAGTGAATCAAAGAGGATTTTTGAATGTATTTAACGTCGCTGCGAAATTTTACCATTGCGTGGCTTAATTTTATTTAAGTAATGACATTTTTTTTAGCTATAAATTTCAAGTAATAATTTAACTTAAGTAAAGGGATCGAAAAATCAGTTGAATCTAAACGAACTGTAAATTCTGTGTTAGAAATATTCAATGTAAGTTTGTTTGTTTCCAGATGTACAGCGGCGCCTTGCTATCGACAGCAGCACGACTGGCGTGGGATCCCAGCACGTACACGTGGTTTCGCTTTCTGTGCGTCGCGCAGTACCATGCGTCGCTGGCCTATGTGCTAGCGGCCGGCCTTTGGCTCGCCGCGTTGGTGTACCTTGCAGCAGCTATCGCCCATCGACCCAATGTTGCTGCTTTGCATACTGTAAGCATTTCTCTTATTTCGGCTTGCAATTATAAGGTGTACAAATATATCATTCTGTAGCTGTCAAAGAATAAAATTAGTACTATCTATAATATTCTATTGAATTGAAAATCGATTATAAAATGAAAAAAATCGACTCGAGCAGGGCTTGAACCGACATCCCGAGCGTGCCGTGCTGTTGCTCTTTTTTATTCGATTTTAATTTATATAGTACCATCATGTGCAATAACACGTGAAAAATATTAAAGTTTTCCAATATTATTCTAAGTTGTCTCTTAGGTAGTTTAATAAAAAAATGTCGGTGAGTATAAACCTATAGGCGGTGTGTTTACCGGTTCTTAACTGCGATTTGTATTTTATAAATATAATACATCAAAGCCTTTAGGAATGTCCCCTATATGTAGCTATATCCCTTCTACACAACCTACCCTCAATGTTGCGCTATGGTAATGCTATTGTTATAAATATTAGTGCAATTATTCATAGTGATAATTCCTAAGTGTGCCACTTAGGAATTATCGAACATTGATCTCCTTTCTCCTCTATCTAGTACGAACGAGTGAGTCAAACACGTGAAGAATTGTTGATTAGGAGATATCCTGAACTTTCTCAATGATCGAGACGTGTAGGTAGTAATTTTGATACAAAATTGACAGCTCCAACGAGGTTTGAGTTCGAGTTTTCTAGTCTAATATTATTTACTAGCCGTGCCTGCGTCTTCGTCTGCGAAGAATATAAATAATTTTCCTCGTTTTTTCACATTTCCCGCTGTCTCATTGCTTCTATTAATTGCATAATTTAAAGCCTTTCTTGACAAATAAATTTGGACCAGTGTTCAGAGTTAACGCTTTTAAACAAACAAATTGTTCGGCTTTATATAATAGTATAAATATATATATTTTTCTTTTCATGTCTTCATTTAAATAATTGTTTCATTGTGTTGCAGTATGCTGCAGGAATGTTAGCGCTGGCACTCAGTGAGGTGGTGTATGGTGTGTGGATGGTAGTCTCGCTGATGGAGTGGTGGAAGTCAGCTCCGGAAGCTGAACTTGCCCGAAAGGGTCTCGACCTTATCCACGACGTTAAGCCTGCGCTGCTGGCTGTAGAGAGATATAAGGATGTCACGATGCCCATTTACGAGATGATGGAGGTAATTATGAACTACCTTTATTTTTATTTTTACAAACATATAACAATACATAAAAGGCTAGAACAAAAACTAATGCGACTTTTTCTTAAGTCCTCGTCTCGTAGTACATTACATAAATCTATACTAATACAATTATATACTTAGTAATACAGATTATTAAATACTTAGAACAGCTTTAGGCCACGAGCTTTAAACTAAATTATACAGGAATACGTAAGTTTAATATGTAATAAACAAGTCACAAAATAAATGGGAATATATTTGGAGGGAGTAGACTCTTTTTATTTGTTTTTTTTTATTCTAGGAAAGAACATAATAACAAAAATCGTTAGAATTAGTATTTCATACATACTTTGCATAATTTCTAGTCTAACTAGCTTTAAGGGCTTTTAAAAACATTAGAAAAAGTAAAACGGATGTCAAATAAGATGAGATGCTTTTATCTACATACCAAACGAGTACCGCGGTTAAAACGAAGAGTTTATTTTAATTAAATTCTTTACGACGTTCGACCACGGCATTATAGTAGACGTGTGCCCCGTGATTTTGTTTTTATGATAGAGGAGGATAGACAAGGTTCACTTGGTGGTAGGTAATATGCCCCAGCACAGGTTGACAGCACATCTAAACAATATGATGGGCTGTCGGCCTATTTTGGTTTAGGATTCAAAAATCTACGGACTGAAACCGAAACGCAATTAAGCTTCACGGCTTGTCATCGAGTGATGGTGGTTCGTAAACGCGATGTTCCACTTAAATTTCTAGACGAGATCCAACTTGTTTTAGAAGAATTATAAATTGAATGACGTTGGCAGTAAGATTTCACAGAAACATAGAATCATTCGTGAATGATCACAAGATCAATCCTGTCTCTCAAGTCACCAATGCAGAGCTCGTCTTTGTATTCCAATCAGGGTCTATTGATCCGCTGAACTGTGCAATTGGGGCTGGAGCGTTGACCCGTTGGTTGCGTATTGCACCATGCGCGCGGTTAGTCCGGCACACCCAATGTTTGGTGTAGACGAATGACTTGGTAACGTTTGAAGCTACATTTAATTACCCCTCTTTTGTGTCTGATCCCGGTAGGCAAGTATCAAGTATCTGTACATAATTTTAACTTGCACCTTTGGTGAAGTTGGTGAAGGTGGATGGTGATATACTTCATGTTTTAAATCGTCAAAAGTAGGATATTTAACGTGTGCTTGTTCTGTAAACTACAGACTTGCTTACTTTTGTGTTCTTCTGTTGCAGGAGGTAGAACAGCGAGCGCCAAATAACATATTTGTTGTCATCGTGTTCGCTCTTCTCGCTATTGTACTCCAGGTTCGTCTTAAAATATATTAGTTATTTTTTTTTTAACTACGGCCCTACGTTTCGGTGGTCACGGGGCGCAAAGGTGGAGTGTGCGTCTAATGTCAAATTAAAAACTGCTACGCTACGTTAGGTAGTTAAAATAATTTGCAAATAACTAATATATTTCGGTCTTCAAACCGTTTAAGTGTTTTATTTCAATAAGTACTACTACGCGTAAGTATTTAATGATCCAGTTACAAAACCCAATTAAAAATTTATTAACTGGTATTTTTTATAATCATCTTCATGGCAATATTTTTAATGTTGAATTTTGTTAATTTGTAGTAAGCAAATAATCGAAAACTCGAAATTCCCCTTTCAATCTGGTAATCTAAACATCGGCAGATAGTAGCCGTGGTGGTGGCACGACGGCTGGCGAGCGGCGTCAGGACTACAGCTGTCGAAGCAAGAACGGGAAAGGGCGAGGGTAACAGTAGTGCGAGTGAAGAGGACAGCGACAGTGAGGCGCTTGAAAAAACTGCGCCCGCCCAAACCCCACCGCCCGGCTGGCACAAGTCTGCTAACCTTCGCATGTATACCATACTTGACAAGATTTTCTAGCAGGTAAGAAACGTAGTCCCTTCGTAATGTATACACCCCCCCGGGCGAAAAAACGGGCCCGCCGGCGAAATACGGGGGAGGGAAAAAACCACCGGGGGGGAAAAACCGGGGGCCGCCCCCCCCGCCCCCCCCCCCCCCCCCCCCCCCCCCCCGTCCTTGGTGGGTCGGCCTCCCCGGGGCCCCCCCCCCCCCCGCCCCGGGCCCGGCGGGGGGGGGGGGCCGGGCGGGCCGGGGGGGGGGGGGGGCGGGGGGGCGGGGGGGGCCCCCCCGGCGGCGCCCCCCCGCCGGCGCCGCCCGCCGTCTCGCCCCCCCCCCCCCCCCCCCCCCCCCCCCCCCCCCCCCCCCACCTTACCCCACCCCCGGGGCGGGATTTTTTTTTCCCTTTCCCGGGGGCCCCCCCCCCTCCCCCCCGCCCCCCCCCCTCCTCCCTTCGCCGTTCGCCCTTCTCCCTTTCTTTTCGGTGTCGCCCGGGGGGGGGGCCGGGGGGGGGGGGGGGGGGGGCGCCGCCCCGGGGGGGGGGGGGGCGCCCCCCCCGGGGGGGGGGGGGGAAAAATAAAACACGGGGGGGGGGGGGGGGGGGGGGGGGGGGGGGGGGGGGGGGGGGGGGGGGGCGCGGGCGGGGGGCCGGCCGCCGGCCCCCCCGGGGGGGGGGGGGGGGGGGGGGGGGGGGGGGGGGGGGGGGGGTGTGTGGGTGGGGGGGCTTGGGGGGCCGGGCCCCCCCCCCCCCCGGGGGCCCCTCCTCTGGGGGGGGGGGGGGGGGGGGGGGGGGGGGGGGGGGGGGGGGGGGGGGGGCGGCGGGGGGGGGGGGGGGGGGGGGGGGGGGGGTTTTGTTGGGGGGTGGTTTTGGGGGGCGGGGGGGGCCGCGGGGGCGGGGGGGGGGGGGCCCGGGGGGGGGGGGGGGGGGGGGGGGGGGGGGCGGCTGGGGGGGGGATGGTGGGGCGGGCGCCGTTTTTTTGGGGGGGGGGGGGGGGGGGGGGGGGGCCGCCCCCCCCCCCCCCCCCCCCCCCCCCCCCCCCCCCCGGGGCCCCCCCCGGGCGGGGGTTTTTTTTTTCCGCGGGGGTTTTGGGGGGGGGGGGGGGGGGGTTTTGTTTGGGGGGGGGGGGGGGGGGGGGGGGGGGGGGGGGGGGGGGGGGGGGGGGGGGGGGGGGGGGGGTGGGGGGGGGGGGGGGGGGGGGGGGGGGGGGGGGGGGGGGGGGGGGGGGGGGGGGGGGGGGGGGGGGGGGGGGGGGGGGGGGGGCCCCCCCCGCCCCCCCCCGGCTTCCGGCCCCGGTTTTTTTTTTTTTTTTTGGCGGGGGGGTTTTTTTTTGCGGGGGGGGGGCGGGGGGGTTGGGGGGGGGCTTTTGTGGGGGGGGAAAAGGTTGCATTTTCCCGGGGGGGGTGGGGGATGGGGGGGGGGATGGTGTGGGGGGGAAACAAAAAACCGACCCCGTTTCCCGCCCCGCGCCCGGTTTTTTTTTGGGGGGGGGGGGGGGGGGGGGGGGGGGGGGGGGGGGTTTGGGGGGAATTTTAAATAAATCCCAAAAAAATAAAAAAAGGGGGTTTTTTTAGCCCCCCCGGGGGGGCAGCCCCCCACCCGGAGGGGAAAAAAAAGAGGAAGGGGGGGGGGGGGGGGGGGGGGGGGGGGGGGGGGGGGGGGGGGGGGGGGGGGGGGGGGGGGGCGCGCCCCCCCCCGCCCGGGGGGGGGGGGGGGCGGGGGGGGGGGGGGGGGGCGCCCCGGGGGGGGGGGGGGGGGGGGGGGGGGGGGGGCCCCCGCGCGGGGCGGGGGGGGGGGCGCGCGCCCCCCCCCCCCCCGCTTTTTGGGGCCGCCCCGGGGGGGGGGGGGGGGGGGGGGGGGGGGGGGGGGGGGGGGGGGGGCCCGGTGCTTTTTTTTTTTGCTGTCGGCGGGGGGGCCGGGCCGCCCCCCCCCCCCCCCCCCCCCCCCCCCCCCCCCCCCTTTTTTCTCCCCCCCCCCCCCGCCCCCCCCCCCCCCGGGGGGGGGGGGGGGGGGGCGGGCCGGGGGGGCGGGCCCCGGGGGGGGGGGGGGGGGGGGGGGGGGGGGGGGCGGCGGGGGGGGGGGGGGGGGCGGCCCGGGGGGGGCCCGTCGCCGGCCGCTGCCCGCTCCTTCCGCTCCTTTTGTTTGGTGGGGGGGGGGGGGGGGGGGTTTTGGGGGGGGTGGTCGGGGGGCCGGGGTTGGGCCCCCCCCCGCGGGGGGGGGGGGGGGGGGGGGGGGGGGGGGGGGGGGGGGGCCGGGGGGGCCTTTGGGCCCACAACAGTCCAGGATTCAAATCTCGGAGTAACACAATGACTATATTTGAGAAAGTTATATAAATTACGGATAGGTAATTTATTATATCTGAATCAATCAGAATATATATTTTTCAAACTTTTAAAATGCCCTAAAATTATGTTTTTAAAATGGCCGGAAACTTTGTATTACTGTGACCTAATGACGCCACGGCTTCTTGAGATCGAAAAAACTGATAGAGTTAAAATTTAGAGGTAAAAAAATATCTATACGTTCTTCGGATGACCTATTTGTGAGTACCTGACGTTATGTATGCTCCTCGTCCAGTAACATTTATTTTTAAATGTCAATAAAACTAGATATAAATAATTTTCCTTAAATGTTTTAAGGAAAATAATTGCGTTATGTTATATTTCCATAGCAGAAACTACCAATTTGCATTCAAATTATATGTATTTTTGATTACCGTCACATCTCTAGTGTTTTGGCTAGATAGGGCAGACAATTTTACACTGACTAACCAGCACAAGCATTAATCAGGACATTTCACATATGAAGCGATATGTATGACTGGGATAGAAGTCTTAAATGACATAACGGAACAAAACTAATGTCTATTTGTTCATTCTCAGGAAGAGGATGAGTCGACCACTTGTAAAAGTGGGACTCGTCCTAAAGGGGAGTCGCGTGTGGAGGCCGGTGGTAACCCAGGGTCGAGGCAGCGCTGGCGTCGCGGCCGCGGCCGAGGGCACATTCGAGCTGGTAACGTCCGAGGGGCTGTGCCATTGGCTGGTGGAACGCGAGACGCGCGCTGGGACGCTGTGCACGCACAGTTTACCGCGACGCGAGCACGACCGTCTGCGCCTGCAGCCTTACTCATCCTCCACACTGACCTATAGAGGCTAACTCTCCATTATAAGACCTACTGTCGCATATGAAGGATCTGATGTTTGTTTCTACGACTAAGCTGATCTAATATCTTCGCCGAATTAGATATTATATTTGAGCTTAGGGAATCATACAATCGATAATCTAGCTACTTTTTTCTACACTTTATTCATAAGTGACTAGATAATTACACTAACGACATGCCACTTTAAAATTATTACGATCATATTACAATTGAATATCGCTCATGGAAGTTCTTGCCATTTGTCTAAATAAGATTACACCGTAACCGTTTACAATTAGTGTTGTCGCATCGTTAAAACTTTATTACTATTAATTGAATATAATCGTCGGATTATAAGATACAATCTTATCGCCTAACGGCTCTAACCCAGTGATCTTACATACATATAACATTCCTAATCCTAAGATAATCGTAAACTATGAACAGACTGTAAACAACGATTTAATAATTGTATTCCTATTATTGTTCTATGAAACCTTTAGTGAGTACGGACACTGCCATTGACAAAGTTACTTTTTCCTAATGATCGTTGTAGTTCTTTTGTAAAACTAGTTAACCGTACTGATTTTTATGTAGTAAACCGACTGTTTTTTTTCCTAACAACGAGGAGTATTTATCATTCCATTTATTGTAAAGTTGGGTACAGACTGGACGCTCGCGGTGTAATATGTTATAGAACAAACAGTGTCCTTCATTTGAAAACTTTATTATTTCTTACGTCATGTTATTGCCCATGAAGGCACTATATAATTTAAATATCGATTTCTAAATTATTTGGTGTCCTTCATTTTGAGCGTTCAACCTGGCTGGTGGATTTTTGGCAAATTCCTTGAGTGTTACGTAAAAAGTATTTATTTTGTGAGTACGCTACTAACTCGTCACGAGCGAACGCAATATATTAACTACTTATATCGCTCGCCACGATCATGTTACACCGAAATTGTGGCACAGGGAGAAAACTCGATGCGAGCATGCTCGATTACAGCAGTACATGGCTTACTATTTTTAAATTTTAATAATCGATAACAATGTTTACGAGCTGTGAAAAGTAAATGTAACTAATGTGTTTGAAAATGTAAATATTATCCGAATCCGCTTCCGAATATTTTTCAATCAATTTGTATTCAATAAAAAAGTTTTATGTAAGATTTGCCAACGGAAGACGTCGTGTAGATTGCCATATTAATAATATTTTAGGACAGGTGATATCTATCTAGCTCTAATAAGATTCATATCAACGTTACAACTTTTGTATTGTTGTTTTGTATATGTTATTACTCATAGCGTATAAGTTCTTTCGTAGACGATAGGTGCTATACTGCATTTGCATTTTTAGGAACTTACTATTTGTGATACATACTGTGTGAAGAGTACAAATGTAGAATGGTCAAATGCACAACATTATCATGTCTGCCATTTATTAATGTTTGTTCCCATTGTTATTTAGAGTAAAACGAGTATTATCGGTACGTAATTATTGTTATTATATAATAACTAACAGATGTTTATAAGTATGAGCTTAGTATTCTTTAAGAAACATTTGTTCTGTCAACTAGAGAATCGAATTTTCAAGTTTTCTTTCTATAGTGATCTGATTTTGTATCAAAAATTAAGCATCCTTTATCCACTTGTGGGTTGTTTAAAAAAATATACGTAGAAAAATGTGAAGTTCTCCAATATACGAAATACTTGTGATGAGATTACTCTATTAAAATAGGAGATTGTGTATTTCCAAAGGCGGTTGTAGACATGAGGTGCCAAATAGCTTTAAGATTACGAACGTTTGCATTTAATATAGGTCACTTTCTCTGTATGCTATCAGAGAGCATATAATAGTATTAAATAAGTCTTTTGGTTCTAATATTTACAAGTTCTAACAAAAACGGTTCATGTAACTAGACAATAAGTAGGTAGCATAAAATATATAATAAACTTTTGAAAACAATAAATATTTTTATACTGTTTCAAATGTGTTCTTTATTTTAATTAACAACTAAGTTTTACTTACAAATATACAATACACATAGTGACCAGTACTATTACAACTATAACGAAGCCATTGTAGTATGTGCAAGTTCACCTCCATTCGGTCTTTACGTTCGAGTCATAACCGCATTCTGAGAAATTTAGAGATAATAAATGTATGTAAGTTATACTTTTTACTCACGTTGATTTATGTACGTATTCTTTTTGAAATCGAAAGTCAATCCAATGAAAAAGCAACAAGTAAATGATTTTATAAAATATACTTCTAAAGGAATCCTTCATAATGAAAGATAATTCTATAATATTAGAATGATACATTTGGTTAGTATGTAGGTTCATCTATATCATCATCATATAAAATACTAAATCTATTATTTATTATTAATTATATGGTTTTAATATCTAACGAATTAGTTGTACTTGTCATGCGTCTTCAATTAGAGGTTCGACCAACATCAGTTTGCCATTTTTGTAGACAGCTCGCGCGCGTCCACCAGAACTTAAATCTCGTTTCCGCGAACTGTAAAAAAATATATAGTTCTTTGTGTACCGGGGCGTCCGTAACACAATGAGTGGAGGTTCTTACCTTAAAACATTGAACTTTATGTAGATATTTTATCTTTAAAAAGTTTAATGAAGTACCAAAGCCATGAGATGTCTACTTAAGATGGACGGAAATCTTGACCAATCCGTCGATTATAATCCATCCAAACCATAAATTACGATTAAAGGAGTCCGTCAAAATAGATTATTGAAAAGACACTGTCTGCCGCATTCCCTGTTTGTCTTCATCTGACTGTTTAAGAACTCGAAAATAAATTGAAAAAATTTTCGACTCGGGCAGGACTTGAACCGGCATCGTCAGCTTTCCGTGCTGTTGCTCTACCAATTGAGCTACCGAGTCCTACACCTCATCGTCGAATTTTTTCAACTTATTGATACATGCACCTCTCGCGCAATGTAATTTCTACCTTAACACTTGCGTATTAAGGCTCAATGTCTTATGCTTTGCAGCTTAAGAAAACATTGAAGATGAAATTACAAAGTTATAACGTTTGAAAACATTAATATTTTTCACATGTTATTGCACATGAAGGCACTATATAATTTAAAAATCGAAAATAAATTGAAAAAAATTTTTTTTTTTTTTTTTAATACGCAAGTGTTAAGGTAGAAATTACATTGCGCGAGAGGTGCATGTATCAATAAGTTGAAAAAATTCGACGATGAGGTGTAGGACTCGGTAGCTCAATTGGTAGAGCAACAGCACGGAAAGCTGACGATGCCGGTTCAAGTCCTGCCCGAGTCGAAAATTTTTTCAATTTATTTTCGATTTTTAAATTATATAGTGCCTTCATGTGCAATAACATGTGAAAAAATATTATTTTCAAACGTTATAACTTTGTAATTTCACTTCAATATTTCTTAAGCTGCAAAGCATAAGACATTGAGCCTTAATACGCAAGTGTTAAGGTAGAAATTACATTGCGCGAGAGGTGCATGTATCAATAAGTTGAAAAATTCGACGATGAGGTGTAGGACTCGGTAGCTCAATTGGTAGAGCAACAGCACGGAAAGCTGACTGCCGGTTCAGTCCTCCCGAGTCGAAAATTTTTTCAATTTATTTTCGATTTTTAAATTATATAGTGCCTTCATGTGCAATAACATGTGAAAAAATATTAATGTTTTCAAATGTTTAAGAACTTCCAATAGGATATAGCTAAAAGTAACATGAATACATAAACATTTAAATATTTTACCTCAGCGGTGTAATCGCAGTGGCGGTCGAGAGATTCATATAGGACCGCTTTGCGCGCGAGGGTGCTATCGGTGTTCGTACTGCACTCAGCACCGCAAGAAGGACAGCGAAGAGTTGCAGAGAGATCACCACACTGCTCGCCCCGATCAAGGCATGGAGATTATGAGGCAGGTCTTCACGTGCTTCCTTTAAGATATCAGCGAGGCGCTGCGGGAGAGGATGCCAGTGTGCAAGTTGTTGCAGCAGGGGCTGTAATTGGTCAGCTAGGGCGGCTGCATTGCGTATTTCAAGCGCGTGGTCTGTCCTGGCCCATTCTCGACCACGCACATATGCCCATAAGGCGCCAGCGGTTTGTGCTGCACATATGCACATCACCACACAAGCGTACTGTAAACGAATAAATAACCTGTATTAGTGAAATTCAATTTCCTCTGTGAGGCATGTTGGCACTCATTTTACTAATTGATTTTATCATCAGCCAGACACGTAGTTGATCACACTGTGCCTTAAGCTACCGAACCATTTATCACATTCTCGGAAACTTGAACTCAAAAACTCTTATTCTTTGCGCAATGCTGGGCAAACCGTTAGTCTGATGTGGTGAGCTACAGAAGCGGGAAAATAGCCAAGCAAATATTAATAAAAAAATGTATGGACATTATATCTAAATTCAATAAGAGATAATTTGTTTCTTAGCTCCTTCATCATAAATATTTATATTTTTTGAAATTGAAATTATAAATTAATGTGCTTTCCTAGGCCACTGTAGTAATTAACTGTAGTATATTTTTTTAGCCGTTACTATTTAATAATCTTTTTTATGAACATTACAGAAATCGAAATTAAAGTAAGCATTGATAAATTTCACTATTGGCTATTCGCACTATTGATTTTATCATAATAGATGCATTTTTATTCCTCGCTTAAAGATAAGTTTTGCTTACGTAAAGACAGAAGAATTGATTAATTCTGATAATTTTGATTGATCATTTTAGATCCAGTTTCATGAAATTATATTAACACTGATCAAGAAATTTGCCTGATGTCAAATTTGAACAATAAAATGTTCGACGACGTTCCGTTTAATTGTCGGTCGAATTGAATCCACATTATATTTGAGTGCAGTTAGGTTATACAGTGAAGCGTGTTTTAATTTCATAATCTAGATTTAATCAGGTGACCTAGGCATACTAACCGCATAAAGAAGCGCTCGCCGTAAAGTAAGGTGTCGCGTGCGCAACGCAATCAACGTGGTGTGAGCAGCGATTATGGTCGTAAACGCCAAAACTGGTAGAAGAACGGCCGCCGCACGGTATTCATTGGGGAAAAGTTCTCGCGCGGGAGCATACAAGGTGGGGTCCCATCGTGCTCGTGCTGCCATGACAAGCGCACCACCAGCAAAGACCTAAAGTGTACCATTACCTCAATACTATTTCGATATTATTCGTTATTACAACGAGAAATAATGAATGCGTTTAAAATCATCATACTGAGTTAGCTTAAGCTAAGTCGCATTTTCGCTTCATAAATTTATGAATTTTAATTTGGAATAAAAGGTGGTAATATTGTGATAGGTCATAAAGTTAAAGCAATATTTGAAAAGTATTTTAAAAAGATTATTGTCTGTTGGTTGCCAGAAATTGACAAAACTTTTTGTCTACTTATTTACCACGTGTGATTTCAAGAAGACTTGAAAGAATGTTAAAATATGTTTTACGTTTTTGTATGGTTCATATTAATACTTCAAATTCATTTCGCTATTCAGTGCCAAATAACATACCACTAGCAGCAGGTTGACATGCAGCAGCAAAGTAGGGGCCAGGAAAGTACAGCACGCCATTCCGTCATGACACACTGTGGTTCCCGGAGTCCATAAAACGCTATTATTTGTTGATATTTTCGCTAACTTGTCACAGCACACTCGCTTCACAGTTTTCTCATTTCGTATCAATATCTTATCACTTATCGCGCTGGTATCTGTAGCTTCGTCCCCTTCGTCGCAGCAAAATAAACATTTCGGCGTATTCCGGACTGGTATCGCATATATTCAGAACTTGTCTGACTACTGAAAGGTTATAAATCTGGAAATGAATGAATGCAGGAGCTGATATTGAAAAGGTAATTTCATTATATCTGTAATGGTATTAACTAAGCGCACTTATGAGCGGAAATTCAAAATAAGACAGTATTTATTTGTAGTATGCGACAGTATAGTAGTTTACGCGAGTAGTTCACATTTAAATAAAACAGTTGATCGGTTTAAACGCTAAATATGTTTGTTAAATTTATTTGTAAGTTATTTTAACTACGGTTCGACCGACTTTTCGGATGTTTTGCAACAGTCGTGGCCACGGGGAGTCTTCCCGTGAAACTATTACAGTGTTTTATTTAAATTATTTTAAGTTATATTCGTATATTCACTAACATTGCTCAAATGAAGGATGACGAAGAACAAGGAACTGACCTCGCCGCCCTTTTTGATCTACTTTATTATTAATAAACTATAAAAAAACAAAAGATTTCAATACTTCAACATTTATTTGAAATTGAGAATTAGGTCTGCAGCAGACAGCAGCGCTGCTTCTAGCGGATTGTCTACTAAAAGCAGCGCGTCCCACCCTCGCTGCGGGGTTGCCCGAGAGCGTCGCGCACGCCGCCGCTGCAGCCTGGTGCAAAAATATATAACTGTGCCGCTTACATTGTCCAAGGAGTCACTTACAACAAATGTATATGATACATAATATATATATATATATCTACTCCACTTCAAAAGCTGTATAATATGAGTCAAAGCGTCGTAGGCCGTCGTCGGCGAGATCACACTATGATATGACATTGTTTTTAATAACATTCAAATAGCCTTCACATCAATACACTGAACGACTTCTAATATTGACAATAATTTTAACTACTAGATTCTAATACTGCCTGTGCAGTTCAGTTGTTAAACGCGCGAGAAGTGATGAGTTCGAATTCCGGCGAACGATAAATTCTTTCGGCTCGGCAAGTCTAATCCGTTTCTTGCCTGTAAATAAAATCGATCTTATGTTGTATTCAATTGCATTGCCTAGTTCACAGATATGAACCTTTTGACAGAAAGCTTGTACTATAGCTGTGCAGATCTAATATTACACAATAATATGACAACATCAATACGTTAATACATTTTTAATTCAATATATTTATTGGTTTGTTAATCGTTACTGTGCGCGCTATAAAGCTGGCGACAGCTTCATAAATAAATATTTCGCTTTAATAATTTTGATGGGTTAATATATAATAACAAACAACAGTTATTAAGAGGTTTTGTACTAATGACAACGAGTGTTTCGTAGAATTATCATTATGCATAACTTAAATAATATCCGACACTAGCTAAACATGAATCAATCCTACTACATTTTAAAGAATTGCCTAAATTGTTTTAAATAGGATTGCCATCTACTAAATTTAATATATTTTCTAAACTCAGCAAATAAATATACATTTTGAAATACATTACTTATGTTATTTAGGAGATGTTTGTACACTTCATTTTTCACATTATAAATAAACTATCTACTCACGTAAAAATATATTATATAGACGCTACTTTGGAGTAAATACATTTTTATTTTTTCGTACGTAACAATAATTATACATATTTCTTCACAAGAGGCTCTCGAATATTTTTAGGTATAAATAAAGTTGGGCGCTATTATAAAAAGGTACATAGAAAGTCTACGCACTACGCAAAATACTGATTTACAGATTATAGTTATACTTACTTCAACAACATTCAACAATAACTTAATTGCCTAATATATAATTGTATTTTACCTAAAGTGAGATCATTTATGTTTCTATATAAGAAAAACCACAATTCCCGTACTCTATGTTCATAGAAGATTCCTTCCATATATATCTATACAAAATTATTCTAATACTTTAAATTCATATTAAGCACGTCAGAATATCTCAGCTGCAATTGTAATAAAGTACTTAAATATATTAACTACTAGTTATTCCATGTTTTCTTTGTAATAAATATGTCATTTCATTTTAAATAAGGGAGACAAAACATTGGACTTTTAGTTCTCACTCCGAAGTTAATATGTATTTCTAGATATATATATCGCGAGTGTAGGCTTTTGGGGATCAAGAATTTTATATTAATAAAACTTATAAAGCTTTTACAAAATAATTTTTACAGTAACTACTGATTCTTGAAATATATATTTTCCAGGATTGGTAATAAATAAAGAAGGTTAGGACGGTAAGTATTCGCTATCAGATCTACGAAATTGTTTTTTAAATAATTTTCACTCCAGCTAAATATAAAGTAGCACGGAAATGTAACTGTTACTATGTGAATATAACGAATAATATTTGAACAAACACTGCGACATTTATCGATAATATTGTCCACTAGTGGGTTGTGGTTGTCGTTGCTGTAATTGGTCTGTAGCGAAGGGATTCGTGGGTTGAGCTGTCGGGGCAGCGCCGGGCACACTAAGACTTTCAGCACCGCTGTAGTTCTGAAAAAAAAACCGAACGCATGAAAATATATTTAAAAATAGACTTATACGAAATAAAAACAACTTGGTATTATTTCAAACATCAGGTAATGAAATAACTAAAGGTAAAAAAAGGACACGATTTAGTTAAATAATTAATAAGGGTTGAAAAATTTGACTTGTCTTAATAACGGCAATCGTTCGTCTGTGGCGCAAAGATTACTCTTTCGACATCGTCTCGCTGTCTCCATTTGTGAAGGAAAATAGGATTATATGCACTCAAAATAACTTGAAATTTGACTAAGTTTGAAAGGAAAGTAACGTAGCAAAGTTGCGGCTCATTAACCAGAATGTGGGTGATAGTTTTGAAGTATTAATGCAAATAATGTTTTCAGGCTCTCTAGTAAAGTAGTAAATGTTAAAAGTATCTCACGAAGTATGGCAGTACCTGCGTGGCGCCATAATTGTCATGGTGACCGAGATCTGAGAGACGAGTGGATGAGAGCGCACGGGGTAGCGGGTTCGATGGCACGCCATGTGGAGCCAGCACACCCGCCTCTGCAACCGCACGAGCCTCTTCCTCAGCTGCACTATCCCCTCCAATTACCTCCGATGCACCACCGTCTCGGAAATTGACGAACGCAAATGCGGCAAGTGCTACGGCACACAGAATACCGTAGCCTGCAAATGTGCGTGTGGTTCCCCACTTGGCTACGGCGATCCCACCGATCACAGCGCCGCAACCACGACCAAGTCCGTGATGTAAGCCCTGAAGAACGCCCTGAGCTGAAGAGCGTAACCGCGCCGGAGCACCGTGAGCGATGTACGAGCAACATGCCGCCCATACCGCTGCATGTGTTACACCCTGCACGAACTCAAAGGGCAGCACCCACCACGGATCCGTGAGCCACGAGATGTAAAGGAACCTCACCACGTTTCCTGCCAGGCCCAGGCAGAGTACCTGTGGATGTCAATGAGTCAGAGATTTGATTAATACTCGTATGGTTATTCACTATCTTTTAAGTATATATTCTTTTAATGATTATAATAACATTATTTATACCTTTACATGTCCCATTTGCGTAATCAGCTTAAAGCTGAAGAAGTAAGCGAATATCTCTGAGATGTGGTTTATTACTGATGCCACGCCGAACAGTGTAGGTGAGCCTCCGATGTCCTGGAAGAAAATTATAATAAATAAATTATACATCTTATTATTTCTATAAAAAAAACTTTAGATCAATTTGCATAGCCTGGCGATGCTTTAAGAAAACAGTTTTTTTCATTCTGTTAATGTCAAAAATACATATAAAAACAATGCTTTTATAGAAATTAGGGTACCTGCAAATGCCAAAACAGGAACGTGAATATTAGCCCAATACCGAAGCCCATGAACCAAGCGACGAGTAAGAACGACGCGGCTTTCACGTTCTGGAACTGTTTTAGCACTGTCACCCACTCAGGCATCTCTCGTGTCGTCTGAGCGAACACTTTAGCGTGTTGCAGTTGGGGAGCGGGGGCGGCGGCGGGGGCTCGGGTGTCTAGGCCTGGAAGCTGTAATTGTGCCGCCAGTTGTTCTTGAAGCCGCTCTTCTTGTGTCGGTTCCGGTGCTAATATTTCCTCAGTTCCTCGTTCGCTTTCAATGCCCATCGCTTCGTATTTGAATCTTATCTGCAATATGAAATATTAACACGTATTGGTATACAGACATACATGAGGTTTATTCTCTTAAGATGTAAAAACAGGATCCCACCTGAGTTGCAGTAACGAGGGCGGCGCCCATCAGCACTGAAAAAGTCGCAAAGCATATGGTGTAGTTTTTCTCATAACGCTGTGGTCCCCCACACGGATGAGAACTGAAAGCCGTGCTGTGATCCAGAGCAATGCCGACGAAAAACATCGCCAACCCCCAACCGAGCGAACCGAACATTCGCTGGTGGCCATATCTGCAGATTACATAAAAGGCTTATTTGTCACTTGGCAAAATGAAACTCATAAAACATGCTAAAAAAAAAAGGGACTTAAGGCGCTGTTGATTGTTAGTTAGTATTGTAAATTAAAATATATATGGTTATTTTTTTTATTAGAAACGTTGAGAAGTGAGTTTTTTATGTTATAATTAAAAAGAAAACGACATAGTCAACACTAACCTGTCTGCATCCTCGCCCAGCAACGTGATCACAGCTGAATCGGCAAGAGTTATGGCAGGTGCGCTGAAGAACTCGCCGATTACGACGAGTAACAGTAGCAAGAAAAATGTCTTTTGAATATTCGGTGTGCTATACACGATGAAGGAGTGTAATGGTGTGACCCAATTAGAGTTGGTGTCGGGATTGTAGTTTTGGGCGTCTGACACGGGTAAGGGTGAACCTTCGCGACGCGGTGATGGCCCGTGAAAGCCTCTTCCAAGAGGTTGGGCGTCCTCGTCGTAGCTCGGTGGCACTAGCAAGTATGTTGAGCTATTTACTGGCTGTACACAGGCCACAGCGCCCGGTTGCACCCAGCTAAGCGGCAAAGTGAATATGATCCAGGCGCCTAACGAGGCCAGCAATAGAGTGCGGCCCTTTTGCCATCTATCAGCCAGTCCGCCCCAGAAGGGGGCCGAAAGGAACTCCACAAATGGCCGGGTACCGATGAGTAAACCACATTGTCCCGCGTTCATTCCCATTTGCTTGAAGTACACCCCCATTAGGGGGAAAAGGGAACCGAACGCCGAGTAGAAGAAGAAGTAGAACGTCTTGACTGTAAGGAGTTCGGGATCAACAGTGCCTGCGCCGCATATCATTTCCAACAAATCGCTGCGCCCGCGTACTTTGTTCGTAGCATCTTTGGGCGCAGGATACCTATAGAATATTATTCTTATTAATTAATATTATATATTATTAAGTAATAATGAAAGTGAAACTTCGTCCATTGCAACAACACTGTCGGCCTTATAAAAAAAAAAACTTAAAACGGAACTGCGGAGTCTTGGTTTAACTCTTAAACCATGGTCTAAATAAATCTAAGTTCGTACCATAGTTAGTCCAGTACGAACGTTAAACTTCGTTTTGTAATACGGATTTCAAATAAAAGTTTAAACCAGGTTTGAGAGTTAGTCCTTGTTTTGTAATACACAGTTACACTCTTATTACAAATATAAATAGAGTTTTTTTATTTCAAAAACAAACATGCACTTTAAGTAACATTACATTTAGGTAATACCAATTGATTTCTATACCTCGCGTCGGAATAAATAGTTGGCAACACTTAAATTAATACTCATTACTTCATTAAATTTATTTTATTAAATATAAACTTTATTACTGACATATTGTAATTGTATTGGGATTTGGGAATTACAAATATGTTTACTTGTAATCTCTTAACTGTTAATAATGCGACACCAACAGCTGATTAAAATTATAATATGTATTTGCGACTTGCCTGATAAAGACACGACTATAAAAAAAATCAAAGCTACATACAACATAATTGTTACAACTTAATTATTGACCGTTCAAATACAATCATTTTGTAGACTTGTATTTCGTAAGTGTATTGTAAAATGGCGTCCATTTTCCCTTTTACACAGTACGTTACGCGACTTTGATAACACTGTTTACATCAGTCGATTTACATAGCTGTATAGATTTTTCTCAGCGGGCTCTACAACAATATCGACTTGTCCTCAGAAGTTATGTACAGAATCATTGAATAATATGCAACATTGGTTTGGAAGACCATGTTTTGGAGATAGCGAACAGGAGACATCGAAACGAATGTTATGGATATCGCACCTGGTGGTGTCCACTTCTCCATATTCGTCAGGGTTTACGAGCGGCCGAGCAGCGGGTTCGCCCCCTACGGCCGCGACGCCTTGTTGAGGCTCCATTGTCCGGCGCGCGACTGCCGTCACTGAGAAATCCGCCCGCCCGTCTCCAGCCGCCCTTGTCGCGTCAATAGTGCTCGGCCCGACTGCTGGAGGCGCGCGCACCACATCTTGTATGTGGTGATACTTACCTAGACGACTCTACTGCGCAGGTGCGAGCATCTACGTCACTAACAAATTATTACTCAAATTCACTTCAGTAACACAAGATCTAACGACTTAAGTATATTTCTTCTTACCACGATTCAAATCCAGATATTCTCATGTTAAATTCCAACGTTTTAAGCACTCATATAAAAATATGATCTTTTGTGCCTTGTACGGTTAATATAGATTTTGCTAGAATTTAATAAAATACTTTTAAGCAGCTGAAACATCGGGTCGTAATTGTAAATAAGTCAAATGTAAGTTTAACGGCATTTCATTCAGCGCTAAAAACGTTAAAAGTGTTCTATGAAAGTTAAGAATACTTAGTCAATGAACATCTGTTATTTACTCTGACTTCGTTCAATATGTATTAGTCAATATAGGAGGATACAACTTATGTAAATATAAAAACTGGAACATTTACATTTATATAAAAAAACCTTTTCAATTTGTCGAAAAAAGATAAATCAAGTGTATTTATTATTTATACAACATTGTATTTATTGAACCTCACTTAACAGTATTGCATCTCCACTGAATCTAGGTAGTTATTAGTCATACATAGTTCACATCAATGTATTCTTGTTAAAGCACACTTGTAGTAATCGTCTATACAACATCTTTACTAAATGCTAAAATAATAAATTGTACAGCCGTTGTTCTCGAGAGTGGGACAATTTATTATATATAAAGTAAACTTATCATGAGAATAAAAATGTTCCATCAACCCACACTATATATTCTGCACTAATAATTGATCATCCAATCATAGTTAACCGGCGGTTAAAACGATTGTATATACTTATAAATAGACGTAACACTTTGACTTGCAACTTTTCTAATCATAAATATTTATCTCCTATCAATCTTTTCTTGCATTTATTTCATTCACCGCGGCGTAGGAGTGGTGTGTCGAGCGATACGAAGACTCGCATTGTGCATAGAGGAACGACGCGCACTTGCTCGCCGGCGTGACAGAGACCGGCTCTGTTCTGGTTCTTCCTGTTCTTGCTCTTGTTCCGGTTCCTGCTCTTCATTTGGGCCCTCTGAGCTTAGGGAGCGAGGAGAGCGAGTCGAGCACGACCGTGGTGGGGTCAGCGGACCGCGCACCGGCTTCTCCGAGAGATCCAGGCGAAACACGAAGCGCAATTCGGACCAGAACCTGGAAGAGAATGGTGCAGTGGGATTTCTTGGGCGTCGCCACGCTGTCCAGGCTAAATCGCAACACGACACCACCACTCCTAAGGCGCAGCCTACTACCAGCACCAGGAACAGACCGAGGAAATTGCGCATTGACAACTCTTCATTTGATGGATCGTCGTTGGGCTGAAGCGAGGAATCAAAGTTTAATTAACAGGAAGTATATAAATTCATAACCTACTAACTTTACAGAACACAAGGTATTCCATACATATTACTATTTTTTTATAGCATTTACTTAGCATATAAAAAACAATTTCAGACAAGCTTGGGGTTCTCTTGATTGACTAACTTTTCTGTGTGTGTTTTTTGGTATTTCTACTAAATTATAAATTGACAAATTAGAAACCGGTGGGGATCTAATCCACGACCTGTTGATTATTACATTGTTACCATTATACCAACAAGTACGTCAAAGTGAAGTTGGAAACCACGCTCACACACAACCGACACAGTATTTTGAAGTCTAAAATAAAACGTAATTATAAGGGGAAAATCATTACACTTCCTTTCGGTTTCCATCGTCGAGTAAAATATTAACCATTAAATGTTGTAATGGACGTCGCGTTACCTGACAAGCACCGCCGCCATGTTTTTCTTGCCACCAGCGATATTTCATCTCCCGTAGTACGCCACGCTCTTGAAGGTTTAGCAGCGCTAGGTTCAGCGAGTGTCGATATTGGGAATCTAGGATTTAAAAAGAACTTAATAAATACTGTTTGTAAAATGTAAAATTCAGGCAGTTATCAATTATAATTTCCATATTTTTATGCACGTGAAAGGTTTTGTAAATTTATAACTGACATTCTTGTTTTGTAATTTACTTTATAATTAATTAGTCTCTTAGGTCTACTTGTGGACTTGTGTAAACTGCCATAATTATTCGTACAAGGTATAATGCCACTTTAAAAAAATATACACATACTATTCTCATCAAGTTAAAAGTTAACTTACTCTTTTTCATAGCTAACCCATAGCCTTTACTGTCTAACAATTCTCCGACCTAAAAAATAACAATTAATGTAATGTAAATGATATCACAACGGTATAAGGTTTAAAATCATGTAATGATATGCCTTACAATAGGTTCTAAGGTTTGCTATAAATTAAACTAAACGTCGGGTCATTTTATACGTTTTAAAGTTGGACGGATGGCGCTAGCGTAGCAGATTGACATAAAATGTTTCGCGTTTTAAACCGTTCTATAATCTATACACTCGCGTAAACGACAGGTAAAATAAATAAATTCGTTCTTACCATCGTCACTTCACACTGCCGTTCGATCGTGTATTCTATTGTCGTCGATTCGGCAAAGAACGCGTAGTTTTCGTTTATAACCCTACAAATAATTTACGAACTAGAAACATTTGTTTTAGCAGTCGTAGTTTATAAAGTCGTAATGTAATAATATTAGTTATGGCATGAATATGCAGTATAAATAAAAGTATACATTAAATCATTCAAAGTGAATTGATAGTAATCGGTGATACGTTACTTGTCGATCCCGGCGTCGTTGCTTTTAGGATTGTCTTGGTCTTTCATTTTTTGGAACATTCTTTTGTACAGCTCTTCGGTAGAATACTGAATAGAGAGAAAAATAAATAAGTGTCTGGCGAAATTATTACAGAAAGAACGAATGGTAAGACTATTAGGGCCAGGGATCTTTCGAGTCCCCGCAAAACTATACATAGTTTCGCTCGGGCAGGATATTGGACATCGACTTTTCCCGCATAAATAGATTTAAAAAAAAGGATTGTTTTCACACTATCATAATTGCGATCATTTAGTAACTACAAATTAGTTGGTTTCCCCTAACAATCTGAAATTAAAAATACCTCGAAAAACGTATAAGTTGAGCCACCCGCCTTTGCACCGTAGGTAATTCCGAGTTCGTTATCAGCAAGATCGCGTACGTTGTGGATGAGTTCATTCGAAGTCTTGGTACCCAAGAGCGTGGCCAGGTTAGCGGTGTAAGAATTGACAATGACAAGTGCGAACACCCACCAGGCGCTAGCGACCGCTCGTGACCCATAAGCCACAGGTGCAATTTCAGAACCCTGCATGAGCACTGCGCCAAGATTGAACCACAGCGCGTTGCCAAGCGTAAACTGATTCTCGAGCGCCGCTGGCTCTTCGACGCACGGGTACGGGTTCTGCCATTCTTCGGGGCACAGCCGGCCAACAATATATAGTACTAGGGAAGTCCCCACATAAGCTATTCCTACCCACAGCCAAACGCCGTAGGAAAAGGGAAGTAAAAACGCTAACAGCGCTGGTGCTGGCGGCTGAGGTTTCCGAAACAGAATGCTTATCCCTAGATTCATGAAGGGCGTTGTAAAGTCTACGGCTTCCTCTCGTTCCGCCGTTATTGTCAAGTCCGTTATTGCAAAGTCGATTGTCTGAAAATATATTTTAATAAGTAATTGTTTAATCAACTGCATTATCGATGATATAATCTAGCAAATGAAAGAGTTTGTCTAAAGAAGAAACGAAATTATGAAGAACGAAAATACTGCACGGATCATTTTCGCGATTTACAACAATAGATAAAACTCAGTGTGGGATACCATTTAGGCTTTCTTTATCAAGAATAATTGACTCTTTGTACTGGTTTTTGTTAAGTATAGTGTATTCTTGGTGTATACGAAAATGTTATAAATGCAGCGCCTGAAGGATTATTTTAGCAAAAACGCGCCGGAATACTTTCAAATAATACTTAGGTTACATAATGCATTAAAAAATATGTTATTAAAAAAGTTGTCTTTATGGAATGGTGACCTTGTCTTCCATGAGTCGCTTCATCATGCCATTCCATTCGCCTGTTGTCTTGTTGCGGGTGCCGTAGTTTCCATCGGGTTGCTCAACGAAAGTGTAGTTAAATTGCAGCTGTTGAGCCAGCCTTTCAATTAGCTCAATGCAGAAACCTAACAAAATACTGGTTTCATTTTTAAATATTAACATAATACAATCAAAGCCAAATTACTTTTCAAACCAATACAAACGTAGTACATATTTTTTGGACGTGTATTATATATAACATTATCTTGCAATATGGACAATGACCACCTCTGTGGCTAAGGACTTAAACGTGTTGTCTACTCGTAACATTACGTTATACGCGAGAGCTCCTGAAGCAGAGTCCCGGGAACAGAAGTCTGATCAACTGTAAATAAGACCAATAAGTGAAAGGGACACACAAATGTGTTCAATTTTTTTTAACAATAAGGAATTAATGTCGGTTGCATCTCTCCTCGAAGTTATCAAATCAAATTAATTAATTATCACTAACAACAATATAACTTTATTTTTTGCTTGTCACTTCTAGGTATGTTTTACTTGTATTTTGTTTCTTAGTTCTAGTTATATTATATTTGTATAAAACTATAGATGGCAATATAAATCATACCTTCATATCGCTCGTTGCCAGAAAGGCGATCAGCAGACTGTTGTCTCATGACGTAGGGTTTATTCTGTGAAAGTGCGATATAAATTGTTTTAACTGTCAATTTATTATCTATACTAATATATAAAGCTCCAGAGCTCGTTTGTTTGGTTGAACCCCTAATCTCAGGAACTACTGGTTCGAATTAAAAAAAATTTTGGTGTGTTGGTTAGAGCATTTATCAAGGAATATAGGCTAAATAGATGAAGTCGTTGGCACGATTATTAGTATTACATACTTCTGCGATAAGAACGACGAAGGTGCGGTTCGTCATTAGGTGCGATGGCGGGGGTGGCGCTGGAGGTCTCGGTCGCCAGACGAGACCAGTCCGTGCGTGCCAGTCAGCAGCAGCTTTCACGAGTCCCCCGGGGAATACTTCTCCCGCTTGGAGTGCCACTTGCATGCGTGCTCCGCCCGCAGCCCACCATATACCCGTTGCGCTGCTTGCACCAGTCCACTCGTGCGCTCGGATGTAATTGAGCAATGAGTCTGCATGGAAGGCAGCTACGCCGTGCTCACAAGAACCTGACTCTCCTACATTGGGCAGCCGCAAATGATCCAAGGCCTGGGCTATGATTCGTGCGGCATCGTATGCCAATACTAATGCACTTGGCGGTGTCGACGTTATCTGCAATGAAGTGTAAAAAGTCATAGATTGTTATTTGTCACACATCTAGTCAGTCAATATTTTGACACACAGATAAGACTGATAGAAGGTAGTCTGTTATGTATGTTGCACTAATAAAATAACGACCCTACTTGTTCAACTTCTTCTTCGTCGATAGCTTCACCTAGCCGCTTAGTATACTCAACCCGCCAAGAAGCCATAGCTTCCATGACAGCAGGTGACTCCGGGTCAAACAAGCGAAGACCTGGGAACCAAAAATTTGTACTAACTAGGGATTATGGAGGAAAACTCTTATTACTTTTACTTAGTAATAATGTTTAGACTGACCGGTTAGGTTCGCACCCCCATGACTATAGTCATCTAATGGCAGAGTAGGAAGGTCGATGGCAGGAAACAAGTAAGAGTGTCGTTCTGATAGCAGCCCCACACGCTGCGCGGCATCCAGCACGCGAATGCTACATTCTGCATCACACCACACTATGAACTTTGTTGCACCCCATTTCTTCAGCACCAATAAAAGATTCCTAGAAAGCATAATAAAAATCTTTATATATCTGTTGCATTAACTTTCCATTGAGTAAAGAAAGGGTTTTGCCTCTTTCTTTATTTCTCCAAGTAATCACCTTAAAGCATCCTCATCTTCAGGTGGAGGCAGTTGCCGGGCGCGTAACCGCAATGGAAGCATCGGTAATACCCGCGCGCTATCTGCGTGCAGCAAAACTGCTTCTCGCCAGTCTTTTGCCTCACACAGGGCAGCCACTGCTGCTGCAAGTGCCTCCATTCTCGGAAACAGCTCAAGCGCGGTGCTCTCCCCATCTTCGTTAGGCGCTGCAAGTAGTAAAAGCAATCCCGATCTTGCTGCCGCTGCTATCCCCGCGCTGCCCGCTACAGCTTGAGCTCCTTCGTTGGCCTACGTTTACGTAAAGAAGCAACGACCACAAAAAAATAACGCTTTGATTCCAAGTGGAATCCCTAAAATTAATTAACCATTTAGTTTTAAAACGCAAAGATGTATGTACGTGTATTTAGAAAATAATCTAATACGATACTATAAAGCTACTTAAAACAAGTAGAACGACGTTGTTTTAATATTAAAAAATACATAATGCAGCTTAAAGTTCGTACAAATAAATCGCGTGTTTACTATAATAATTGAAGATAGTTTCATTATATTATTTGCTAAATACTGTCTGCTGTTTACAAAAGTAGTACACATTTAAATTAAACACTTTAAATGGCGAAATATATTAGTTAAACTTATGTGAAAATTATTTAACCTACGGCCCTACGTTACGGATGCTTCGAATCGGATATCACGGGTCTCCCCGGTTTCAACCGTTGTCCGGCTTACCTGAATGCAGATGTGTGTGTGAAGAGCAAGCGGTTCCAGGGGTTCCACTGGTGCAAGGCGTACGTTTGATAATTCACTATCAGCCTCGTCTGAGTCAATAGACCCTCGGTCTCGCTTTTTCGCTTCCTGCAGTGCGTGATCCTTAAGACCAGCATCCAACGCTGCGGCTAGTTGCGCTCCGAACTTTGGCTCGCTCTCGACTACGCCTGCAAACAAGCAGCTCGCATATTAACTGCCAGACAATAATGTGAATATGGGAGAAAAACAATAAACGCACCGATTCGTGTCTCCTGCGCATACGCATACGAAGAAATCACAAGTACAAATGGAAGTACATGAAACAGTTGTAGGCGTTTCCATGTTACATAGGCAACGCTCATCTTGTAGACAATTTATATGTCCTGTTTGTCCATTACGATTAACATAAGTTAAAAGATATGATAAATTAGAGTTTACGCGATCACGTTTACGTGATTTGTCTCACTTTGCATTTCGCATCTCACAGCGACGATTCTATTTTGAATCTAGAACACGTCACGTCCCGCCTGTTGCAGACGTTACCTAAAACGCGAGATTTTAGTTTGAGGATCGAACATAAAAAATAGGTATATAACACATAAAAAGACAATAAACAAGATTAAATAAAGAAATAGTCTGAACCAGCTGGACTTAATAATTGAATAATGTAAATATTTTTCACTAAAACTTATCATTATTTTTGTTGGAGTTTTATTCTCATATTATAACAAAAATATACTTTAGCGCCAGAACATATGTAAAACATATTACTTTTTTTTAAATTTTTAAAGAGAAAAAACAAACATTACCTAATAATATTTAAGAACGCAAGGCGAGTTTGTTAAAGTATGTTTATTCAAAAAATATCTGCTAATATCTTCTCAGTTTACTATTATTATTTTAAAATTAATTTTTAGTAGCAAAAATATTAATTTCGTGTAATATTTTATAAATTCAGATCGATATGATTATCAGTTACTCAGTAACGAATGTGTTTCTTGCAACGTTAAAATGTAGTCTATGGTTAAGGTCAAGTAACAAGCTGACTATGAGACTGTCAGTTCAACTGACAATTCACAACTTAATTTCAATTAACTGACTTGTCAATTGTGAAGAGCAAACCGCATTAGTTTATAGCTAATATAATATAGAATTAATATTTTCAAAGCGGCTTTACAATTTTCTTAATAAGTTGTTTTAGCTTTTCGTTAATGCGACATAGTACCAAATAGGTTTGTGTCTCAAAGACCAAAATATTAGCAAAAGGATTTAGAAACTTGCAAACTTATACTTAGAAAACTTATGTTTCGATGTAACTTTACCTAGAAAATTTATGTTTAGATGCAAACTATGGAGACGCAGGTTGTTGGATTGACTGGATTGGAACTCCAACAAGTGGGAGAAGTACACTCGGGACCAGGAGCTAAGTGGGCATTAGGTGCACTGCCGGCATTATTAGGTGGTCAACTACCCCGTTTATCTTCTGACCAGTCTGATTGTGTTTCACGTGCGAAAAAATATGCAATGGAACAGAGCATTAAGATGGTGCTGATGAAGCAGACACTTGCACACCAGCAACAGCAGATGGCTTCACAACGCACTCAAGTTCAGCGCCAGCAGGCTCTTGCACTTATGTGCAGGTAACTTGCATAATGCCTTGTACTGTATTCATCTCTTTTGTTTAACTAATCTAAGAAATTATTATATAACCATCACTGACTCATTTTGTTTGATACAAGTTATATGCTAATTATACTTCGGTATGGTGCTTTTAAATAAGCTTTCTTAAAATAACCCTCTTTTTTCCAGCTGCAAAAATGAGCTATTTTATACAATACTATTTTAATATTATGATGAGAGCGATACCTGGAGATTCCCCAAAAAGGGTTGAGTCTGTGAGTTTATTGCTGAAAAGATCTGAAAACTAAGTCATGGTGATATTAGTTTCATTGGATTTAATGTAGTAAATATCTAATTGCTTTCAATGTTTTCTAGGGTGTATGTGGGCTCTATCTCATTTGAACTCAAGGAGGATACTATTCGGCAAGCTTTTTTGCCATTTGGCCCTATCAAGTCTATCAATATGTCATGGGACCCAGTGACACAGAAACACAAGGGCTTTGCATTTGTTGAGTATGAAATTCCTGAAGCTGCTCAACTGAGCCTGGAACAAATGAATGGTGTTATGCTCGGTGGAAGGTAAGAATTGTATAGTTATTAACTTTATAGTCAAATTTAATTAAGGTTTTGTGTGGAGTATAATCCCATTTTTACAAATCTTATTATAAAAACTAAATATGAATTTCAATAAGGAGCAAAATAAAAATGTGCAATTAACTTAAGCAAAAATAAATTTGCACTATTATTTGTGTAAGAATTATGTTAACAATATTAAGTCCCTCTTGTAGATTAACATTTTAGGCTATAAAAATATAAATTAGCCAAGTGGAAATTGCAGATATGTAACAATAAAAAGTAATTATGTTTAAACTCCATATCATTTTAGATTTATTTTAATTTTATCTGTATAGCTTAATAGTATTAACTAATTAATATTATCTGATAGCTTAAAAATGCAATCAAATTAAAACAAGCCTTTGCACTGTTGCAGAAATATAAAGGTAGTTGGTCGGCCTTCAAACATGCCCCAGGCACAAGCAGTGATTGATGAGATTCAGGAAGAGGCAAAACAATATAATCGTATCTATGTGGCATCTGTTCACCCAGAACTCACTGAGGATGATATTAAAAATGTTTTTGAGGCATTTGGTCCCATCACTTATTGCAAGCTAGCATATGGTGCTTCTGCACACAAGCACAAAGGATATGGATTCATTGAATATGCATCATTGGCTGGAGCTCTTGAGGCTATTGCATCTATGAATTTATTTGATTTAGGGGGACAGTATCTGCGCGTTGGCCGCGCTATTACCCCTCCTAATGCTCTCCTCGGTCCCCCTGCTGCCTGTGCGATGCCCACAGCTGCCGCTGTGGCTGCTGCAGCTGCGACCGCTAAGATTCAAGCTATGGATGCCGTTGCCAGTAATGCGGTGGCTCTTGGTCTTACTAAGCTTAATGCCCTGGGTGTATCACCCGCCGCAGCATTGCCAACTCTCGCTGCTGCGCTTCCTGTGACTATGCCCGTTACTCTTCCGGTTTCGTTGCCCGCTGCGCTGCCGCCGCCCGTCACTTCTGCGGTCATTCCACCGCCAGGCGTCGTCATTCCACCCGCGCCGGCACGGCCCGCTATTGTGAGTGCCAGTTATGCAGTTCTATTTATTTATTTAAATTTGCACATAACCTTAACTAAAAATCAAGCGTAATTAAGTGTTTCTATCTTTAATAGCTATTCCTTAAAAAATATTATATAGATAGCAAAAAAAAAATGGGAAGAGTTAACTTAACAAAATACGTAAATATCATATATTAACTTTTACGGTCATATATTTTTATAAAAAAATTATTGTAAAGTTATTTGTTATAGGAATTTTGTATTTTGCAGAGTGAAGAGAGCAGTATGGGTATATCGGGCAATGCAACGGACGAGAGTGGGTCAAACGGAGCCGGCGCACAGGCGGCGTTACAACGGAAGCTATTGGATAGTTCACCGGATACGCTGCAGCAGCAAGAGTCTCTCTCGATATCAGGACAGTCTGCGAGACATCTTGTCATGCAGAGACTTATGAGACGGCGCGCTTCTCGGACGGTATTGCTACGGAACATGGTGTCGCCCAGGGACGTCGACGAAGCCCTCCACCACGAGATCCGAGACGAATGTGGGAAGTGGGGACGAGTTCAGCGCGTCGTGATATACAACGAGAGGCAAAGTGAACACGACGATCCGTTGCAAGCGCATGTCAAGATCTTCGTTGAGTTCGCGGAGCCGGATGGTAAGAAAATTTTAATGTGTTAAATGAAAATTTATGTACATATACATAAATAATACAATGAAATAAGGAAATACATAAATATACTAACTTTGCAGTGGAAAGACATCGCTCAGTCGTTGCTGCAATAACAGATTTGCTGATTTTCAGCAATATAAATTTAAAATAAACTACTATATAGTTTACGCGAGTAGTACACATTTAAATAAAACACTTTAACGGTTTAAAACGCGATATATTAGTTAAACTTATTTGGAAATTATTTTTATGATCCGAAAAATTTAACTAATATATCGCGTTTTAAACCGTTACAGTGTTTTATTTAAACTACTATAAAAAATTAAAACATTATACCTATGAAATGCTTCACTTACACGCACTTGGTGAAAAGGAGTATTACTCAATAAGGCAAAAATTATAAATTGCTCTATTAGCTAAGCTGGTCTAGTCAGTTCGTCTGGAAGAACAGCATGTGTTGGCATTGTTGGTTTTTTTTCCAATTTTCAAGCATTCCTTAATGACTAACATAAGCTATTAATAAAAATTATGATTTTTTTCTTATATTTATTTTATGTAAAATATATAGAGTATATGTTATAATGATATCGGTGTATTTTGGCCACAGAGGCAAGTGCAGCGGCATCCGCCTTGGAGGGACGTTACTTTGGTGGGCGTACTGTTCGGGCGGCGCTCTACGACCAAGACCTATTTGACCACGGCGACCTTTCCGCTTGACACAGCAGTTTGCACTTTTAAAGACTTCACTAATGGCTTTATGATTATATTTTAACTTTAGATTACGTAATTATAAATAGGAACCGATACATTAATATAAAAAGTCTAATAAACCTAACTTAGCCATACCCTTAAAAATTATGCTATAGTCTATATTATGCTATTCTTTTATCTGTGGTGCGTAAAAGTAAATTTTTCCTGGTCTGGTCGTTCACTGGTTTCATATCCTTTTATTGATGAGCAGCAATTGTTAAGCGGCAGACCGAGGTTTAAAAACCACTGGAACTCCGGTTTTCACCGTTTGTACTACGTTAGAAGCAGGGTTAAGGCTCGGGAACGGTGGTGCGTTCGGCGCTGGGCTCACAGAGCACACTGCGAGCACCGCTGCCAACCCCGCCACTGACTGCATTAGACCCAGCCTAGCACCTAAAAATATCACATTATTAAGTCAATGTACACTAGGTAGAAGACAATGTTCTAAGTCTACTCTTTTCGGCAGCACTTGGCTAGTACCCTTTTTATGAATTATGCAATTTATTCTTAACAAACTACTTGAACTTGTTACTTTAACTATATAACTTGGATTTTACATTTTTAGATGAAATAACTAAAATAATTTGAATCTCAACGTCAACTTACCAATACAAGCCCTGGGTCCGTCCCCGAAGGGGATATAGACGTGTTTGTATCGCTGGGCGTCTGGCGCAGTCGGGTCAAAACGTTCGGGGCGGAATTCGTGAGGAGCGTCGAAGTGTTTCGGGTCATTGTGCATCGCTTGCAGCGGAATGAACACCTTCACGCCCTCATCCACCGTCAAATTGAGTTCTTCGAACGTATACTTTCGCGCGCACTCTCGCGTCAGGTAGCCGAGAGGAGGAAATAGCCGCATGGCTTCCTTGAAAGTCCATTCTATATAAGACATTTCTTTAACAGCGTCGTATGTCAATTTGTTGTCGTGCTTGGCCAGAATAGTGTCTATTTCTTTATGCACCTTCTGTTGGACGCGCGGGTTGTGCGCCAGGTAATGCAGAGCGATGCTAGTTGCAGAGGAGGATGTCTCGAAACCAGCAGCGAAGAACACAAAAAGCTGCGCGGCTAACAACTCGTCGTCCATTCGGAGTTCGCAGCGCTCGCCCGCCCGTTCCAAAGACTCTCCTTCTATGATTCCTTGTCTCTGACATTCCAGCAGTAGATCTACGAAGTCGTGTCTATTCGATGGCTCATAATTCCTCTGTTTCAATACCTCTCTCATTAAATGCATGATATTTGTCTCCACATGTTCCATAAATTTAAGATCTCTCAATAGCGTCGGGAATGTTTCTTTCAAGAAGATTTTTATGATGTGCTTGAATCCTAATTTGAAGATGTTGACTCCTAGCTTTCTGAATTCCGAATCTTCGTCTTGGAGGGAGGCAGCGTCTAATCCGAACCCGCAAGCGCCTATAAAATCTGTCGTATAGCGAGCCATAAGGTCTCGCGCGTCCAGTACTGCGCCCGAAGGTCCAGACGCCAAGCGCAAAGCGCGAGTCTGGAGATGTTTAGCGCGCTCTTGAATGAGGGGGAACATAGCTCGGAGTTTTCCGCTGGTGAACGCTGGCGTAAGTCGCTGGCGCAATAATCGCCACACGTCGCCGTCCGCGAAGAAGAGATTCCGGAACATTGGCTCCCCTTTATGCGTGTATGAGAGCATTCCGCGTGGATAAAAGTGGAAAAAGTCGGTCATGAGGACCTTCTTTGCTAATTCTGGGTCCCGAATGACGAGCTGCGGGTTTCTGCCTCTATAGAAACCCACCACTTTTTCCTCGGGATATCTCCAGTAAGCTTCCTCTGCGAGCTGGCTAATACTTTTCTGCACAAAATAATTGGCCGCATTGCCTCGGGGGCCTATCGTGCTTTACTCCACGGAGCTTCCAGTACTGAAACTTTCTGGTGTAATAGCTGTACAGCGCTATGAGCACGACGACCAGCAGGGCTGTAGTAAACATTATGCCTCAAAATATCCTTCCCGACTGTCTTCGCATATAGCCCACAGTTTAATTATACTTTTGGTGCTTCTTTCAGATAAGATAAAAATGTGATATTAATAAAGATAATCAAAATGTATTTTAAAAATTCTCTATAAGATTCTTCGGGCATTTGCCCGTTGCCGTTGTGTCGAGCGCCTCTTTATGTACCCAAAAATTCAGTATGTAGCAAGTCAGCTGCAAAAAAAAAAACATTAAACTGACAAATATTATAAAAATGAGAATCTAACAATAAATGTTCAATGTTTAGCTGTTCATAAGTAATAAAGGCTTTATAACCACTTAATACGCAACATAAATAGAACTTATTTACAATTTATATTTACTACGGTAAGACTGTTTTATTTAAATGGTTCAAGTTATTTTTACCGTTTTTAGGATGTTAGGACAAGTATAAAGCAAAAGCTTTATATGTATATTATACGCTTTATACAGTCAAGATGGTTATCTATCGATCGACTTTTACTTTGAACTTGAAATCAGTAAGACCAAAAACCAGGTGATGTGTAAATTGTTTGAATAATTAGTTTTAACACATAGGGAATCCTTTAATATAAACACAAGCCATTTTAAATCAGCACAGCGATACATAATTAGGGGAATAGCTACCCCCTGGGTGGCTTCAAACTAAACATTATGTGCGTACGCACCTGGGCCTTAGGAGAATTCCTCCAACTTTGTCCGCTTTATTCCCTTCCCTTCACCCTCGGGATCGATCCGGGAACGATTGGCACAACCGTAAGTGTATTCGAGAATCAGTGTCGTGTTTGACGTCTCCGCTCGTGTGTCACGGGGAGCGCGCGCGCATGTTACCGATAGACGCGTGTGCCACTGCCAAATGTTGTTCAGTTAATGTGCTAGTTCGATGAACATTAATAGTTTAAAATTGAAAATGCTTAAGGTGAGTGAACTTTTTGTTTCTGTTCTTTTCCTAATAATTAGCATTGCTTTAATTTAAGATGTCCTACAGATAACTTAAGATAAAGTTTTACCTTTTAACCTATTAAAGTTTGAAGATTGTAATATAAATTTTACAGCAATATACAACATGAAGCTTTTAATTAGAATAATACTTTCCATTTTACAGAGTCTAGACTAGGGGGGTATAAGAAATAATTAGGGATTTAGGTGTCCTATGGTTTAATCATTTCTGTAAAATTTGTCGCACCTCGCAGTATCTCCAAATACAATAACAGTATTATCATGTTTATGTCTAGATTAAAATTAAAGCAACACAATAATCACGACCTTTGTTCGATAATAGATAGGGGTAATAATTCGCTTGAAAAACACTGACTACTGCTCCTACTTTAAGTTGATAAAATAGGTAATTTATATTCCACTCTCAAATATACATTATAAAAACCGGTTGATCTTGCATACAATAAATGGCCTTACAATGCCGTTAAAGAACTCGCTTTAATAATGTAATATAAAAAGGTCAGTTCTTGCAAGATTACAGTCGATTACGAATTCGTAATAAATAACTAGAATATATTTAAATTCAACACCAGTTTTAACATAATATAAACTATATAAGAATCGTGACAAGATTTTAAAATATCAATATTTTTTTGATGTGATTGCAGTCGGATACTATTTGGGTTATTTGGGTGGCATTGGGTCTCCTTTTTCTGTAAGAAATATCAATTGTTAGCATTTCGCTACAACTATAGTCAATTTACGTGACAAACGTTAGCAACGACAGAAGTAACGTCTTCTCACGTTATTTCCGACTAAAGCTATTTGCGTCTATACGCAAATAGCACACGGATATAGACCCTTGGTCGATAGAACCGGTTTTCCAAACATTTTAAGGAACTGCTAATTAGTTTAAATTATGTTTGTGATTACACATATTTTTTAAATTTTTAGTTAACTCATCACTGTACACTTTAAATACTACTTTTTATATTATACAGGTATTTAAAAATTGACTTCAGAAGCTTTATTTATTTAAAAATATATAACTAACTGAATAATTTTAATAATCATACTTAACGTTAGCTTTGTAAAAATAATCTTTCATTGTGCAGGCAAGGCAACGAAAGTGATAGTGGACAACTGAACATATATTTATTTATGCCAAGTAAGTATAATTCACATTGAAGGTCAAAAGTACTAAATGGTAACATTATCATTTTAACATGACATTATATAGCAAAGCTGTATAAAAATTCTAAATTCTACTTTGGTGACAGTTGACACGGTAGCTCACTTGGAGACGCAAACAGCACGGAACGTTGCAGTCAAGAGTTTGAGTCCCGCTCGTGTCATCAATCTTTCGTTTTTTCACTTCAAATATACTATATTATTATTTCATATTTCTCAATATTGTCAAATTATTTAATGTTAACTGTTTTTTCAAATGTTTCACGTGATTTGAATCAAGTGGACTTATTTTTAATAGCTTTGATTAACATAAAATGTATTATCTCATTAGTTTTATAGTTTTGGAGATAGATTTTGGTTGAAGAAGTGCACGCATATGGTCCATTGCATATCATTCAACACGATCTAATAGCTGTTCCCACACATCTGGCTCCTTATCATGTACTAAATCGCTATCAAAGATAATATTATTTTAGGTGTACGCGATAACGTAGCCATAAGTGTCATATTGGAACTCCCTCCTCACTCTTAATTGTTTTTATTTCAGATTATGAAAATTCTCAACTAAAAAGGTCACCTGAAACTTATTATAATGCTAGTTCCTTATACAATGGACTGGATGTGCGCGTGGATGTCACTTCTTGTACTTACTGTGCTACCTGCTTTAGCGGGTAAGTCTACCTTCCACTTAGTCATATATTAACAAAACAAAAGAAACGCGAATACATGAAGACACAAATATATAAAACCTCAAGGGATGTCATTTTTTGTTTGGCTATTGTTTGCTACAAGGCGGACATCGAACGTCTGATCTATTGATCTAACACATAGATACTAATTTACGCGAGTAGTACACATTTAAATAAAATGCTTTAACTCTTTAAAACGCGATATATATTACTTATTAGAAAATTTCGGATGATTTGCAACAGCCGTGATGTCGTAGTTAAAATTATGTTCAACTACGTTTAACTAATATATATCACGTTTTAAACCGTTAGTGTTTTATTTAAATGTGGTTTTAGCTAAAATTTATTGAATGTAGTGCTTCTTGCAAACGACTGTTAGACGAACTTTCCATTGATATTAAGCAACGTACCCCATATCGGAATTATTTTAGCTTCCATATAAATCATACAGATTTATTTGGATATAAAAACAGCCGTCATGGATATAATAAAAATATTTAACGAAGGCGTTAAATTTAACGATTCTTTTAATTCACTTTAGCGCGTGAACTGTTGACTAAATGAGGCGAAGATAATATGTGGAGATTTCGCCTAACTTTGGATGATATTCGTATGTGTTTTTTATCCCAAGACAAGCCAAATGATGATATTGCCGCCATGTGGGATTTTAAAGAAAAAAAAAAAAAAAAAAAAAAAAAAAAAAAAAAAAAAAAAAAAAAAAAAAAAAAAAAAAAAAAAAAAAAAAAAAAAAAAAAAAAAAAAAAAAAAAAAAAAAAAAAATTAAAAAAGGGCCCGGAGGGGGGGGGGGGAAAAAAAGCCGGCCCCCCCGGAAAAGGGGGGGAAAGGGGGAAAAAAAAACGAAGAAAGGATTTTTGTTTTAAACAAAATATTTACGTTCTGAAGGTATTGCGATTGCGTATTGTGAACGGCGGTACTTCACCCTGACGGAATTTAGCTATTCCTAAAAAATATTGGTTTTAGGAATATGTTTACGTGTGAAAAGTCTAAAATTTTTCACATGTCATGAGCAGATATTGGCACTATAAAAACTAAATATCGATTTTAAATTGAAAAATGTTTTCATATTTTTTTTTATCAAATATTTATTAAGTATGGCCTTACACAATACCCCTATGACTAGAATATATTGACTAGATCTGTTTCTAAGGCCCGTGGCACGTGGGCACTCGTTAATGTTACATGGCACGTGGTTGTTGCTATTCTCGTCCGTACTCTACACTTCGTGCACGCTAGGCGCGAGTGCTGAATTGTGTTCGTCAACCTCACGTAGATCAAGACGATAATAGTTGTATTGGCCAAAGGGTGTGCGCATTCCTCGAGCGTGAATAAGAATTGCACACTTATTTTTTAAATACATGCGTCGTGAACACATTGTACTCACTACTGCTCGTCATATAGGAGAAGGTGATTCAGTGGGGTTTGGCAGGCTTAAGTATCGTCTTTGAATTCCTGGTTGTAACCGGGACGGTAGCTTGGGATTCATAACATCTCTTCGTACCGTTAAGTTGCTACTAGATCTTTTTCTGGACATATGCAAAACAATATAGTCGTATATAGGGCAGACACATAACAGCGGGTAGATAATAGATTGCATTGTAAAGTCTTCATTAACAGTATTTAAAATATAATTACATAATAAAAGTATGGATTAATGATCTCAATATATAAAGGTGGTACTATCCAAGTTTTACGTAAATAGATATATATTTCATGATAGCTTATTTATATGTGTACTAAGAGCACTAGCGCCAACTACAGACTAGGAATACTTACTCCATATTAAAATATCACTTTCATTTGTTATATGTCTTAATTCTTGGTGTTTTGTTTATCGTTTTCATCGTAGTATTTAGTGAAATCATTAAAAGATAAATTGTAGTTTATTTTGCGTTTCCTCGTGTTTATTAGATTATTCAGATAGGTAAATAGTATAACGTTAGAAGAAACAGCGTTACGCTCTTACGAATCAATCCATTAATTATCGTGTAAGTGGGGCACTTTTGTAATGTCTGCGCTGTATATTTTAATCTAGCATACAAGTTGCCAAGGCGTAATTGAGAATTGTTTTTAGCCAACTTGTAAATCCAATTAGTCTTACATTTATTTATCACTACTTCTCAGATATTTGCGATTGGTGATTATTATGCACTTGGTAATTACAGCTTTAAAAAAGGTTTCATAAAAATATTAGAAACTCAATCTAGTGATAACTTAGCACACTAGATTGGTTTCGAGCCAAACGGTGTGTCCGGGTAGTATGTCTAATTTTTACAAACAACCTTCTCAGCTTAAATTATAACTGTAACCCATGATGTCGTCCGCGTCCCGTCGCTATTGCAAGCTAGTAATTTTAAAAGATGGTCATATACTGTCGCGGATATTTTAGATAATTTAAAGAAGTATCGGTCTTTCATAAATATTTTGTCTTGGTTTCTTGAATCGTTATCGCAACGCAATGAAAGCTCTTAAAGATGCCCACGGTTTCTTCTGCTTCTATCGTCATGCATGTTTGTTTTATAGCCTAAACTCTTCCTCGTTAAATAGTCAAACAACACAAAAATAATTGTACTGACTTTAGCGCGATCAAACAAACGCTTTTTAATATAAGTATAGATAAAGATTTGTCGAACCAGCTATGGTAATAACGTTTCGTAGCAAAATGCTTATTGGTATGAGATTCATAAGTTTAACTTCCAACTTTATTATTGCTCTCAGTTGATTTTAGCTCGCTCGTATTAAAAATTCAAATTCCCCGCATTCCGTTGGAAATTGTAAACTCGCTGGAATGTAGGAGGCGGGTAATTCATGGGAAGATATTCTTAGTGATTTGAGTCACAACCGCTCACGATGTAAGTATTTTGTATTCAGAATTCGCGTTTGAACTGTTTTGGCCACGCGCGGCCACGAGCGAGCGGGTTCGGGCGGGGGCGAGGTGAGCGCGGAGAGAATTGGCGCCTCGCGAGAGTGAGCACCGCTTTCAAACTTCCGCTCGATCGTTTAGCGAAAATAGATATTATATCCGTTCAAACGAAACCTGGCATTGGGAACGAGAATCTCATAATAGGGCCCTTTTTTTCTTTTTTTTACTGATAAAGTGTGAAAGTCTAATGCACGCCCACGTCGGGCAATAGTGATGTGGGGAGTGTGGTAAATCAAAGGAGAATAGAGCCGCTAAACACCCCACCAGCCTCCTGCGGTGCTTTGAGGGAGCTCTGGGAACACGTGTCATAACGCCCCAATTTCAGATTTAGACTGTACATTATCCAAATCCAAAATAGGTCGATAGCACATTTTTTTAGATGTTATATATATCGGCAAGCAAGCATAGTTCACTTGACGGTAGGTGAAATATATCAAAAAAAAACAGCAGAATCAGATCTCAAACTTCCGGCGCACAGCAGAAATAGCTATTATATCCGCTCAAACAAAACCGCTTGGCACTGAAATCGAGAATGTCGTTATGGGAAGAAATATTTTTATTGAGGTGTGCGGAGTGGAGTTCCTGCGGGTGACTCAGTGCCAGATGTTTCGCAACGGCTTCATCAAACGACTGCGACCGCCTCCCGACCATCGTCCGGGCCGCTCGCCTCTCTGAGAGGATAATAAATAACGCGTTGACGTACACGATCTCGCAATTTGGAGCGATTTGTCGTGAGTAATATATCCTGAGGCCGTTGCCGAGTTAGTTACAAAAGGATAAAGCAGTTCGATAAGAACAGGATGTCTGAATTGGCATACGAATTATATTTACTCAAAAAGATTCAATTCACACATTAGATAGTTAAAGAAATTGTAATTAGATTAAAATAAAACACTTAACAGTATAGATTAAAAATCGATTATATATTTAAAAAAAATAGAAGACATGGGCACGACTCGAACTGGCATCCACAGCGTTCCGTGCTAATTAAGCTACAGTAAGTGTTTCAAACTTTTACCGGTTTCAAACACGAAATAAATTTTAAATCAATTTATTTCACTACAGCCCAACCGCGACGTTTCGGAAGATTTGCAGCAGCCGTGGTCACGGGGGGACGTTTTAAACCCACAAAGTGTTTTATTTACACTTGTGTACTCGCGTAAACTAGAGCCAATCCTTACATCTAAAATTTACAATTACAATATATACGTCATGATAAGTCATTTAGCGAATGGATTTTTTTTAAATAGGTGACGTATTTCACAGCGACTAACGATAACATATTTTAACAATTTGTATTATCATTTAACATATTCCCATCTTTACTTTTAACAACAATAATAAAGTTTGACACGAACAGATGTCATTTACCGTTTCTAACTAATATTTGAAACTTCGTCATCTATTGATATGTTGCCTGCACTAATGTAGAGAAGTGACACAATGAGTAAACAAACAGTATGCGTCTGATTCAAGTAATTGCAGATAATCTGATTGATGTGCGCTTTGACGAGATACAAGATGCAGACAGACGAACAGTTTGTCGGTAGAACGAGCTGATTCGCATTAGTTCAAATGGTCCGGTAGCAATGTATGGCTAATGACAAGTTTGATATAGTTTTAGTCTGTGGATTTCCTAATATCTGAAGCCAAAACAGGTCAGGCGCATTTCGTTTAGATATTATACGGTTGGCGTATTTCACCTTCTACCACGAACCTCATGCTTTTCGGCCATATAAAAAGAAGTCTTTTTTTATACCCAATATAATCTCTTTAGAGCATTACATATACGTATATATAAGTTTAAAAACCAGCCCTGCGCCCTTTTAACCGCTTTGTTCGTGCGTAGCTGATGGCGTTAAGTAAACAGTTTTAATTGATTCCTTTTATCTCGCACTAGTTGCGCAAGCAGCTGCCAGACAGTTCACCTTACAGCCCCGCATTTACTATTTACAGTCGGCATGGCTGTCTTTGCTATGCCATGCCATTCTGAAGTATTTTTGTTCTATGAGTACCAGGTCCAATTAGCTCCTTAACTCAATATATAATATATTGTGCAATAATGATATAAATACAAGTACATTACTATATAATAATGAACATGAAACAAGTACATACTATAAACTAGCAGAGTCCTTTTAATACCTATCATATGTATTTAGCTAATATGTTTTCACAAAGGTATTTTTCCTAAACAACTAAAACAATCTAGAATAACACCATTTTTAAATCAGGTGATAGAGACAGTGTAAAAGTTAAGACCTATTTCAGTTCTTCCTGCTATTTCCAAGATTCTAGAAAAGTTGTTAAATAGTAGACTCTTAGATTATTTTAACAAATATAACATACTATCTAGCTCACAGTATGGTTTTAGGCAAAAAAATCAACTGAAGATGCTATAACAAAATTTACTTCTCTAGTGGTTGATAATTTAGAAGAGGAAGGAAATGTATCGGGTTTTTCTTGATCTGAAAAACGCTTTTGACACTGTCCTTCCCTCTGCTTTACTTAAACTAGAACAGTCTGGATTAGAGGTATAGTTTGAAAATTTTTGAGGATTATCTTACAGATCGTACACAAAGAGTTAAGGTTAGTCAATACCTCAGTGACGTGCAGAATGTCACATTTGGTGTTCCTCAAGGAAGCGTTTAGGCAACCCTCTTTATTTATATAAATAACTTGTGCAACTTCAATCCTATGATGGTATGTTTTACTAAAAGTTTTATTGGTATGGAATGAAGTATGTACAAGTACTGAACAAGGATTATCTGAGATTGCTAAATGGCTAGATCTGAATCTTTTAACACTTAATACAAGTAAAACGAACTATATATGTTTTAAAATTAGTAATAAAACGCAACCTAAAAACAACTTAAATATTAAAATTCATAAATGTAACATGGAGGAAGTAAATAGGTGTATTCCAAATAAAAGAGTAGACAAACTAAATACTTGGTATAAATTGACCCGTTTATATGGTACTCAAATTAGAAGCGATGTAAATAGGCTAAGAAAGTAATTTGATTTTTAAAACATTGGGCATGTGACTACCAAAGAATTTAAAAGATTAAAACCCTGGAGTTTTAAATTATTGTATTGTAATTTGGGGTGGAGCCGCAAAGACCAAGTTGAAGAATTGGAAGGGGACAGAGGGGTCTTTTAAAAGTAATGTATGCTGCATACAGATTCCCAACCGAAGAGCTTTACCAACAAAGTGGGTGCTGTGTTAGAAAGTATATGTTTTAAATACAATTCTTAAAAAACACCGTACTCTAATATTTGATAAAGATATTTTAAAAAAGAGAAGGAAAGATATTGTCGACAAGATTGAGTCAAAAAGCTTTTGTGGTCGTAACTATTGTGTGAATCCGTTTATTTGTACAACAAATTAAATAAGCTTCTAAATATATATCCACTCACGTTCGAGAAGTTAAAATATCAGCTAGCAAATGGTTAAAAAGTGTAAGCTATAATAGCTAGAGGATATATTGAAGAATCCCAGTTAAATATCATAATCCTCATGATCAATTACTTTCTCACACACCCATACACATCAAGTCACACATCACATCAACTCACATACTTATACACACACACCAATATTATTTAAATAAATAAAAAAGCATGTTTAATTATTTAGGGATACGGAATAATGTATTATTAAATGATATGGAAGAGCTGGAAACCCTGTCACAGGTATTATTTACTTAAAAGGGTTTCCAGATCAAAAACAGTTTAATGTAAATATGGTTCCTGAATAAATACTTTTATACTTTTATACTTTATACTTTATACATTATCCGTTAATCTATTCTTAAGACTTCGCTATCAAAGTGCTGCAAGCAATCGCAAGTATTAAGAGAGGGAGTACCACAAATAACAAACCATACAACGAAGGGAATTTTTGTCCTTTTTCCTCCTTTTTAACAATGGGAACTTTAAAGGCAAAATAGTGGAAGGTGCTTGAGGTGACTAAAATAATTACAATATCAAATTTGTGCATTTTTACAATAGTACGGAACCCTTTATTCGCGAGTACGGCTCGCAGACTTTATTATAATATAAATACTGTCTATAGTTAACGCTAGTAGTATACATTTAAATAAAACACTTTAACGGTTTAAATAATTTATTATAATATTATGTTATATAAAATATCATGTTTGCAATTGGCACTACATCGGCGGTACCTGCTTTTATAAGTTTCGTTAGTTCACGTTACCTATTCGGTAAATAAAATGCAATATTTACTCCTACTTTATTACACAATGGTAGATAACAGTGTAAAATAATTTATTAGGACCCTTACTTTACGTCGCTTTTGTTATGTAAATTTTTGTCGCTTTGAATTATGGAGCGAGGTATGGGGCTAATTATTATAGTAAATGTTGCTTGCCGTTGTAAATGTAACAGCGAAAGCGTTGTGGAACAGTTAAGCTGATCTTGTGTATACTTTTAGCTGAGTAAGGACTCAAGCAAAAATGCCACACACGTCGATAACACAGCACTTTGCCTTCAACTCCATGAAACCAGAGACGAGATAGGGGATACGGGCCAAACTTTAAACAATTGATATCCTTTTTATGTGAACGATATTTTGTGAATATATAATATTATAGTGTGAAATCTCGTTTCCTTTTTGGGGCATGGGACGAACACATGTGCCCTTTTACAATTCAGTCAAGTAGTTAAACTTTGTGCTTTGTGGAACCGTAACAATTTCTTGTTGCTCCAGGCTTCAAACCCAAACCTCTTGCTTAATACTATGCTAGACAACGCGTTTAACCATTGTGCTACGGCGGCGGATAGTGTAATTAATATACTTACGATGCAATATGCCTCCTTGGTCTTGTTGTTAACACAGGCCACAAGGTCCATCGCTTGCCATCTTTTATTGGTCGAAATCATGGTTCGGTGTTTGGAATTATTTAAAAAAAGTACCAGTGTGTTGTTTGATGACGCAATTGGTGACGATTTTAGATGCGTAAGAGCCCGCCAATCCGAACTGGAGCAACGTGGTGGGTCGTTAAACCTAAAATATAAACAAAAGAAATAATTATGATTGAAACTTACTGCTGTAAGCTAGTACTCTATTACTTTCTGTACAATTCCATCTTCATGATTAAATAAAGATGGAATTGTAGAAAAATCAGTTAATGCTGATTGCCTAGTTTTTGGCTGTTTTTCAAGGTAATTGGCATGTTTGACACATCTTTTAGGCGAGATGGCCTAGAACATGTTTCAAACATACGCCAATTCGTATAGTTCCTTGTTAAATAACCAAAAACTGTTATCTACGTTATATAATATAAGGTAACTCTTTTTATACCTTAAGTATTGATGTATAAAGTGCTTTATACCATTTACGGCCACGACCTTGTAATTGAATAGTTTAGCAAGCTGCGAGTAAAAAACGTCTATTAATATCAATGTTTAAAGTCCAAAGTCCCGAATGTCAGTTGTGTCACTAAATGTTATCAATCATCTCGTGATAACAAACAATATATTTGACATATATTATTTAGATATACAAAATAATTTTAACTAGACACTGCTTGAAACATTTACGTCTCATTTAACGTAAGCGATTCCAGAGTATATAATATATTGTACCATAATATTAAATGCAAAGTTATTAATTTGTGTGTCTATATGTCTCTTACGGCAAAACATAACGACCATAGACAGTAAATTAATTGCTATATATAAGAAAAAGAGATTTCTCATTCGTTTTAAATAGATATACAATACACTATCAAGAAACACAGCTATCCCTATCTATAGTCAAATAAACAAAATCTTATATTTATAATATATTATAAATATAATCATCTTCTCATCATTCACCATCTGGTCACCATTTACACTTTGTTGTTTTAATAGGTGTTCGAGGTACCTCGTTAGCTGCTGGAAGACAACCTGCATTTAGCGATCATCAGCAAACACAACTGCTGGCTGCTGTGGGCGACACTGCAGTCCTACGCTGCATTGTGATGCGATTAGCAGATCGCACAGTGAGTTAACTATTGATATAAAAAAATGTATATTAAAAGAGTATTCATAATTTCTGTGACACATACATGTGTCCAGATAACACTGAGCTACCGGTCGTGGGTTCGTTTTCCGCTTATGTCATCATTTCCAAATTATTGTGGCAGTAGAAAGTACACCGCAACCAGGGTATAACAAATCGGCAACCTATATCATTTTAATAAAATTGTCGCAAAATACCTTTATTAAGTACGACCCGACGTTTCGGATCGGACTGCATCAAAAATGACTGTGTAATTTTCGTATATATTATATGACGAACAGCCCCGGCTTCGCTCGGGTGCAATGCTGATACTAAATACTCTACAGAAAAACTATGAACGTTGTGTACCTTCCTCTTGAATTACTCTATAAAAAAACGCATCAAAATTCGTTGCGTAGTTTTAAAGATTCAAGCGTACATAGGGACAGAAAAGGCGACTTTGTTTTATACTAAGTATCACTAACTCGTAATAACATGGATTAGTGTACAGTTTATAATATAATAAGTCATTTGAAATCTTAATTTTATCTCATAGCGTGAACCGCTTCTGTTGGTGGGAGTGGGGTAAATACCAAAATATGAACCGTTATATCCAATATTCCAGGCTTGGCATGTTTATATGGCTTGCATAATCAGGGTGGTAACCTCGTCGCGTTTTATTGAGGATGCTCTTCAAGGTATATTTAGAGATTCAAATGTCATATTATTATGTTTAACGTTAATAAATAGACAGATAGTCTTTACATTTTTGGGTAAATCGTACACGCTCCCAGTATTTAAAATTCTTCAAATACCTGTCACAAAATAGATTCATATTGAGATACAAAAACACTCAAAAAATCAAATGTATTCAAAAGGTTTACGTACTATAAGGTTATACGTTAATGCTATTTGCGATCCAATGTATGACTGTGCACAGCCTAGTTTAAAATAGCAAATGCTTAGTGTCTAAAATAAAATAGTTAGATGAATAGGGGCTATTGAATTGATTTTTACTTATATATTTTAAGAAATATTTTTCTATTATCACATTGTCATGTATAAGTTAAAATTAGTTTCATCCAATTTATGGCCCACTGCTGGGCACGGGTCTTCTTAAGCGTGGCGGGTTTTAAAGCCAATTCAATATTTTAGTAGTGATAACCAGTATCTACGGTTTAACGTGATATCTTTGCATGGAAAGGAAGAAAATTGTATGACTTAATTACTTATAAGGTACACGAGGTACTGTACTAAACCTGTCCTCATAGGCTTTGCGAATCACCCCTAAAATACCCCATATAATATAGAACCCCTTAAATTTCAGGTCTCCTGGGTCAGATCGTGCGACCTACAAATATTGACTCATGCGGGCACTGTCTTCACGGCCGATTCGCGAGTATCCTGTTCCGAGGAAGTTGGAGAAATTGCAGAAAGGGATTACGAGATGGCGTACCACACCACAGCCCACACCTTGCGCATCGCATCGCTACGCCCGAGCGACGCAGGCCGATATGAATGTCAAATCAACACTGAGCCCAAGCTGAGCCTGTTCTTCAATCTCACGGTTATCGGTTTGTGATCTTTTTTACCTTCCGCCTTTACTAGACAGAAAAGCAACAGGATGAGGCCATACAGTTCTCATCATCATCATACTTGAAGAACGACTAAGAGGAAACGGAACGTTACTTCGGTGCCACCGTATCCCATGGCTCAGCTCTGTCGCACACGAGAGAGATTTATAAGCTCAGACTTTCGCTGGCTTTATCGTCTACCGCTACAAAATTAATGGTGATCGACCACTTAACGTGGTTTCTGAGGAAGATCACTTTACAGACCATCGTCCGTTAAATCTAACTTAGCTAAAATAATCTCTGGTTTTTATGGAACATTTATTTGCTATCTTTCATTTTTTAGGTAGCTAATCGTGCAATTATAGGCTTTGATAACTTCATATTAATTTCTCCACTTTCTGAAAAATGACGAACTGTAAAATATTTAAGGTTTTAATACAGTAATGAATCGAAATATAATTGAATAATTAATGATATATTTTTTTATGTTTAGCCTAGCCTAATATGTATAATTAAATAATATAGCATTCCCCTTTACTATGTGTGAAAGTATGAAAGCCCGTTTCCACTTCGTGGGGCATGGGGCATGACATTTCTGTGTCCGTTTCACTGATCCGTTCTTTTAACGGGCAAGTAGTTGATCAGACTACTGTGTCCTGCCCGACCGAAACAATATTATGTTTCCCTGGGTTTCAAACCCAGGACCTCTCGCGCTTAACGCTATGCTAGGCAATACGTTTAACCATTTGGCTACAGAGGCGGTTCCTTTACTATGTAACGTTCGCATATTGAAGTTATTAAAAAATAAGAATCATTTTCAGAGTCATCGCTACCAATGGTATCAGTGGCCGCTGTTGGAGAAGCGGAAGTCCGGCGAGTCCTGGGCGGAGCAGCGCAATTTTCGTGCGAGGCGCGATACGTGCCGTCTGCGCAGACATTTGGGGCGGTCCACGCACCACTGCCTCCTGGCATACTAGCTGCCCTTCCGCCACTCACACTCCGATGGGAACACAACGGAGTTCTTCTTAATCCACAGGTTCGTAAGATCTCTGATGACTCTAAAAAAAAACAATCGTATATTATAATTTTCATCCCAAGAAGGGTACGTTTAAAAAAAAAATTTAAAAGTTTTTAAAAACGGTAAATTATTTAAAATTTTTTGGAAAAAATTTTTAATTCCGCCCCCCCCCCGTTCCCCCGTGACTGCAAGGCTGCTGCAAAGCATCCAAAACGTCGGGCCGAAGTTAAAAATCATTTCCAAATAAGTTTAACTAATATATCGCGTTTTAAACCGTTAAAGTGTTTTATTTAAATATCTAGAATTGTTTCTCATAAATTAAAAGTCAATTTTAGATGTAAACAAATTCAGGCCACTGTCAGCAACTGGCATCAACAGCATTCTGTGCTGTTGCTCCATCTAATATAATCGATTTTATCGAATAGGTAGGTCATAAATTTCGAAATGATGTATGATTAAACCACATATAGTTTTCAAAGATAGCCAAAAAATGTTTCATAAAAACCAGAGATTATTTTATAATTTTTTTTTAGACGCTTTGTAGTAGATTTAGTCACGGGGTGTCTGCTGTTGCAAAGGATCTGAAACGTCGGGTCGTAGAAAAGATGAACTAACTTTTAATTTTGTTACATTTGTTTAGAGTGGACGCGGCGGCATATCGTTGGAGACTGAGAGGTGGGAAGGGCGAATAGTGTCGCGTCTGACACTTGGGGCTTTGGATTTGGCGGACGCTGGTCTGTACACCTGCTCGGCGTCTGGCGTATCTGTGCCTTTAATGCTATCACTCTATAGCGGCGCACAGGACCTTCACGAAAATGTCATTTTAGGTAGTAGCTCCGAATGTTCAAATTCAAAAATTTTACTTTTGCCTCCATAAAGTTAATTCCGTGCTCGTCTCACTGTCTCTGGCATAAACAATGCCTTTTGTAGTAACTATTATGTGAATCACGAGGGCTTGGCTTCGAGACCTGGGGAACTAGACGAGACTGATAGATAGACTTCACACGAAAACTAACAAAAAATATAAATTATTACTAAACTTCAGACATTTTTTCTTAGTTATAACTTGTGCTTACATTAGGCGGAGACATGGAAATGCAGCATGATCAGGCGGTTCCTCGAATCAGCTCGGCATCGTCGCTGCGACCCGTTCCTCTCGCTACATTCACCATCCTGGCTGTTATCACATTACGAAGGCTTGGCACGTGACGAATCTCCACCAGTGTCTCTTGTAAATATGTACATATCTATTTATAAATGTGTAAATAAATGTTCCAAGTTGGGTATGTCTTTATTTTTCGCAAATAAATATTTTTTGACGGGCATGTTGGTTCGATTGCGGCAAAGTATGTATCGTGGGTTTTAATTCTTTGAAATGAAATTAAGAAATAGACCTTTTATTAAACATTACGTAAAAAAAGTAAAACAATATACTTGTTAGGTAAATATTTACCATGCTCTTTGATAAGTTAAAAGACATTAATTAATCATAAATTTACATTTTATACGCAAGTAGTTTAAAGAACTACTTGATAAAAATAGTTTTTCAATTTAAACATGATTTTTTGTTGTATCGTTAAAATAAACATCAAAATCAGAAATATGTTGTTTAGAATAGACTTTGCAGCGTTCGTAAGCCGGCGTGAAATAAAACTGTAAACTGCGGTCAGAGTCATGGGACACGGCAAGCCTTGCATACTATTCCAGAAATAGTTTGGTCTAATGGCTCGCTCAAAGCGGCTCGACGATCCACTATTAGCTGCGGGCGTTTGTGGATGTCACTCACAAGTCACACGCCACTATACAGATTAGGGATTGCCCAGATATAGTATACTGAATTTAGCCGAAATATAAGGCTCCGACAGTGCATAATGTTACCACCATCTGATACATATATACAACAAAAATACACAAGACAGAAGAAGAAATTATCAATATTTTAAACCTTGTAAACTTTTTACTATATTTTATATTTGTTATTATATTTTTATTGGATTATAAAGATTATTATATATTGATGGAATAAAATAATGATGTTTTTATTAATTTAGTGTTTCTTTTCAACATGCTAACGCCATCTTCCGGATTAAGTTAAGAACACTTCTCACTTCGTCCTTCTTTAAACTGTAAGCGTGGAATTAGTTCTTCGTAGTAGTGTCAGATGGCAGTAAAATCTATTGTATCAACAAAATGATATTGTAAACTTTTATATGATAAATATTATATAGTAAATGAAGTGATAAAATTTATCACTTTAAAAATAATATGATTCTTTTAAAGTAAAGTCAATCTGCAATTTTAGCTATTCCCGCTATAACACATTAACAAAATTTTTTTAAACTCATTGCACCTGTTAAGCGATATTACTGAGTAAATACTCAGTTCGTACGTATTAGGTAGGTTTAGCAAATTTCAGGTAAAAATTAATTGTAACCGTGTAATAGCGACACGTCCTGAATAGATCATTACTAGAAACAGTGTAATCATTGCTCATTAGAAGTAACAGGTGTAACAGGTGCTGCTATTACGGGACTAAGGGATAGTTCTACTGGTACGGGTATTTGATATTACCTACCATTGATATTAGCGATAATGCGCTCGTTTGTAACGGGTGCGAAACGACATACGACAAGATGTCCTAATGATGACAAAATGTCGTTGTCATTGTCTAATATCCATTATTTATACGACATAGGCAATAATTTAAATATACAGTCCTTACTGATATTATTTTTACACATACAATGCTTTTTTTTTGAACAGTTGTTCAGATCAATAGCCTAAACCGCTGATCATAATTAGATTTATACTAATATTATAAAGCTGAAAACTTTCTTTGTTTCAAACAAAGAAAGTTAATCTCGCAAAAACATTTTTGTCTTGAATAGAGCAGACGTGAAATTAGCAAAAACGGCATTTGCAAAAATAATTATTAATATTTGAGGACTTGCATGCGGTGCGAAAAAAGTTTACGAAACTCAATAAATATGTACAAAACAATTAGTTAAATCAACTAAAACATGTTCCTCACTATATATGTCTGTCTTTTAACAGCTAAAATTTGTAGGGATGAGAAAGAGGTTTGCAAAAACAAGTTTTGATGCCCACCATAATAAGTGTACGCGGACGGAGTCGTGACCACAGCGAGCAATTTATTGAGGAGGTAGTTTGCAAAAATATTAATATGATACCGAAAATAACTGTTCCACGGGGCAGTTCCCTTTCCATAACGTGTTGGTATCATAGGCTTGTTCGTTCTCTTCTATCATATTCTTTATATAACGTAGTGTATTAATCGATATTGTGTGTGCTGTGTGATTAAATTCAGAATTAAACAATAAAAACTGGATTAAAGAAAACAAAATCGCAGAGTGGAGTTTGTACATTCTTAACGTCTCCTAAGAATTTCCTCGAATGAGAAAAGTATGTCGGTTGTGTGGTAAACAATGGCATTAGTGTGACCAGATCGAAAAAAAAATTTGGATGCAAATGCAATCTTATACACCTTTGACTGTTTCAATTGTAGCAATAAGGCTAATAATCAACGAAACGTGGGTTCAATTTAAGAATTAGGAAGGTGAAAATATCGAGATTCTGTCCGGGTTAGATGAAAAAGCCGTAGGGCGTATACAAAAAGGTATTTTTTTCATTTCGATTTCAGTCTGAGCATTTCCGAATATCCAAAGCCAAAATACGTCGCCAGCACATCTTGTTTATTAGTTATATATGTATAGAATATCAACCCCATTCTTGGTAATACTGTTCTCCATTCCTTCTTTGTACTAATTTATCATTACAGAGGAGGAATCGAACAACTTTGATCGAAATAAACAATCTTGTACTAGTTTTAAAAACTAAAAAAAAAAACTAAGCAATGAATAGAAAATATTTATATTTCAATATACTTTATGCAACGGTTCGAAACCTAAAAGAAAATAAAAAATAAATTCTGAATTATAGTAATCATTTTTACTCTTGAGAGTAGCAACACTAAGCGACTAACAGCAATCGGAGGAAAGTCAATAAATGTAGTTCAACGTAGACCGATCTAAGCAGTTCTCGTCGCGAACAAGATTAAGATGACGTGTGATGTTTGGAGATTGGCCTATACGTAAGAACTTATTTATTAATAGTTTTTTATATAACATTTACATTTATGACCTAAGTACAAGAGGTCCTGCGTCCGAATCCTGGGAAAATAAAAAAAAATCCGTCGGGCAGGGCGCAAAAGTCTGATCTACGATAACAATGTAAAGTATGAAATCCCGTTTACCCCACTTACAGGCAAATCGTTTATCAAACTCCAGTGGCCAATCGAAACAAAAATGTATTCTCTCCCCAAGATTCAAAACCAAGACTTCTCTTGCTTAAGGAAACGCTAAGTACTACTAATAGTGTACACAACCAGCGCTGCTGTGCGTGACGAGCATTCAGCAGCTCAGATGGGACTGATACCGATTGCCTTTTATATTCTTTTAAAAAGATTTCTTACCTTTTATATATTATTGATATACGCAATTTATTTAAAAGTTTGCTATAAATATGTTATAAGGGCAATAAAAGCTTTGAATTTGAATTTAGATATGTAAACAATATTTCCAACAGACAAATACTGCTAATTAAGAATGTTAGTATTATATAGATGCGATCCGCAGGTGCCACCGAGTGTTAGTGACGTTGGCTTGCATTCTGGTTTTGGCTTTGTGTGCATTACCGCCTATTGAGAAGATACACAATAAATGGTGGCTCTCTTCGACAACTCTCTCGCCTTTACTGGACGATGGACAAAAAATTGGAGATACCGAATATGACTCGCCGGATTTCCGAGTAGAGGAACCGCTACTTCTCCCTCTAAATAAATACCGCGAAGAACATCGCCCATATCGCCTTTCCCCACACTACAAAATGGCTTCCAGACTCAGTAAATATGTAATTATATTTAATTTTAACGACTTTTATCTCTTGGCAAATTACAAATTTAATTTTTAATTTATAAAACATTAGACTGACTAAATCGTTATTGAAATTCTAAATTTTTAATGAATGTCTTATTTTAGTGAAAAAAAATTCACAATTACGACTGCCCAACACCTCGAAAATTTAGTTATCATACAATTTATGGTTACTAAAATTTCGCTACGATATATTCTATAAATCTATACTGATATGTATATAAAGCTGAAGAGTTTGTTTATTTGTTGTACGCGCTAATCACAAAAACTACTGGTAGGAATATAAAAAATATTTTTGTGTTGATTAGTGTGGGCTGTAACATCACGTTGCGACTGATGCGTGGTGAGTGAAGAAACAGCGCGAAATTTATTCTTTTTCGTGGGTTTCCGTTGCGTATGTTGCGAAAACGTTTAAAGATACCCTAAAAATATGATTCAAAAAAGGAGCTTCTTTTTAAGATCAACTTGCAAGACCGTCGACGCGACCGACGTCATGGGTAACAGCTTAAGTATATCAAGAGAAAATTTGCTAATGTTTAATAATAATTTACCTATCCGTGGTCAGGACTACGCGTACCAGTTCGGGTGCGTTTGTTGTTTGGTGTACAAGCGGCTGACTCCTTTGGCGACCTGTACGGTCCTCACAACGCGTCACTTGTTGAGTACGGCGTCGGCGACGGAGCTCGTGCTTCGCGGCCACCGGAACCTTCGCTCCCTAGAGAACATCCTCGGCGCGTGGTATGACAACAACATGAACGTCCAGAACAGTTCGTTCTACGCGTCCATTGCGCGTATCCACTATCATCCCGAGGTTCGTTTAATTCCTGATAAAGGTTTTTTTTTCTTTATTTCACTTATTAATGTACACGATTATTATTAGTATTAATTAAAACCGGTAACGAAACCAACTAGCGGTTTTTAATATCGCTGTATATGTCCGGCCGGTCCGCCAATAAGTTGGTTATACTATCGTATAAGTTATTCCAGTTTAGAGGTAACGAGTACTAGGTTATGTTTGGCATACGATTTGCTCGACACGGTGTCGCAGAAGTCAAAAGTGCTGTATTTTGTTTTTAATATACGAAAAAAAACGCGCTGCGATTTAATTTGACGCTTAACAGTTTCAGAGACCAGAGAACGTCAATCGTTCACACCCTCTACCGGTGACATTCGACTTGGCAGTTCTGGCCACCACTTATGGTATCTGGGGCTGGTACACGTGGGGACATAGCACCCCCCTATGTCCACGAGCTAGCTCCAATTATAATGAAAAGCTGTCAGCGACCCCCCGTGGCGAAAACATAATGTCCGTTGGGTATCAGTTCATGTGGGCTTATCGTCGAGTGCCCACACCGTTCCATAAGTATTTAGTACGAAGCCACGATTGTACTGTGCCGTGCCCCAAGGTATGAATGCTTACATTTATATGCTGTTCGCAATAAGTAACAAGTATTTGTTTCGTTGCTTAGTATTAAATTAAAAATTGCAAACGTTATTGACGACAATAGACCCGACGTTTCGGATGCTTTTCAAATAAATTTAACTATTATGTATCGCGTTTTGAATTCTTAGTGTCATTTAAATTTAGTTAGTGTTATTTAAATAGCCATTTTGTTTTACGATTGTGCAAAGAAAATGCTAATATAACACTTTACAGAAAGAGTGGGGTTGGTTCATCTGTGTGAAAGGGTACCCATGGGCCCGTTACGGCATGGACTCGGGTGCGGCAGCATTCCGCAGTTTTGACGGAAATGCAGTTCGGCAAGAAGGGTTGGTCGGTATTCACACTGTAGCTATGAAGTTGCGTTCAGTGGTACTCAACCTTTATTACACTGTGCTCGACACGCACAACATCCTAGACTTTCTCTACTCGGCGTATTTAGGACGTCTTCCTTACGAGTACCTGGATTATAGATTCATAGACTCACAGTGGACGGCTCCGAGGGCTTACGCCTGGGCTTGGATCATTCACGATTACACTCTTGGCGAAGAGTGGGACTTCGAGATACCTCGTTGGTGATATTACACGTTTTCAACAATTTATTAAATATTTTATGCTTTTAATTATTTGCCTCCTAGACTTTTTCTATGACAGAAGACAATCACGATGGGCTGCATAACTATTGCTATACTGACTATACTAATGAATCTATACTGACGCGAGTCTAATGTTAGCCTCACATTGCTCACATTAGACTCGCGTCCCTTAAAGCATTGTCAATATTTTGAAGTTACTGCATTTAGGGCGTTTATGTTGCATAACATTTGCATTTTTAAAGGGCGTGTCATTATTTTTAATAATACTGTTAAATTAATTTAAATTCTCTTTTATACCTGCAAAACGATATTCATGTTTTTTTTCCATTTAGATGTTCAATAATTGTGAAAACAAGCTTTAGGCTGGAAAATGGTGATACCTTAAAACCTTATTTTTAGATGTTATTGGACATGGTGGCATTACATAAATTAAAAATATACGTAAGATTGAAGAAAATTACCGACACGAGCAGGTCTGGAACCGGCATCCACAACGTTCCAGTAGAGCACGGACGACATTCACAGCACGGAGCGCTGTGAATGTCGGTTCAAGTCCTGGCCGTGTCGTATTTTTTTCAAACCAACATCAAATTTTAAAAGGGGGGAGTGTTAATTATATGCTTTTATATCGTAAATAGCAAATAATGTATTGAGAGAAGCTGGGAAAACGATCGGTGACAACAAGCGCTTCCGCTGAATTATGATCCTTCGCACTGTACTAGTAAGGCGTCCTGCATCTTCACAAGTTAATGTCTCCACTCCAAAGTGTGAAGCGGGGTGTGAAAGGATAAATTACTTCGATATGAGCTGTTCTCAGTCTAAGAATGAGCTGCGCTTAATCCACGCTAGTCAGTGATAGTGTTTTGTTCTTCTTACAGAGTAATAAATTACGAGTTTGTAAATGAAAATTAAAAAGTGCCTTTAATGAAAACCTGTCAAGTGCGAGTCGCCCTTAATATGAACGGCAAGATTATCGATCATCTTATAAGGAAACTGCGTCGTCCGCGTGCAATATTTATTTTGGACATCAAAATGTATATTTCCGAACGACCGCCTTAGCTTTAGAAATTAGTATAAATTGTCATAGAAATAAAATTGGAGCGGACATTTTTTTGTATCATTTAAAGAGGAATCATTCTATCGTGCACATCTTATGGTTTCTTGAACTGTTTTCGCAGGCGACGGAAGCCCTCAAAAATAAATAACTGACTGCCACGTTATGTAATATATTATACAGCCTAAAAAGCCTTCCTCGATAACTGGTCTATCTAAAGAAAAAATTTTGAGATTAGAGCATTCAAACAAACATACTCTTCACGTTTATAATATAAGTAAAAATTTTAACTGGCTTTTAACTTCCAATTCAAATTCAAAAAGTTTATCTCAGAGATGGTCCCGTAGCACAAGATAGTGAAGTCATGATGTTGAGGTTTGGTGAGGGCTTTCTGTAACCCGTTAATAAGAAAATACTAGACTTCTCCGCTCCAGCAGAGCGAAACAATTAATTATTTTCCCGAGATTCGAACCCAGGAGTTCTTGCACTTAAGGGAATGCTTGGCAACATTTAAACATTGATCTACGTAGTGTACCTAAAAATGCATAATATCTATGATGTAATTTCTCACTAAGAAGCGAGTCTTAACTAACGTTGGGCGACCGGCTCTCTCCAACTTTAATTAAACTGCCTCCTACCGTCATCGCACTTAAGATAAATCTAGCAAGTATAACAATTATTCTTCGATACCGATAAGCGACCTTATCGACTTGCAATAAAGGACACGAGAGATGTAATCAGAAGACAGTAAGGAATTAAGTGTTTCGTCGCAGAGGACCAATCTGCAACGACTATGAACACAAAGTTTACCGTGGACTTAAATTTGCCTTGATGCATCTTGCGTACTATTTTTAAACCAAAGGTGCATCAATATATACTATTGTTGAGTAACTAGTGTTTGTTGTTTAAAATTACCAAAAATTATAATAAGCTATTAAACTGCTCATTAAAAAGTGTTTTAGATTACATACGCGAGAGAAGTAACAAGGCATTTATTCACTATTTACTCGTACTACTTAGATACATACCTATTTTGTTGTTAACATTTACAAAAAAATATATGAATTATAACTAATTAAAATACCGTCTGTAGTTTACGGGAGTAGTACACGTTTAAATAGAACACATTAAGGGTTTAAAACACGATATATATTAATACTGTCTAATTATTATATTAAACTTATTTAAATATTATTTTTAAATCAGGCCCGACGTTACGGATGCTTTGCAGCAGCCGTGGCCACGGGGGTTTTAAACCGTTAAAGTGTTTTATTAAAAAAAATAAAGTAATACGTTTATCTACTCACATTTTAAAACACATATGAATTATAACTAATTAAAATACCGTCTGTAGTTTACGGGAGTAGTACACGTTTAAATAGAACACATTAAGGGTTTAAAACACGATATATATTAATACTGTCTAATTATTATATTAAACTTATTTAAATATTATTTTTAAATCAGGCCCGACGTTACGGATGCTTTGCAGCAGCCGTGGCCACGGGGGTTTTAAACCGTTAAAGTGTTTTATTAAAAAAAATAAAGTAATACGTTTATCTACTCACATTTTAAAACACATACAAGACCAACCATGTATATCAAGTAGTAGAGATAAGGTAGAAAAGTCTCATTGTTTCGCCATCACGACAATCTTAAGAAGATATTGAGAGGACCTAGGCGAGAGCAAAATAGATGGAAAAATAAGTCTTATTTCTAATTAAGATATAGTGTAAAAATACACAACCGGGTGTGTACATCAGTTAAACAACACAAAACAATTTTACGTTAAAGTACTTCCATTTGATAAACAACGCATCAGTTACCGGTAAGTGAAAATCGATCGCAGATTAACTCTTTATCTGAATGTCCGTAGACAGTGCACTGATCTAGGAAAATCGGAAAATTCCATTGAGCATTAGATCCCAGAGTTTTCGATTGGCTGCCAGCTTATTTAATTTAAACGATTGTTAATGGTGCCAGTATTAACTGATAAACTAGAAACAATTAACGTTCGTTAATGCTTAACATAGTGTTAAGTTGTTTCTAACAAAAAAATCTAATAAGTATATAATCTAAATAAAACACTTTAACGGTTTAAAACGCGATATATTATTTAAACTTATTTGAAAATGATTTTTAACTTCGGCCCGACGTTTCGGATGCTCTGCAGCAGCCGTGGTCACGGGTCTCCCCGTGACCGTTAAAGTGTTTTATTTATATATATGTTCCTAATAATTAGTTGTAATATAAATAAAAAGCTATAGTTCCTATTAAATTCCCACAGCTGGGCTTAGTTTTCGCATAGAAGAGGGGTTTAAGAGCATACCATCCTTTGGCCTGAGCTTTTAACGACTATCACCATCAACTAAGTTTTGAAATCGAACATTGTAAACTGCAGTGAGTCGAATTAACCATTACACCAACGGTGCGGTTCACAGCCCTTCTCGAATAAAACAGATTGCGAGAGAGAGATACATATACATGCTTAAAGATACGATACGACGAGATACGATACCTCTGAAAGGCGTTTCTTTGCCTTTCAGAGGTATCGTATCTCGTCTTTTGCGGTGCAAGTCGTATGACAAAACATAGTCTACTATTGGCTTTTAGGCAGCGAAGTCAGAGCACTTTACCATCGCGATGAGTCCATTCAAAGCATGAAACAAAAAGTACTTCTTTAGCACCAGGTTACATTGTTAACTAAGCTTAATATTAGCCATTACTGAAATGTGGAATAGTCCAGACAATCTTACATTGACACTAAGCTATATGAATTCAGTAGCATAAGGCCGTATTGGGTGAAAAAGAGGACCGTCAATTCAGCTGCTGGAGAACTGGGAAACTATTATTTATTTTCTCTATTATCGCCCCAACACTTGATGTACCTACTTTTTAAAGAACATTCAAATATAAGACTATAAGATATATTAAACATTTACGAATATTAAAATGTGTACAGCTAAGGACTCTTAGCGAATGTCTAAAGATTGTAAATTAATTGTATTTAATATATCTATGTACATCATTATATTTATGTCTAAGCAAGCGCAGCGACGGAACGAGCCCTGTTAAAAAATTATTGTGCTAAGACGAAGCTTATACAACGTTTATAACATAGTCTACTTTATTTTCTACGCGCTAAGGTGTAATATAGATGATGATCGTGTCTCAGTAATCCGTGAACGTAGACAAAGTGTTTAATTATGCGGTTGTGAGTCCGGTACCAAGTTTTTATTATCGACTCATCCCTAATAATAAGGTACATTGAAATATCGTTGAACATTTCAGGCTTTCGTCGACTTTTTTGTACGAAAGGGGCGTAAAGAGGTGGAAAAATATCCTCTTAATCTTTACGAAGTAGATTCGGAAATGTAGCAAGAGTAGAATAAAAGTAGACGTAGTATAATCTTGGTTGGTTCTCTCATGCTGACTAGATTTAAAAATCTGTTCCTTGATCCCTTTTATTCTATGCTTTACTGAAATATTTGTTAGCAAACATATAAAGTACTTATCTATGCTAATATATAAAGCTGGAGAGTTTGTTTGTTTGAACGCGCTGATCTCGGGAACTACGGGTTCGAATTCGAGTTCGAAATTTTTTTTTGTGTTGGTTAGAGCATCGAAGAAGGCTATATGCTACAAACATTGCCCTGTGACTAATACAAGGAAAATATAAAAAAAAGGGGAAAATTATTCATCGTTACGGATTTCCGAGGCGTACGCTGCAAAAACGGTTCAAGATACCCAAAAAATATGTATAAGAGAATGCTTCCTCTTTAAATGATATAAAAAAAAGTCCGCGACGCTATATATACAATATGTCTATCTTTTAAGATTAACTAGCAAGAATGACGGGAAGGGACGCGTCCGACGTCGGGGAAAAAGCTTAAGTTTATAAAGGGGTTAGCAAAAACTAATTTTTATGC